GTCGCATACCAGGCCAATACCAGGCCAGTAGAAGGCCAATACCGGGCCAATAGAGGGCCAGTGGAGGGTCAATTGAGAGCCAATACAGGGCCGATGCTGGGGGCGCAGAGGAAACACTGGGCCAAGGTGTTGCCACATCAGTACCAATGTCAGGCTCACACGGTGTCAATGCCGGGCCGATATGGGGACACAGAGGTGTCAACAAGATGTGTGGAAAGCGAGCAGGGAAAGTGCATGCATTAAACGGACCGCCCAGAACCTGAATTGAACCCTGACACTCACTGCCCACTGCATTTCTGCCTGAATCAAACATCCTCCACATGCTCACTGTGAGACTCATAGACTTCTCCTGCTGGAGCCTGTGAGTTTTGATTGTGACGTAAAAACGACCCAACTACAAGATTTTTGATGGTAGATTTGTAATCTTATCAAGTCCCTCAGAAACAAAGGGTAAAGTTCAATTAAAAAAAAGACTGAAACCATTATTATAAAGCAATAATAAGCAATAGCAATAAGCAATAATAACAATAGCGAAAACAAGAATCCACAATAACAGGAAAGGAAATATTATATATACACATCGGAAGCATTAAAGTGCTGCATGAAGTTTTTTTAAATTGCACATTACCATTTAGAAACATTTATATTGTGTAATGTATATTTTTCAACTTTTGAATTGTAATTGTAGTTCAATTTCATGTTTCTACAGTATTTAAAAACAGATACATATTTTTTTAGGTGAAAACCTGATTCTAGTGGACCAAATGAAGTCAACCAATCATCACAGACACAGTTTACATTTCTGTTGTGGATTTGTTCTGTTTCATGTTTCTTGACGATAGCTGTCCAGAAATGTTCCTAATATTTTTATTTCTGTACACCAAGGTCGATGTTCTTCCTTGACTGGGACTCTTCATCCAATCCAAACTCACAAACACAACAAACCACACAACTGTCTGCAGAGCGGTAAATCTGCTGCAGCGGGGTAATCCAGCTCAGTGTGTGTGTGTCTGTGTCTGTGTGTAAAGTAATCTGCCTCCAGTGCAGGACAATGCAGTCGTTGTAGTGTTGGTGCTTTACAGCAGGCAGCAGGTGTGAAGTCCGACACCTCCGCTGTCAATCTGCAGGTTTTAGGTTTATTAAGTGCTTTGTGTGCGTGTGTGTGTGCCTGTGTGTGGGTGAGTGTGTGTCCTGTCTCGTTATTATCTTGTGTTGGTCTGTATTTGTCTCTTTGCTGTGTTTAGTTAAAATAACTCAACGCTACAAATTACAAATGGAAAATGAAATATAACACACACTGTAAAATAAAATCTGTAATTTTAGAGGATTGTACTTCTTTATTTTACAGATTTTTCCAGTTTTGTAAAAAGACAAAATTATACAAAATATCCTATATATATTAGAATTAAATGTTACAATTGTAGTCTATTTATGGAATATTTTCGTCATTTTACGGGACTCATTTTATTTCATTTAATTTCATTCAGTTCTTTACATTTACATTTTGTATATTTATTCTTGTTTACATGTTACAAAGTAAGTAAGTTGTTACTTTTTCAGATACTTGTGCCGTAAAATAATTTGTGACAGTATATAATTATATTCTATAAGTGAGTTCATCAACACTTACTTCATTAAAATGAGATTTAGAGGCCCTGGATGATGTATTTTGTTTCTGAAAGACCCAAGCTAGCTTCTCCCTTTTGTTTAGCTAACAGGCTTGAATTGAATTGACTTGATCGTCAATTAAGTTTAGCTGAGACCTGGACCATACCCACCTGGTTCAGAGTCCTCTCCTGTTGCAGGATGAGTGACGGGAGGGGCTGGCTGCTTCCAGGGGGGTCAGCTGGTCCAGAAGGAAAGAAAGGCCTGCTCCCAGTCCCCGAGCACCCCAAGGGTCAACAGGACCCCACACCCTCGACACGAACCCCGCCCAGACCCAATCGGACCTCCGCATGCTGCTCGGTAATCACCTGGGCTGGACCTCAGTGTAACAGATCCCAGGTTCTCTGCAGGAGGGAGGTCAGCTTCTACATGATGCAGTAAGAGACCAGATAGAGACCAGATATGGGCCCCATAGAGAGCAGATAGAGGCCCAATATAGGCCAGATAAAGACCAGATAGAGAAAAGATAGAGACCAGCTAGAGGCCTGATAGAGACCATATAGAGACCAGATAGAGGGATGGCCAAGACCTGATAGAGACCAGATAGAGGCCGAATAGAGACCTTATAGACACCAGATAAAGGCCTGATAGAGAAAAGATAGAGACCCAATAGAGACCAGATAGAGGCCTGAGAGAGACCTGTTAGAGACCAGATAGAGGCCAGATAAAGGCCTGATAGAGACCAGATAAAGACCCAACATACATATACCCCCAAAAGCGGTATTAAGATTAGAGGGAATTGCAGTTTGAGTTCAGTTTCCACAACTCGTGATGTATATGTATTTATATATGTATGTATAAACCTGTATTTATATAAGTAGATATACATGCATATTTATATACACACACATTCAGTGTACCAAGCTGCTCTCAGAGGTGAAGAGGTTGTGAGGCCTGAAAGAGTTCATTTAAAACTAAATTTACGATCTGAACTTCGTCTCCGTCTCGTTTTACCGCCGAGCGTCCCGTCAGCGGGATCCACCCAACCCGCCCGAGCAGGTGTCTCCATCTTGTTTTTCTTTCAAATGGCAGAGATCTCATCTTCATTCGGGGGGGGGGGCGGGGGTGGGGCCTCACGAGGAGGGAGGGAGACCTGAAACCCCGACTCTGGCCTACAGCCGGTCGGGGTGTACATTTCCCCCCTGTGAGTTCCGGAAAATTGGCGAGATTAATGCCACGGCAGAGGGGCGGCGGCGCTGATGGCGTTTCCAGATGGCCGAGCGGCATTGGCCGGCATTGGCCGGCGATGGCGCGGCCTCCGTGTTTATGACTTGTGTAAAAGCGTTTTAGAGGCCGAGGGCCTCCCCCCCCCACCCTCAAGTCCAGTCAGCAGCAGTTTGGGACACCTCATTATCCGTCTCTTAAAGCGGCTAGGACGGGGACCTCCTCGCTCGCTCCGTTTGTCTCCGTCAGAGGAAAGTTTGACTCTCCAAAGATCACTGAGGTTGGTCAATTCAAAAGGTCTTTAGCTCCTTGGACCAGAAGGAGTTTCTTGTGTTGAAGCTGCATTCTCTGTTGTGACCAGCAGGGGGCAACTCCTCTGGTCCCATAGACATCTATGAGAAAATGACTACTCCCGCCGTAAAGATTGTGGTCTCAATCTCTAGTTTCACGTCTTCTTCAATACAGCTTGATTTAGTAAATTATGGTCCATGTAGTCAAACAGACCATGAACCAGGAGATGCTTTAGGGCGGGGCTACATGCTAATTGGCAGGTACCTAATAGTTGATGTTCGGAGTCCTGTCTGAATCCAAAACACATGTTTAACTACATAGACATCTATGGGAAGGATACGTTGATGTTTGCAAAGTGCGTGTCAATTGATGTAAAAGCACTCGTGTTTAAAATGATGTATTTTAGGTCAATATTAATCATTTTATCTACACATTTTTCAGACCAAAAGTTTGTTTGATAAACAGCATCATATAAAACTAAAAGTAGTTAATTGACTACATCGTTGGTGACATGTAATGTAATGTTGGTAATCAGTAGTATTTATACATGTTTCTGAACTTGTGTATTCCAACATATAACTTTATATTTTTACCATCCATCCAGCATGATTTTTGGCACATATTATGACGATGACGATGTTTAGCGGCTGTTATCTGACTGTGAAATATGAAATAGTTTGATTGATTCTCTTTATTCTGCACAATAAAGTAAAATCATTTCTGGCATTTTTTTGTAATGAAAGTACCTTAAAACACATATTATCCCATATATATATATACACATGTATTTGTATATATATGATTAATTAAAGGGAAATGTGCATGTATATCTTAGCGCAAACTTAATAAGCAGCTTAAGACAGCGTGTATTTAGGGAGTGTGTGTGTGTGTGGGGGGGGGGGGGGGGGGGGGTTCTGCATTAAAACGATCATCAGTCTTCTTTCTGGTGATAATCCTTTGAGCAGAGGCTTGGAATAGTTCCTCCTCAAATGTGACAGTGGAGCTATGCAGCGCCCTCCAGCAGCAGCATCCGAGTACTGCACGCCTCTCAACTAATGTAAGCAAATATGGATGGAGTCGGTTAAGTGGCGATGATGAAAATGATGAAGATGATGGTGAGGAGGAGGAAGGCAGCGGGTCTAACGTATTAAAACTTAGTTCACACTTTCATTCCACATGTTCGCTCTGTATTTAATAGAGTTTGGCCCAGTGAAGACATTAAATATGAGTCTTGCACAAAGTCACTTCTGCTCTCGCCGTGGCTTCTATTAATTAGTTTACCTCATAAATAAAAAACAACGGATCTTTTTTCAGTTTTTAAGTCAAACAGGCTCAGTAACGAGGTCAAAGGTCAGCTGCTGTTGGATGTGATGATAGGAAGCTTCGATCTTAATTTTATCTATTTATAAAGAGGAACAACTTTGAATGACTATTCTACTCTTCATCATGAGCTTTAGAATATTCCAGCTGCTGAGAGGAAAGTCGAGGGAAAAGACTTTAAGTGTATTTTTTTTTCTTTATACTTAAATAAACAAATTAAAACAGGTTTACGTCCTTTCATTTATTTCCTGTTCAGTTCAGTGGCTCAGATTCTGTTGGATTCTTGATTTCCCAAGCTGGCCCTTTGGATCCATGTTATAGTACTTTTATTTGAATGACACGTTTCTTCATCAATAAACTGAGACGCAGCAGTATATTACCCCGCTGTTACTGCTCTGTTAGGGGTAATTGTACACTAATTACCGTGAAGTTGTAAACCCCTCCTGCTGCCAGCCGATTGGTCAGAGCACGGAGGCCCTCACGGTGCTGACTCCGCCCCCCTCCGCCGTCCCAGGTATAAGAAGCTCCTGGTCAACAGCTGGGAGGACAGAACAGAGTGACAGGACTCCAAATTCCTAGAAACCCAAATCAGTGACAGCTCCTCTCCTCCTCCTCCTCTCATCCTCTCCTCCTTTTCTTCTTCTTCTTCTTCTTCTTCTACTGCCGCTGGACTTTTCTTCTTCTCCTTCGGTGGCGTGTTCTGGGACTCGAACCATGGAGCTGTCGGATATCTCTTTCCCCATCCCCGCCGCGGACGACTTCTACGACGACCCGTGCTTCGACACCAGCGACATGCGCTTCTTCGAGGACCTGGACCCGCGGCTGGTGCACACGGGCCTGCTGAAGCCGGACGACTCCTCCTCCTCTCGCTCTGCCTCCCCCTCCTCCGCTTCCTCCTCCTCCTCTCCCACACTCCTGCACCTCCATCACCGCGCCGAGGCGGAGGACGACGAGCACGTCCGCGCGCCCAGCGGGCACCACCAGGCGGGTCGCTGCCTGTTGTGGGCCTGCAAGGCCTGCAAGCGGAAGACCACCAACGCGGACCGGCGCAAGGCCGCCACGCTGCGGGAGCGCCGGCGGCTCAGCAAGGTGAACGACGCCTTCGAGACCCTGAAGCGCTGCACGTCGGCCAACCCCAACCAGCGGCTACCCAAAGTGGAGATCCTGCGCAACGCCATCAGCTACATCGAGTCTCTGCAGGCGCTGCTGCGCGGAGGCCAGGACGACGGCTTCTACCCGGCACTGCTGGAGCACTACAGCGGGGACTCCGATGCGTCCAGCCCGCGGTCCAACTGCTCCGACGGCATGGTGAGTCCGGGGGTCGAAAGTAAACACTGAACCCAAGCGAACCGTGCGTTGAGGCGTAACAATGCGTCTTTACGCACGGATACGAAGCGCGTTTCTGGTTCTCTTAAATTCAGTGTTTACTTTCAGCTTTTATTTCTCATAATCATCCCGTTGGATTCATTCTCACAATTGCATTGATCACATTAAGATTTTAACTTCAGTTGTCCATTTAAAGACAAATATATATTTCTTATTCTAATCAGAAATCTGATCATTTTCTCCTTTTATTTTGGTGGTCAGTATTTCGAGTATTTGCAGCTTTCTTCAGAAATAAAACCGCTTTCAATCCAAACTAAGAAATATCTGTAATTTATGTTCAGAATGAAAAAAAAATTGTTTGGTCTTTTTTGGAGGGATTAAATATTGATTTCGTTAGATCTCAATAATTCTACCTTAAATGGATAATAGGCTGAATTACATGTTGAAGTTTTTGGATGTTCTCATTTTTTAGCTACATTTTTAAATATTTTGATATGAATGTATTTACTTTTTGTATTGCCTTTTTTTTTAATTATAATTCTCAAGAAAATAATCATTTCATATAAAAGACCACCATAACGGAAATAACGTGTCAGTAGAATTCTTTGACTTTATTATAAATGAATAATCGGTCTTTTTGTAAATTATTTTCAGATGTTTACTTTCCTTTTTTAAACAGCTTCGACATTTAAACTTTTCTCTTTAGTCGGAGAGATACAGATTAAGCTTTAATATTTCATTGCTTTGCAGAAATGTTTTATTTCTTAATGAATTCCTTTCATTTTTCTGCAGACGGATTTCAACGGGCCAACCTGTCAATCAAACAGAAGAGGGAGTTATGACAGCTCTTATTTCTCCAAGACTCCAAACGGTAATATAACAATAAATCATCAAATATTGAGGATAACTTTACCACCTAATAGCTAAATTGGGCTACCAGGGAAAAATAATAGGTCATAAAAACACAAGCCTGATGAGGCAAATAAAACAACAAAATAAAATGTCTCAATAAAATGGAAACGAGCAGCTTCTGTTTACTCCCCCAATCCTAGTGTAAGAAATCTATGTTTGTATTTATTCTGTTAGAAAATAAAATATGATGGTAACAACCTCATTTGTTTAATCGGCATTTAATTAATGTTAAATAATGTAGTGGGATTTAATTTAAAATAAAAACTGGAACATTTTACTACAATTGCTCGTTAGATTAATTCAGATAATAACAAAGTTTGTTGTTATTATTTACAGTAAAAGAAAAAAATCAAAACAGATCAAATAATGGAAAAAAACGCAGTTACAAGGGGAAAAGGGAGACAGATTTCTTTATTTACAATCAGGATATTTTTGCTAAACAAAACACTGAACGAAAACAATGATGCTGAAATGAATTGAATTATAAATGTGAATATTAATGTGAATATTAACGTGAATATTAATATGAATATAAATGTGAATATAAATGTGATTATAAATGTGAATATTAACGTGAATATTAATGTGAATATAAATGTGTGCTCTCGTGGTTTAGGCGGTCTGAAGAGTCACAGGAGCTCCGTGGTCTCCAGCCTGGACTGCCTCTCCAGCATCGTGGAGCGGATCTCCACAGACAGCAGCAGCCTGCAGCCGGCCTCCTCCGCCTCCTCCACCTCTGGCCCCGGGGCCTCGCCGCTGGACCCCCCCGCCGCCGAGGCAGCGGCCCCCGTCTGTGTGCCCTCCCCCACCACCAGTCAGGACCCCAACCTGATCTATCAAGTCCTATAGACACCTGGGCCCCCCCGCTCCGCACAACACTCACACAAGGTGAAACAACACTTTTCACTGACTCTCATTTCGTTTGAACGGGTCTTCACGTCTTCACGTAACATCAATCCAACAATCCATTCACACATTTTTTTTTCTCCTGAAACTGAAAGTATGGAAGCTCATTCCTGACGGGGAAATAATAATAATAAAAGAATGTATACTAATCCCAGAGACTCCATCCGTCGATGGAGTTTGACATTTTATAGATTAATTGAAGTTTTAAAGTAATTAAAGTTATTCTCTTAGAAAGGAGGAATATAGTTTTTCAATGCGAAATGTTAGAAATGTCATTCCAAAGTTTCCGTACACCATTTCCTGCAGGAATGACCTTCCATAGCTCGACGTGATTGACCCTAGATTCTAATTCATGCTGTCAAAATAATTAAATTTTTATATTACGGTCAAAACCACTTTTGTAGGATTTGTAGTTTTTCGATCCAGTTCCTGCTGTATTTCTTTTTAGTTTTAAGTTATGAGGAAACATCAGATGGATTTTTCTTCCTTTCCGTAAAAAAAAAATCTTATTTGATGAAGGACGGAGGCCACAAAAAACATCCATTTACATTCCTCCACTTTCGTCCATCTGAAGTCATAAAAGGCCCAGCGGTTCACAGGACAACAACATCTGCAATGATCAAACAGCTGCAGTGATCCTGTGATATTTAAGTATTGATAATGTATTTGATTCGCTGCAGCGGAGGACTGTTTTTCTGTTCCTGTACATAAAGTGTAAATAAGAGGGGATTTGTTCCAACTGAACGTATTAATTATGTATTTAATGTTTCCGTCTGTGCTTTTGTTTGTTGTGAAAATGTTTAACTTTATATTTATACATCTGAAAAAGTGTGACTGTCTAATGCCAATAAATGAACCTGCTTATTTATACAAAAAAACACAACTCTGCTTGTTTTATGATAAGTATACTTCATGCAGGGGATGAAGGGGAATGAAACAAGTTTTGTTTTGCTACTGACACACACACATATGCTATTTATATAATATAAATAATATATGCTATTTATGCTAAATATATAATATGCTATTTACATAAATATCCATCCATCCATCGTCAAACCGCTTATCCTGCACACAGGGTCGCGGGGTCCCAGCCAACTTCGGGCGATAGACAGGGTTCATCCTGGACGGCTCGCCAGACACACAACCATTCACACTCACATTCACACTCCTACGGGAAATTTAAAGTCCCCAATTAACCTGATCCCCAGAGCATGTCTGTGGACTGTGGGAGGAAGCCGGAGAACCCGGAGAGAACCCACGCAGACACGGGGACGGGGAGAACATGCAGACTCCACACAGAAAGACCACTGGGCGGATTCGAACCCAGGACCTTCTTGCTGTGAGGCAACAATGCTAACCACCACGCCACCGTGCCGCCCTACATAAATGGTGGTGGCAAAGCGTCTTTGGGTACCTAGAATAGCACAATAAAAAAAAGTATTATATATGTATATATATTTTTTTTTAAACAGCTGCAAAATCTTTTTGTTATTTATTACACGTCATCATAAAACTGTTTTAATTTAGAATAAGGTGATCAATTAAAATAATCTCTAAAATAGAATGAGTTATCATGTTTTTCTGTAACACAGATGTTTATTAAAAGAGCTGTAGCGCCACCATGTGGCCGCATGAAGAACTGCATCATTCTTCCTGTCTGTTGCATTTCTTTATATTACCTAAAATTTAGAAGAAAAACCTCAAAGGTTTAGAAATACCGAATTTCAAATATTTATTTGCACTGAAGTCCTGAACGAAATGATAATAATTTTAATTTGTCAATTATTTAATTCACACAGGAGCATTCAACACCATGTGGTTATTTCATTTGGACTTAATATGTATTAGATTACTACAAAACGTTTTTGAAAATGTATGTACTATTACATGCACAGTAATAGTGGTAGTAGAGTATAAAGTATTCAGATTATCTTTAAAGTGACGAACACTTACTTTTTCTCATAGACGTCTATAGCAGTGGTCCCCAACCACCGGGCCGCCGACCGGTACCGGTCCGTGGTACCGGGCCGCACCACTGAAAGCTTCTATGTATATTTTTTCTGAAAAATGTTTGATTTTGAAAATTGACCGGATTTTCTCCTAATAATGTGCGCTCGTCTCTCTGACATATTCCCTAACCCTGACATATTCCCCACACCAGCCGTTTTTCTTGTCCTTTTATCGCGCACGCCATTTTCGCCGACCAGCGAACACAGAGCGCGCCCGCAACGACTACTACCCCCCCCCCCCCCCCGTCGGAACTTCTCGAACGGGCCGCGGAATATTGTCTGACATGAAAACCGTCCTTGAGGTAAAAAAGGTTGGGGACCACTGGTCTATAGGACCAGAGGAGTGGCCCCCTGGTGGTCACTACATATAATGCAGCTTTAAAACGTGAAGCTCTGATTTAACTTTAATGAACCAGTGGTTGTCTCCTGGACTGAAGCTCTCTACCTTCCTCTCCTTGTGTCTTCTTCTTCAGTGGTTCAAGGTCACCAGACTGGATATAAACGGATATTCAGCATTTTTGTTCAGCATGTGTTATACTGACAAAAGCGGTAGAAATAAAGAGACGTTTTCTCTTATTCTCATTTGTTGGTTACATCAAAACTGAACAATAAAAAAAACTCTTCAGGTGTGATTCTCGCTTTTAAAAAACTTTCTCAAATCAGTTCCCAACTAAAGTCCTCACAGCGACCTAACGTGTCCCTCTGAACTCTACCGGTCTTCAGAGACTGAGCACACAGATTTCCTGTCGCCTCCATCGGTGGAATGGAGAATAATGATAATGAAATCTCATTCATTTGTCTCTGAGGTTTTATTCCAAGATCTGATGATCTTCCCTCTACTTTTACCGTTGAGAGCGTTTCGGCTGAAGCGAAAAGCGTCTTTTAGACTCTTTTAGTCTTTTAGTACTTCCTGCCGACTGAACTATCAAACAACTTTGATTCAACTCTGTAGTTAGAAAACAGTGTTGAACAAAACGACACTGAACTTTATTGACTTGTGAATGACAGCAGCTCTACAGACATGGCTTCAAGTGTCACACTTTATTTACAAAACTTCTGAGAACCAACAGCTGAGGAGCGAGGAAGCGTGATGGTGAAACAAGCTTTTTCTTTTTTTTAGTTTTTATTTCCTATCGAGTAGCAGTTTCTCGGGGGCGGGTCGAAGTCCAGCTCAGCGTTACTGGCTTCTTCTTCTTCTTAGCTACGACCTGCGGCCGGTGTGTCAGGCTCGCGTCCGACTCGGTCGTAGCGTTGCTCTGTGGGGACGGTCTACTTCCTGCGGCGGGCAGCTCCCTTCTTGCTGCTGTGATACGGAAGAAAAACAAGCAAACACATCAGAGCATCTGGGGATTTTGGAACAGGGAGTGGAGGATGTTAAAACTCAAAACTGAGTTTGCAGGGCACAAAATCTTTTACTTAGTCTGATAAAATTGGTATTTTGGGCAGGACCTGCATGACGTCGGAGAAATAAACTACATGGCCTTGTGTCAAGCTGAGGGTGTGCTGGAACCGCAAGATTGGCGGTTCAAACCCCGGCTGCTCTATGTCCCATGTCAAAGTGTCCCTGAGACACCTAACCCCTAATTACTTCCCAAGCAAAATGTAAAAACCATGCATTAAAAATTCAATGTAAGTTGCTTTGGATAAAAGTGTCAGCTAAATGTAATGTCAGGAATGACATTGAAAGAGAGAAGAAGGAAGTTGAAATTCTTATTAAATGGGTATTGAAAGGGAAATTAGGGTAAATCATAAAAACATAAATCCTACAGCTAATTCTGCAATGTTATAATGTAACACAAAAGTTGGATCTGTTCTCTATATATGATAACAGAAACTAAGCATGTTCTCCCTTTTAGTTTGAATAGATTTCTTTAGCTTGATATGATGAGCAAGAATTCTTCAGTTTTCCATCTCCACAGTGTAAAATACAGGTTTTGTTTTTATCGCCATGATGATTGTGCGAAAAACCTGTGGGTAGCTAACGTAGCTAACATTAAAGTTTAAAAAGTAAATAAATGCAAAAAAGATCTTTCATTTAACGGAACTAAATGTAGCCTTCAATATGAGAAAGAAGGAAGATATGGTTTCAGTTTGAATGTTTTAACCCGCTTGTATACTAAAACATAATCAAAGTAGGAAAAAAACTGCCAAGGTCGCAAAATAAAACCTTTATTAGGAAAACATGCGTTTCACAAATGGCTGAAAAGGAAAAAGAGCTGAGTCCGTCTTCTGCTAGATAGACCCTACCCTTTCCGTAAGAAGTTAATGTCGTTGTGTTTTCCTATTTGCTGTTGTTTTCCTATTTGCCGTTGTGATTTGCACTTCAAAGCCACCGTACGTTCATCACTTACCTGCACGTTCAATGAATCGCAACCGAGTCCGACGGCGACTTACCCGGATTCACTTCACAGTCACGGTTGTAACGATCTTTAGCTTCAGCCTTAAGCTATCGTAGCGGTTCAGCTAAGTTCATAAACTTTCAAAATTACATAGAAACCATTTAATTAGTTGTAAAAAATGTAGTTCATTTAGGGTTTTCTACGTTACTTGCACAACTAAGTGTAGCTGAACCGTGCTAGCTTTCAGCTATGTTAGTTGGTCAACTAACTAAACTGTTTTATAGACTGAAGCTACAGATCATTTAAAAAGTTGCTTTTTATAAACGCTTTTCTGCCATAAATGGGAGAGGTCATGACCTTTATGTCTGAACAGTAGAGAATTACTAAATTGACCTTTAGAGAGAAAAGAATCTGGTTCGCTCTGGTTCTCATGCGACCTTCATGCCAACATGCAGCGAGCCGGGAACACCCCCCTCCCCCTGCTGCTCGGCTCTACTCACAATTTACTGAGCTCCTCCACTCTCTTACGCAGGGTCGTAACCTGCAGGGAATCAAAGACACAGTGGGGGTTCAAAGTGTGGATTGACAGGGTTTGGATGTGTGGATCAGAGCACGAATCAAACGTGCCTGTGGAGGAATATGTTATTCGCAAGTGATGACACATACCTCATCAAGCTAAACCGTGAAATAAAAAGTCTTCAAATGTTAAATGTGAATTGCAATGATCGGAAAATCAATTATTCAATTCACTTATATAGTAAAATGCACTGAACCACTGAATTGGATTGGCTCATAATTGATAAAGTTTGAATAAACACTATTACAAAATGACGAATTATTGCCTTTCTGTTATTGACAACTTTCAATACTACTGATTGACATTGTTATGTTCTGAACATTTTAGTAAGTACCCTGTTAAAATGATGAAATAACCCATTGATATGTATAAATGTCTCACCTCGTATTTCTGCCTCTTCAGTCTTTCCATGTGGTCAAACTTCTCGGACTCCAGCTGGGTCATCCACTCATGCAGCTCGGTGATCTTATCCCTGCAGGGACACAAGAACAGCGTCATGTATGAAGGGACGTCCTCTCTCATGGTGAGCAGGTAAGACTAAGGAGAGTCCAGGTAAGACTAAGGAGATTCCAGGTGAGACTAAGGTGAGTCAAGGTAAGACTAAGGTGAGTCCAGGTGAGACTAAGAAGAGTCCAGGTAAGACTAAGGTGAGTCCAGGTAAGACTAAGGTGAGTCCAGGTGACACTAAGGTGAGTCTAGGTGAGACTAAGGTGAGTCCAGGTAAGACTAAGATGAGTCCAGGTGACACTAAGGTGAGTCCAGGTGAAACTAAGGTGAGTCCAGATGACACTAAGGTGTGTCCAGGTGAGACTAAGAAGAGTCTAGGTGAGCAGGTGGGACTAAGGTGAGTCCAGGTGAAACTAAGGTGAGTCCAGATGACACTAAGGTGTGACCAGGTGAGACTAAGAAGAGTCTAGGTGAGCAGGTGGGACTAAGGTGAGTCCAGGTGAGACTAAGGAGAGTCTAGGTGAGCAGGTGGGACTAAGGTGAGTCCAGGTCAGGAGGTGAGATTAAGGTGAGTGCAAGTCAGCAGGTGAGACTACGGTCAGTCCAGGTGAGACTAAGGTGAAAAGGTGAGACTAAGGTGAGTCCAGGTGAGCAGGTGAAAAGGTGTCTAGGATGTACTTCAGCTTGTCTTCGTTCAGGTGGTCGATGTTGAGCTGCTTGCGTCTGGCGGCCAGGATCTTCTTCTTCTTCTCTCTCTCAGTCTCTTTCTTTCCTCCTCTCTTCTGATCGGCCTGTCCGGTGGAGTGATGGTTAGTGCAGATTAAAAGCAGTACTTTCATCTCAAGGAAAAGTACCCAAAGTACATCTAAACATACTTGGATCTGTGTATTTACGTTTTATGCTAACTCATACTTTCTTCATTCATTCATTTGACCCTACCAGATACTTTTTAGATATACCATTACATGATAGGAAGCAGGATTTGTAGTATTCAAAGTATCTCAAATTGGCTCCACATTGACAAATTGAAGAGTAATATCTCACATAATAAATGAGCTCTTTCTGCACAGTAAGTACTTTCAGTTTTGATGCTCCAGTTAGATAATACTTCTATTTATTGACTATTTCTTGCAATGGAGTATTCAAAGATTATATTTATAATTAAAAAGTTGCAATAACACGATTAAAAAAATAAATAAATGAATGCGTTACTAGATTTTCTAGTACTAGAAGTAGTACTAGTACTATTACTGTGTACTGACTTTCTGCAGGTGGCTGCTGTAATTGGAGCCCATGCTGGACAGAGCCGACTTCTTCTTTGCGTCGTCATCTTGCTTCTTCTTGATGTCGCTCTCCTCCCTGATCCGCCTCTCCTCCTGGAGAAGGAAAAGAAAGGAGGCGGTGAGTGAGACCAGAGTCGGATTCCTCAGAGTACTGATCCCTGACTCCGCAGCACGGGACACAATAAAGTCATAGAGCAACTTGGCTGTGCCAATGTACACAAATGTAAAATAGATAAAAAAGATAAAAAAAGAAGATGCAGCGTTTTCATTCAAATGTGGCTTCAATGGAAATATGCAAATAAATTGAATATATTCACAGATAAGTGCAGATGTATACAGCAAATATATAAATATATACTAGAATATCGTTTGTTGAAAACACTTCTACTTACCAAAGAAAATGTAAGCCCTGCCCCTCAAAAAAGTTATTAGATCAAATCAATTTGACTTATGATATTATATATATATATATATATATATTAGGGCTGTCGATAGATTTTAAAAAAATGACTAATTAATCACACATTTTGAAATTCATTAATCTGAATTAATGGCAATTAATGAATGTTGTTTTTAATGAATGTTTGTAATGAGTAATCAATTTTTAAAAACCTCTGTTTTACATCCAATGCTAATAATTCTCTCCATCTTGAGCTACCGTCTTGCTTTCTTCGATGTCAGTTCAAAGTAAACAAAGGTAGTCACGTACTGTTCATACCAGTGTTACACCATAACACCTGACGTGGCTCTTTGACAGGCAGCAGAATTTTTTTTTACAAGGCTTTGAGCGGTTGGAGCTACTTATGGAACTACTTATGTGTGTTGAGTCATGGTTCTAACTTTATAATAACTTTCTAACAAAGAATAACCCACAACAAACACTCTTTAACAGCGTGAAACACCACGACACAACAGCTTGTGACACATAAACAATTTGTAACACTAATAATTGTACATTTATAAAAAATACCCGCCGAACTGCATGCTGGGTACAGCTCACAACAAGAAGTAACTGTTGCTACATGAAAACACAGAAAAGAGCGATACAGGAGGAGAGACCAACGAGAGACCAGAGATGCACCGACACAACTTGTGTCCAAGAGAGGAGCTGTGTCTGTTTGGAGGGTTCTTGGTTTTGGAAAATCCAACGGAAGTTACGTTTGATAAGAAAACGATTTATTACAAAGTCTGTCGAGTCTCTGGCGGCAACACTAGCAGCCACAACAAGCTAACATGCTAACATGCTAACACGCCGGCCAGTTGCGAGCCAGTTGCGAACGAGTTGGTCTGTTCGGGTAGCCGGAGGTCCTTTTCGGGGTCGATGAATTAATGTGTTTACTTGAAAAACCAATAAACCGTCACATACCGGGATACCGTCAGAACCTTTCTAAATACCGTGATATGGATTTTTGGCTAAACCGCCCAGCATGTACATATATATACATATGTACTTATACTGGGCACCAAACAAAATACCACTAACCTCTCGTCTGGCCTGACGCTCCTTGTCCTTCTCAGAGCGGACTCTCTGCTGCTCGGCACGCTCAGCGCGACGCTTCTCCTGCAGCGTGATGGGATTATGAAGCCTGATGTCACTGATCATGTTCATCATAAGGCATGACATTTACAGGGACAAAATTATTTTATGTCCTAAAAGTTTAATCAATTGATTCAACAGTTAGGTTTAACTCACGATCCTGTCCTTCAGGGCGATCAGCTCTTCCTCCTCCTTCTTCCTGTGCTCAAAGTGAGCATCGATGAGACCCTGCAGCTCCATCAGATCTTTGTTCTGACGTTTCTTCTGGATATCCTGATGGTGAGAAGGAAACAAACCTTCAGCTCAATACTAAACCTCTTGGACTGAAATCCTGGCGACATTCCGGTCGTCTTACGTCAAAGTCCACTTTCTCTCCATCGGGGATCTTGGGGGCGCTGGGCCTAGAAGCAGAGTTTTCAGTGCGGTGGCTTTAGTGTTTAATGCTTTATTTTCTTATCAGACAAATGTCTCGAGAGCAAATGTCTGCAGAAATCTTTTGAAGTGCACTAGATTAAACTTACTTGAACTTTGGCTTCTCCTCTGCAGGTGAGGAAATGAAGAGGGGACAAGTACATGTCGTGGGGTTAGAAACCAAGCGGATTATTTCACTTTCTCTCAGGCATTAAGCGGATTGAACTACAAGGTGTTGATTTTTTAAATGGAAGTTAGAGCCTCAATGTTGAAATTAGGGTTAAAACAACAAGTGAACACTAAAATAGAAAAAACAACCATTTAAAACTTCTCTTATCAAAGAGAACATTAGGATGTTTAGTGGACACCAGAGAATCTCGCTGTGAGTGAAGCTACACAACGTTGAATTCTGACAAAAATTACCAATGGGATTCCTCATTGGTCTGAATAAATTGTGACATTCATGTGTACAATATGTGTAGTGTTTTTATTTGGCTTGACCCCAAATCCATTTTAACAAGCAAGACAAAGTCCCCAGTCCCCCGCCCCTCCTCCCCTTGAGTTCTTGTCATGACACCCAGATTCTGGCGGCTCCATGCCATGCAGAAGACGAGTGGCAGCAAAGAGTGGCAGCGCTGGGAAGCACGTGTTAGCATCTCATGGTTTTTCCCCTTTTTTCTCCACCAGCAACTTTAATCTAGAAACTTCATCAATGGCTTTTTAAAATTATGGTAATTTTTTGTGTTTTCGTTCGGAATTGGCCAGCGCTCCTGGATTTATTTCAACAAAGACAGATGGAAAATCAGTAGGCGTTACCCGAGGTACAGACGTCAGACCTGGACACCGTGGTCCTCCCCAAAACCAGAATGACAGATTATAGATTCCGTCACATTAATCCAAATCAACATACCTTCTCCTCCCAAGGCCTCTGCATGCAGAAAGCATCCCAAACGAAAAAAAGCAGAATAGACAAGAAGCGTCAGCAGGAGTTCTGAGGGCAGCAAATCAGTTTGACATAGAGAAACTACAACATGTACCGACCGTAAATCCTCAAATAATAACCGATATTAGGAGGCCAGCACCAACAAGTAAAGGCTCTTCAAAGAAAGTCACTTGTAATTTGCTGTATAGAAATTTAGCTGCTGTGATATGTGTGGAGGCAAAACCATGCCAGTTTTCATTTAAATATTTAAAGTAATATCCTGTCATCAAAAAAAGGTTTTGTGGAGTTTCAGGTCAATAAAAGGCCAATATTTGAGGGTTTACAAATAAATATATTCTTAAAACTTTTGTTGAAGTCACAGTTTCACCTTCAAACAGGACGTACCAAGTGGGATTCCTTTAAAGTGCCTGAATTCACATGCCATCTCAGAAATGTCAAAGTAAAGCTGGAAAGTCTGGGTATACGTCTAGAATGCAGCGACAGTTCTGAACATGATCCACATCATCCGCAGCAAATTGCAGCTTCTAGGTGTCATGCTTTGAGTTTGACATTAAACCACAGATTTAGTTTCATAAACATGTGAATGCAACACCAACTTTCCACCAGCATGTGAGCCTAATAGAAGATGGTATGACAGGTTAGAAATGGTTGAGATACGAGACACCATCTAAACAAAACCGGTCAAGACATAGTATGCATTAACTAATACGAAAGCAACCATGTACCCAAAATAAAATTATTTAGAGTACATGTAACAGTAGTAAAAGTGGGATTAGACTGATAAAAGAGACCAATATTTAACCCCCACTGTTTTTTGGTGTCATATTTTCAGAACTAATAAGTGCCTGAGAGTATTATTTAAGCTTCACTCATAAAGTAAATTTTGTTGGCTTGGCTTAAGTTTACACAAGAGGTTATTATTATTCACTAGCGGAGTATCTATAAATCTAAATTCTAACAGGACAAAAGTTAAGAGACTTAATAGTTTAAACGCTAATAAAACTAAAAGAACAAGAGGTAGTTGAACAAAAGCTAATGAAATAAAAGCTAATGGTTTAAAAGCTAACGGGACCAAAGCTAATGGTTTAAAAGCTAATGGTACAAAAACTAATGGAACAATAGTTAATCAAACAAAAACCTAAGGAACAAGAGCTAATGGTACAAAAGCTAATGAAATAAGAGGTAGCTGAACAAAAGCCAACGGTACCAAAGTTACAGCTACATACGCTAATATATACAGTGTGGCAGTCCTTTGGCTCTTTATATCAGTCTAAATCATATGATTTAGAATGTGTGTATTATGTTTATATCGACATAACATGTATTTGCATTCCCACAACTTCTGCCCTTTTGAGCACTTTGTCGATAGGTGAAAGGAGGCGTTAGCACTAGCATGGTGTGCATGGGGGCGGAGTCAGGATTAGGGGGGGTCGGTCTGGCCGGCTGCCGCCTTTATGGAGCGCACCTTTTGCCTGGGAAATATACCCCCCCCCCCTCCGTACCACATACCTTCATACTCAGGCTCTTGTTCTGGTTCTGGTTCTGGTTCTGGCTCTGGTTCTACCACTGGTTCTGGTTCTGGTTCTGGCTCTGGCTCTGGCTCAGGGGCCGCCTCGGGGGCCACCTCTACTTCCTCTACTACTTCCTCTTGTATGGATACACAACATGCAGCGGGTCACCAAGGGAGAGGAAGGGCGGTGCGATGGTTAATGGAAGCAAGTAGAGAAAAGGGGTAGGCAGGAGGAGGTGATTCGGAATGGGGGGGTGAGTTGATGGAAAAAGAAAGGTGGGAGGAGAGACGTTTGATATGAGGAGGTTCACGGATGGCGCTAAAGCATGTGACACAGCAGGCGGTTACAGGAGAGAAAAGGTCAATCATTGATGGATGAGATGCGATCGGCTCCTCAAGGACAACTCGGTGTGGGTCGAAGACAAAAAGAGACACGTTCCACCCCGCGTTCTTCATTTATCTCAGTTAGTGTAAACCGACATGCCACAGAAAATAGTTCACGGTGAAAATAGGCTACAGGAAATCACTAACGAATTAGTACTGGTTGCATTAGATCTCATGTCTTACCATCGTATTCTTCACGTCCGTCCGAGAAAAGAAAGGAGCAGAAGAACATCAGAAAAAGATCCCAGGTTTGTACCCATTTTTTTGGACAAAATGTGTAGATTCAAAAATGTGGGTACATAGGGGATCCATGCTAAGCACAAAGCGGCGCCTTTCCTCCCGGGACGACCGGCGGCCAACAGACAGTGGCTTTTTTAAACCTAAAAATGTCATTTTGGTCTGTGGACCGGTCGGCTCGGGAGGGTGGGGGGGTGTCGTTGCAGGTGATCATGCAGAGCTGCAGAGCTTCAGTTTTTTATCATCTTTTGCTTGATTGTCACTTAAGATCTTTTGACACCATGCACCAGGATAATGTATCCCAGCAGATTGGCTTGGAAAAGGGAAGAGAGCATTACTGCAAAACTTGAACCCGGAGGGAGTCAAGCCAAACCTGTGAACAATACCGACTTGTCCAGTGCAAATACTTCTCTGCGTTGGGGTGGATATTCACTTAGGCAAAATTAATTTAGCATGTAATTCCGGATTGTACCTGAAAGCTGAAAAGGATGCTACTTACCCTCCTGACCACTGCAAGAGAGAGGGCAAAGAAATTCTGATAAGACGCCTCACAATGTGCACCAGTATTTTTGACAAAATAATCCTGCATGAACCATCTCTGTGGGAGGTGAACATTAGTGGAAGTCAATGCGAGTGGACTTACACTTCCTCGGTGTCAGACATGATGACGGTGGACTTTGCAACCTGTAGGCGAAAGAGAAGGGAGAATTAAAAGTCGTCCTACAGGACTCGAGCCGGCTGTATTTATAGCTCGGGATTAAGTTGCAGATGTCTTGAATGTCTGCGGCCGACCCCACCCTGCTGCCCTGTGCATATCTCAACCCCCCACACCCACCAAAAAAGAAAAATGAAACAAAATAAATATCTTTATTAAACCAAATGTTTTTGTTTGGAGGAGGTTGTATTTGGAAGAAAAGACTCGCTGATTGTTTAAATCTGGCCCTCAAAAGGCCAGTTTATAATTAGAGCTTCAACTTTGGGCTGAAATTGGAGCCTTGGTCCTGAATCTGCTTCTCAGATGATAAGTGAGAAGGGATCCAAAGTTATATTTGTGCCACCGGTTTGTTTTCAACTGCTGATGGATGAGTTTAATGTTGAAGGGAGTGGGGGGGTGGAGGTTGGCGTCCTCCCCTCTTCTCTCACAAGTCCTGAAAGACTTTTTTATCTTTAGACATCCTCTTCTGGCAAATTCCGCCTCCCACTGATCGATCGATGATTGCCTCCGTGAGTCGAACTGATCAACCCGATCACACGTTGGATCAAGTGCCCCTTTGGTTAAATTAGCGTGAGGCCGCTCCAGGAATGCATCCTGACATCAGAACTATTTCTAACTGACAGCTGCGCGGATTTCCAGATCCGGTTTCAGTGGAGGGGGGCGGGAGGTAAGATTCGGTCTAGAAAGATTGGGTTCCTTACCCCGGACCGCTTACCCACGATTCCTCATTCATGTCCTTATCCGGTCATCTCGTCATGTTCCCTACTTAGAAATTAAAGAGGCTGACGCTAAGCTAACGCTAAAGGCTTCCTTGTATTCGCTCTTTGGATTGTGTTAACTGCAAATTTGAGTCTCCCCTCCCTCACTGACCCCCTAACCCCATGTCGTATTCTTAAGTCTGGTCTTTTTTTCGGCTCCCGTTCACAATGTTAAAGTGTTTATCCTCAAGCTATGTGTGGATTAAATGAACACGCCATGCCCGAGACATCGCAGACAATATTCAGCGTGCCCCCCCCCCCCCTCCTACTGGACTTAAAATGACAGAAATAACAACACCATTCGCCGCCGCATAACTCATTAGTGTCGTTCTCGGTCCCCCGCAGGACAAAGTTGCCTCAAAGGTTTTAAGCCATCTGTAAATCCTTCAGGTATGAATGTCCGCTGGGAGGGGGGGGGACTTGGACCCCGATCAAGACCAACACGGAAACAACAACAACAAAAGCCCTCTTAAGACAACAGCGGATGTCGCAACTTCCTAAAACCCCAATGATTGATTCAAGATTAGAACCACAGTAAAAACTAGGATGCGGGATCATCTCCCTCTTTGGAGGGGGGCCCCGTTCCCGTCTCACCTCGTGACCCCCGGCAGCAGCCTCCATCGGCCGTTGCAGTGATTTTTCAACACACATGGACTTTGCTGTCCTCAGATTTGTGTGACATTAGTGTGGAAGGGGGTGGGGGGGCATTGCATATGAGCTCCCTGCTACTCACACTCACAAACACTCTCGCTCTCACTCTCTTACCTCAGAAAAGCTGAAAGAAGTGAGCTCCCCGCTGGCCGAGACTGGCTGTAAGGTTCTGCAAACTTACCGCGCTGATTATGTCCTTCTGTTATAGTGACACACGATCCGCTTGCCCTCCCCATTGGCCAGAGACGTGTCCCGGAGGCGAGGCCGGACCGAGGGTCCTGCAGCTTTTGCCGCCCCCCCTCCATCCCGCCATTGCCACTCAATAAGGAGATGGAAGGGTTGAATACTAAGGTGGAAGGCTCAAGTTTAGAGAAGGGGGAAGGGGAGGGGGGGGGGCGTCCGAGATGCCCTGCTAGGTTGCTATTCTGGGGCAGCTGCATTTTAAGGCAAGCAGAATTACAAGTGAGGGTGAGAGGCCGTCGTCAAGGGAGCGGGTCAGGTGGCGATCCTGAACCTCTTAAAGACTCCCAGGGACATATTCACACAGCGTTCAGTCAGAGGAGGACCTGAGGAATGTGTCCGTCCAAACTCCCCTCTGATCGACTCCTCTGGTTCCACCTGAGAAATCCACACATCCGCTTCAGGAGGGTCTTCAAGTCGAGCAAAGACACCCAATGACAAAAAATGACAACTGAGAGGCTACACACCCTACTGCTAATAGCCTCAAATTGAAGGGAAATACACTCCAATTAGATTAAATTTAACTTTTAAAGAAGAATATTAGGTGTTAATTTGTTTTTGAATGCTTAAATTGCCACACAGTGTGATCTGTAATAGCACAAATATAAACTTAATACGTGACTTTATTTGCTCATTCATTTTTATAGTTTATGTTCAGATCATTTTTGTCATTAAAAAGGCCCCATTGAAATGTGTATTCACTTGGATTGAACTCTGGCAGAGAATATTCTTCCAGGAATCTGATAGAGGATCAGTCTGATCTGTTGCTAATGTCTTTTGCTTTAGCGCCAAGTCTAAACAAGCTGCATCATGAATCATTCAGCAAACTCCTGGGATTGATTTACAAGCATGATCTGTGATCCGAGGGTCGGCCATCATAAATGATCCTCTTTATTTTCCTGCAGGGGGCGCTGCAATGACATAATAACGAACAGAGTGGGGGTCCCTTGTGAGGGAGGGATCTGAACCCAAAGAGACAAAGAACTGTTTGATTGAGCCGTTGATGTTCTGGACACAAACCACTGGAACGGTTAAGGAACTCCCCTCTAAGGAAGCTAGAATGTTTCCTCAAGGATCCTCATACCTCTTCAAATCACAACTAGAGCCACACTAAGGAGTGATCTGTTCCACACCTGCCAATACAAACCTGGTAAAGGACCCTTAAAATACTTTTGAGGACACCTTTGGAGGATCACTCCTGATACTCTCCTGAACCTCCAAAATACTCCAGAAATCGTCAAAAACACCCCATTAATACTTGCCTCGTGAATGCACAGGAGATATTCAATGACCTCATTAAGGACCATTAGGAAGCCTTTAATCGTATTTGTTACCACGCCCATTTTACTGATTTCCCAGAAACGTCCGCGACACACCGAGATGAAAACCTTTTTCAAATGTGCCACATGCAACCAACCGACCGATGCCACAGGACTTGCTTAACCGTTAAGGACGCCACAACATCCGGATGACAAACTGACAAAAGGGCGACGGAAGGATTTACAGGACTGGAAATACAAGACATCACGTTAAAAATGACAGTTAGGCTTTGACAACTAAGCCAAATGTTGGTCTAAATAATTAAACCAGCGGGTGACAAATAACATTTTCTCAGGAAGCCCACCCCCCCGGAACCCTATCGCATCCTCTACGGGCCCCCCAGGATGTCCCTGGGAGGGCACATTTAGAGCCCTGAGGTGGTGAAATCTAAGGTCCCGCGGTCTGACCACGGTGCACCTCGCCGCCGGCCCTGCTGCCGCTCCGAGCAGCTCCCAGGGCTCAGCGGTTATTTTTGGACCGCCATGGCGTCCGTTCCTTCCATTTGTAGGAAGGGAGGGGGGGTTGGGGCTGGGGGGCGAGCTGGGCTCAACATGAACCTACGGCTCTGACACTCCGGGCTGGGACAAGCAGGCAGCAGCCGGGCCGGCCGCCCCCCGAGCAGCAGTCGCACAGGTAAACACGCCGTTATTACACCTTTTATTCTCAGATAGAGCGCGGGGAAGCCGTTAGCTGTGTCGCAGGAGGGTGGGGGGAACGGGGGGGTGTTGTTGGGGTGGGGGCTCAGGGGACAACCGCCAATACAGAAACCCCCCCACACCCCTCCCTCTCCCCCGACCTCTGTGTTGGGCAGTTTGCACCAGGAGGGCTGAGCTAAGTTAGCTTGCGGCTTCACAGTGTTTCTGTTTTGCAGTTATGAAGAATAAAATTTGATATTCTACATTGAAGCTGAATGTTCTCCTTTTGTTTCTAGGGGAACCTGCCCGTAGATTTGAACACAGGCAACACGTTATCACGTTATTCACCTGGTAGGTTCTTTCTCCTTCTGCTTAAAAGCTGTTTGCTATGTTCATATGTAACCGCATTTTAGCCGTAAGACTTATCTTTTTTTTGGGGGGGGGCGGGGGGGGAGTTGATTCATTCACTGGAGGACGCCATTCTTACACGGCTATTATTACCCTTTCCTCTTTTGAACGTGCATCTGAAGGCGCTCCAAATACCGAACCTTCCAGGGCCTTAAATGGAGGGTTGGGCTCTCATGTGTCAAATGGCAACAGGTTCAGGGAGGGGAGGAGTGGGTGGAAGAGGGCGGGGGGGGGGTCTAAAAACACCACCAACCATGGTCTACATTTTACTGAGTGGACACTCGTAACAATCTGAGGATATTGTTCAGTTGTTTTGTACAGACTGCACTGTCAGTTGTCTTCGTAAAGGTATCTGAACCATGATTGCACCAATGTTATTTTTTTCTGATCAACATTCTCAGGGGGGTTGGAAATAAAAACAAAAACAGAAACATTCCACCAAATATCCCCAACCCCTAATGTTAAATGCCTGTACTCTTGTGTGATTGAGTAATTCTCCATGTTTTTGATGCCCTATCCAGTGTCATTGGCACTGTGATGTCATGAGTCATGTGCTCTGCATTCACTTCCACCCCTCAGCAGATATATATACACACATCTAAATGAGTGGATCCATGCGGAAAGAGACACAAGAGTCCTACAAAGTCCTGATGTATAATATTTTACATGCTTTTATAACATTTAATATAGATAAAGCATTACTCTACATTACAATACTTACATTCCGAGCCATGTTAACATTTGGATTTGCGTTTTCATGATCCTTGGATGGACCCTAATGATTTTGTTGACCTGTTCTTTTTCCTGTAGCATCAGGACACATTTTACACAGAATTGGCTCGAAATATTTTATTATAGGATGGAACATTTTGTTTTTAAAGATTTTTGTTCAGATTTGGATATTTGTGGTTGGGGCTGGGGGCGAGGTTGGATGAATCCTAATGATTTTGTTGACTTCTTTGCTTTAACTCTTCGTTTCGCCACCAAGTTTTCCTTTTTTAAAACAACGGTCCAGATGATGAACAATTTAGATTTTTAGTTCTTATCTTCTAGCAACACCTTTTGCCGTTAAAACAACCAAATATTTCTTTGTTCGATATTTGTATTGAAAAGACGTAACGTTATGAATTAACATTTTTACGCATGACTCATTGCTCATTGCTGCACATGTTGCCTACAAGACAACGTACCATCCTAAATTAAAGTGATTATTTAATCTCCATTTCTGTGTAGCAGTTGTTGAACTACTGTAACTATTCAAATCCTACATGATAAATAAAGATTTTGCTGCGATTGTGGAGTCATCACATGGTAACAGTTCATCCTCTGTGGAGCAGGAACGTCAACAATAAATTTCATAATTCTTGTGTAGTAAAGGGAATTTAGGTATGATATGGCACTACAGGACTACAATTATTCTAAATGATCCTCTGGTAACCATGAATGACCAATGATTTAATGCAGGGGTCTTCAAGCGGAGGTACAGCAGGGGGGTCGGGACATTTTTGGTTGATAAGACAATTTTTTATTTTTTTTTCAACCAATTTTTTCCCAACCAATTTAAATGACTTCAGAATAAGAATTGTATTTATTGTCTTTAAATACACATTAACATGAATCCAACATGGTGTAGCGAATGGATAAATTGATGGAGGAAAAGTTATCTTTCAGTCCTGCAAATACGACAGCACAGGCACTAGCCAATCAGGTCACTTTGATGCTCAGGTCTAAAGAGCGCAAAGCTCAAAAATAAAAGATGGCGGACCAAACTCCGTAGAATAGGGGGTCCCTGCTCCATCTCGCCATCAGTTTAAGGGGTCCTTGGCCTGAAAAACGTTGAAGACCTCTGATTTAATGGGAAATTAGCCAGTTGTTTAGGTGTTTTCTCCAAACTGATTTATTATTATTATTGAATATGTCAGGGTTTTTTTAAAGTAAATGGAGGGCAAAAATAGATTAGAAAATCATTTACATTTATTTTAAAAAAGGGATTCAAACACAAAAATTAAAATACAAACAGATATCTCAGTATATGGATATTAAAAGTGAGAAACGTCCGCAGTAGACAAATGTAATGAATGTTGTTGAAATGTAACAGATGCCAAAACAATGTCATCTTTTTTAGGGCTGTAACAAGTGACCAGATATATTCAAATCTCTGTTTTACTTTCAGTGTTATCACACAACAATTCAGATTGTTCTTTAGCCACAAGTGCAGAACAGAGAATATAACGACTTTTGATCCATCATCATTTTTGTCTAAAGCAGCTATTAACTGTAGAGGAGAAGAATACCCAAACATTAAAGCTCAGTCATATATATACAAAACTGAATGTCAGAACACACAAAGAGGAAATTTAGTAAAAATAGACATTTGATGATCAGTGAGTCCAAAAAATGTATTTATTAGATATACATGAAATATTGAGTCCCCCGACAGTTGCTTCTTACAGACTTGATGAGAAGACGCCTCAGTAATCATCATGATATGAATCTGCAAAAGACAGAAGGAAAGATGTTACATACAGTATGCTATTATGATATTATAAAGCTGTCCAACCAGCAGCTCTTGTAAAAATATTTAAACCGCTAATATTTGAGGCCTTTTGAGTATTGTTACATTTCCTGTTAACACACAAGAGGATGTTCCCCAATGGATGCATTTGTTATGGATAGATGATGCATGCATTATTTTAAAAGATCATTGGCTCAATTTTGGTATCAGTGGCTTTGTGTTCAGAATGACCCATTTCATGGGATCTTTAATATGAATCAGTATAAACAACAGACCTTTTTTTTTTTAAACCCCCCAAAGATAGAAGAGCAACTGTTAACCTACCAAAGGCTAAAAAGAGGCTAAGGCTAATCTCAGTTATTCAGAAAATTCAGCCTTTATACTCCTGTTTTGGTTATGACCTGTTATGAATATCTGACCCTTCTCTTTTCTCCCTAGGGTGCTGAAGCGCTCATGGCTGTCGCATACCGAGCCCACGCTGAGTCGGGCCTGCTTTCCCAGCATTACCCCCCGCCCCTGCTACCGAAGCCCAGGAAGGACAATGCTCGTCTTCAGAAGCTCCTTAAGAGAACCGCCAAGAAAAAAGCCTCCTCTCAGGCATCGCAGCCCGCTGCGCTTTTCCGCTCCAGCCTTTCCCCCGTGAATGAAGCCAGCCCTGACCTCGAGCACAGCGACCACTCCACCCCTCCCAAGACCCCAGAGGCGCCGTTCGGCCTCCATGGTATCCAGCCGCCTCCGCGGTTCACTGTCAGGCCGCTGTATCAACACGTGGCGTCGCCTTACCCACGCCGCACGGCCTTTGGCAGAGGGGCAAAATGTATGCCTCCGGCAGTGGGAACCCCATCGCACTCACAGCACATCACCACGGTTTCCTCGTACTCCACATCGATTCGCCTCACTGGGGATACATCAGCTCCGGGGCCGGTTGCAGAGTTGGCGGTAGCCCAAATGTCTCCAACCTGTTTTATACCCGAGGCAACAATACCAGCAGATGAAACAAAAAAGCCAGCTTTCAGCATGTTTGCTGAAACTCATGTCATTGTGAGACCGGGAGCAGCTGGAGAAACCCCAAAGACAAAAAGTACAGGTCCGACTCCACATTCAGCAGTAGAGGGTCAGGCTGGAGTTCGTTCTCTCACTGTGTTGACCCTTCACGGCAAATGCAAAAGTCCACGTCCAACGTTCAAAGCAACCGACCATTCAAGATCACCCAGACCGATGTTTGACGTCCCTCAAATTAGGATGTACACAGCAAGCACATCGTACTACGAGTCATCCAGGACACCACCGGTGTATGACACAGCTGGATTGACCGCGATCGGCAGCACAGTACCTCAAAGTAAAACCCCAACAGAAACAAAACCAGATTTGACTTCAGCATCTGCGGTCAGAAGAGACACGACACCAACTCAGCTTCCTCTAATTGTCACTGATCCGGCGAGGAAGACACCAACATCAGAAATTAAAAGAGGCACTAAAGTAACAGCGGATATTACGGTCATAACTCCTAAAGCTGAAACAAAAAGAGCTACACCAACGTTTGGATCCAAAAGAGCTTCCCCAATGGCTGGAATCAAAGGCGCTACCGCAACGGCTGAAAGTGTTAAAACACCAACTTCTGAGTTTCAAACACCGCCGGGGCGACCTAGAACCCCAGCATACCACTTGTCTCGCGCAACAACGCCTGTCTTTGAAGTCTCGAGACCCAATCCTCTTTTGTTTGCAGTGTCACCAATCACTGTCGAACCAGAGAAGTCAAGAACGCCCCACATTGTTCCTGCTATGGTCAATATATCTGCTTCCCAAAGCATCAAGGCTCTTGAACCTAAGCCTACTGAGACAATACTGAATGGGGACATTCATTCGGAGATCGCTCCTGCTGTAAAACCAATCCAGCAAAGCATCACAAAGTCCAAATCGGAGCCTGATCTGACAAGAGGAACTGCTTCACCTGTCTCTCGAAGGCCTAACACTTTAACAGCTGAGCCCAAAACACTGGTAGTGATTCCTCACTGCAATCAGAGGCCCAAGACTCCAACATACGAAGCATCCCGACTTATGACCACGTCACCTGGCTATAAAAGACCAAGGACACCAACACACAGGACTTCGCCTTTTGGTGTATCCCCTGTAGCCTTTCAGAGACCCAAAACCCCGACCCAAGTGACTCAAAAGTCAAATTCTGGCTACCGGGGATTGACCCCAGCTGAATATGCTGCTTACGGCGGAATAAGAACGTACTCTCCGGCATTTGGTATCTTCGGATCTAAGACCCAAACTGAGGAGGAGGGTGCAGCTGCAAAAGAGGAATCAGCTAAATGTAAGACAACTAGCCAAGAACCATCTATAAAGAAACCCAAAGAACCCCCCAAAGATGTAGATAAACCCCACATGGAAGCTAAAAAGGATACAATCACCCCTTCAATCCCTACTATTATTGTTTCACAAGCATCCGACGCCTCAAGAACAACATCAAAACAAAAGACAAGTACGGTATTCTGTCAAACCGCAGAGGAACAAGCAAAAACGGTGATTCAAAAAATAGCAAAGGCTCCATCTCCGGCAGCAGAGGGGAAATCTCTTGAGAAAAAGAAAGTAGAAACACAAGTTCGAGAAGTGGCCAAACCGAAGATGACAACTTCGGAAGCCAAACATCCTGCACCAAACAGTGACGAGAAGGATCCTCTTAAGGCAGTAAGAAAGCTTTTCGGCAAAGATAAAGGTCAGGAATCTGGAACTGAGACGAAAGACCACGTCTCAGATAAAAAAGAGTTGGCGAAACCTGTAGACGCAACCAGGGCCAAAGGAGAAGGCTGTGAGCAAAGCACCGCAGTTCTTCCTGCTAAGACGTCTGCGGTTGAGCCAACAGGAAGTAAAGGCAAGGATACCAAAGCAGAATCAGCTTTGTTAGTTAAATCTGCACTTGAGAAAAAGGAAGGAGATGAATCCCTCTTGGCTAAGCCCCTTCTCAAGGTCATGCAAAGGCCGGAAGGCGTAAAATCTAAATTGAGCGGTTGGTCCCGACTCAAGAAGCACATGGTCGTGGAACAGGAGGAGCCCAAATTTCCAGATATAAGCACCCAGAAGGAGACCACCAGGCCGGAACAGAGCGATGCACAAAAAGCCCCCGCCGAGAAGGCCTCCGACGAGCCCGTCACTCCGGACGAGAACCAACCCAAAGACGCTCCTGTGGCGACGAAGATGTGGGAGGCCGTCCTCTTCCAAATGTTTTCCACCAAAGAGAATATCATGCACCAGATTGAGCTGAACAAGAGCGACGAGGAGAAGGACGAGGGCCGCGGGGAGGAGTCGAAAGAGGTACCTTCGTTTGCCCACCGGCTGCCCGTGCTGCTTTTCAGTCCGAGGTTCGACGCCAAGAGGCTGAAGGAGGCGGCGTCGAGGCCGGTGACAAAGATCTCCACTGTTTTTGAAATGGGTCTGATCGGCCGCAAAGTCAAAGACGAGGAACCAAAAGACTTTAACAGAACAGCGAGGGGGTTCGCCGCTACTTAAGCTAAAAAAATATAAATATAATATATGTGCTGAGAGGAAATTGTAAAGGAAAAAATAAGTCATGTTACATGTTCGGTGTACAGGTGCAGAAGTCTTAGTCTCTGAGTTAACAAACGACTTTATACTTGACAATTGCTTTGTGTTTGCATTTTTTGGCTGGTTGTCTGATGTTGAGTGTTTGTGGATTAGCTGGAAGAAGAAGAAAAGACAGAGACGGCTACATTTGTCTTAAAAGTCATTCAGACGTCACATCTAATTAAAGCATTTATGTTTTCATTAAAGCAGAGCTTCTTGTTTCTTTCATCACAATAGGATTTTGCTAAGTTAGAGTTAGTCATTTCTTTCTCTTTATCATTCAAATGTCAAGTTTTATTCAAAATGGTGCTACTCGCCTCAGGGTGAAAACCTCGTAATTAGAGTTAGACGTGATTTTTAAAATATTCCTTTATGGTCTTAGATGGTTCTAGATTTGTAACTGAACTTTCGAGCGTCTTAATTTGACTGTTTTTCATTGGACATAATAACCGCAAAGCAGTTGAAGAAGGAAAGGAATGCAGAGTCAGTTATGCACAAAGAGAGGGTTTGATTGGACGGAGAGGAGGGAGATATTCTGCGTGAACAGATGAATGTCCAGAGTATCAGCTTCCTCACACACACAATCACACATTTTTGAGATTTATTTGTGGCAAAAGAAAACTTTCCTGAAGTCTAAAATCCACTTGATGTGTTTCATCAAAAAACTTTCATTTTTCACTTCTGTTTGACACCCAGCAGCCTTTTAGCAATGAGCAACAATGGATTTTTTTTTTTTTGCATGTCGACTTGAAATGCAACCCATTGCATTGTGGGTCAGTTTGCAGAAAGCAGCGTTATATGCATCCGAATAAGATAATACAAAAACTAAATGAAGGAATGTAGATAAAGTCTCCCCGGAACTTCTCCAAAATGTTGAGTTCCTGTGACTTGAAGAGGCGACTGACTTAAAGCTAACGCAAGTTTTTAAAGAAGAGCGGCCTCCTCCGCGACGGAGGTTGGGATGAGGGTGCAGGGGTCAACGGTCAAGATGGTTTTTAGATGACTGTGAAGCAGAGTTTATTTTTCTGGTTTTCTTTTTTTATGTTTTCTTTCTTCAATGTTTCTAAAGGTGCGCGATAGAGTTGTTTAGGTGAATAAATAAATAAAGTTCCCCATGTCTTGATTTAATCTCTTTCTAAAGAGTGATCTTTTTTATTCACACACACCAGAGTTATCACTCATTCATCAAACCGCTGTGCTCATAAAACCCCATGAGAAGAATAATGCTTGTTACAGAGTTGATATGATTTCATTGATACATTTATTGTCGCCGTCTTACCGTCCTCTCCGTCCACCGGCATCTTCTCGTATTTTCCGTGACCGGTGACCACAAATTTGTACTTTTTACCGGCTGCTGAGCTCTGATCGGGAGAGAAGATCAATAGTTTAAGTTCACTGTTCCATCATTGATGTTTCCTCCTATAACAGTGTGACTCTTCAAACTCTTCATTTTACTTCATTGATCCAGCATTAAGATAATTCGCTTTTTGAATGGGTAGAAAATGTAAGATTAAAAGAAGTCAATCAACCGATCAATAAATCAACCTGTTCATGACTTTATTCAGATTATTGAATTATGATTTAATGAAAGTGGCAAGTTAGTAGATATAAAAAAAAGATTACCTTAAATAAAATAATAATTAGGGAGAAACTGTGATATCTGTTTGTATTTGTCCGTGTGTGTGTGTGCGTGTGCTCACCTTAGCTGTTTGGTCCGGTCGTCCTGTCGAGTCTCCGATAACTTCCCACATGTTCTTTTTCTGCATCACGTCTCCGAGCTTCACATCCTGAAGATCAATAATCAATACAAAACATGTCAGCATTCTCAGTTTCTCAGGAATAGTTAATAGCAGCGGAACGACCGATCGCCACGGACGTGCAACTAGATCGAATGCCATAAAAAAAAAAAACGTTCATGAAGGCGCGGTCGGCCTTGGGAGCGAACGGAAAACTAATGCTAATGCTAATTAGCAATCATTGGTTACTAACGGACACATTTAATTTCATTGAAGTAGCTAACAAGGCGAAAAAGTGAGGGCACCCTTGGTTTTTCAGCTTAGCTTAGCTTTACGACGGGAGGCAGGGGTATATATATCGAAGACTACGGTTGAGATCATAACAAATAAATTAAGTAATTAAGTAAGTAAGTAAAACAGAACTAGAAACAGTTTATTTGACAAATCACAGATATTTTTCATTCAGTTATGTTGAATTATTTCGTAATTATTTTTTTAAATATTTATAATGATTTCCTCAATCATTAAAATAACTTGCCCATTTATTTTACATGTAAAGCTTTTATTTGTTTCTGTTTTATTTAGTCTGTGTTTATTATAGTGGCGACTTCAGTCCTCCATCCCATGTTACCGGGCGGAGGGATACACTGTGGTTTGAAGAGAAATAGTTCCAGTAAACAGAATAAACAGTTCTTCCTTCTGTCTTTCACTCGGCGGCAGTAATAGAAGCAAGGAAGATACAGAAAAATAAAGATGAATGAAGGGATTGTTTTTCCATACATTTAAAATACTTTAACTTAAGTTTGTTTTCTCGTCCCCTTTGAATTAAGAGATTAAAGATTAAAGCAGCACGTTTACAAAATTTTAATAATTTACATACATTTATTTTCACCTTGCGTGTATACTTACTGTCCGATTGCCGGGCGACTGCCGGCCGCTGTCACATGGACCCATCGCCCATTGGGTGATCCGGCTGGCCACGCCCACTTTCAGCCCCTCGGCGTCCTGAGTCAAAGAAGTTTACGTTAAAATCTATGGAAGCCCATTGCACCCAGTAATAGAAAAAAAATTGAAATATAAAAACCCTGTGAGTAGTCATTAGGACGCCTTAATAATCGGTCAGGTTGAAGGAAAGACACAAGACACATCGTTCATTTTAAACGGCTTCCAGAATGTCACCGCGTTGGTTCTTACCTTACAGGTGGGGCCCTTGGGGGGAGCCTGGCTCCAGGCTTCACCCGCCTCAAACAGGTTCTTCTTGGAGGAGACGACTACAGGTGAGCTGGGCAGGTCGGCCAGCGATGCCTTCACTGCACGCACCTCCTGGGAGTTCTATACAACAACAACAACAGATGGGTTCGTCCACAGTAAAGTTGTAATGCAACCAGCTGGTAAGTTTAATGTTAAATCCACAGAGAATACTTAACTGAACTATCATGTATTCATTATACATTCAAGCTATGTTTATTAATTTTATAGTTTTATAGTCTACTTTAGTGGAACTAAAGTAAATAAAATAAAACTTTTTCATGATTCTGTTTTACATTATCTTGAATCTTGCTAATATAATTATTTTATCTTCATCATAAATAAATAAAAGCAGAAAGAAACTTAAAATTCCAATTTGTTATTTTATTTTGTTTGGGTGCTTTCTCACCCTTTGTTCTAATTTTTCCACTCATCATGTTCATAATTTATTTTGTATCTCACTTTGATGAAATTGTGTAATTTCAACATTGGACAGTAAAAACGTAAAAGAATAAACCTAAGGAGCAGCTCAACACAAGTTTATGGTGCGACCATTCTTTTGTGTTTTATTACACTTTCCTCTTTTAAAACTCTCGTTAAACAAAATTGCCTCCGCGTTGACCTCGGTGTTAACCCTGTCGGCCCAAGGCGAGGATCGGAGACGGGAAGCTACAGAGCGCTGTGATGTCATCGACCAGGTGGTGACAGCCACGCGTGACCTCCACACAATGGAAGGTCGGAGCAGCTCTTTAACCTTCGTCTGAATATAAACAATAAAAGTCCAAGTATGCAGAAAACACCGGAAGAGTTTGAGAGGAAACTGATTTAATTTGTTCTTCAGCACCCATGTTGATGTCAGACCATTAAACATAAGCGTATAAATCGGGCAGCCTGTTATATTTGTTTTTTTAAACATCACCAGATGTGTGATAGTTTCTAAATGGATGTTTTGAGTTGAACAGTTTTACTTTTGTGAAACAGAGTTTTGTTTAATTCAAGACTTATCTTTGTTTTTGGATTCTTTGTTAGTGTTATGTGTGTGTTTCAGTGTGGGTGTGTTTGTACGTGTGGGCGTGTGTGTGTTAGCAAGCTGACCTCCACAGCGTGTGCGTACTGCTCCATCTTGTCATCCATCTTTGGCAGCAGAACGAAGGTCTGGGTCTTCTTGAAGCTGTGACTGATTCGTCAGCACAACACAAACCGTTAAAACTGAGTATCAGCATATTTTAAGACAACGTTTTTAAAAGACATAACCTTAAAAAAAAAATCTGGAACATAAAATGACATTTTTCTTGGATTTTTAAAAATTCTCTTTAATCTTTAATTATTTTATAAAACATAAAAATTGATTAGGGTTAGGTTTTTTTTCTCATTTAAACTACATCTGGGTGAGATGAGATACTTGAGAAGAGGATTAGGCATTAATGCTGCTCGCTCAGTTGCCCCCACTGCACACATTTCAAAATAAAAGCATCGCTCCTGAGAGATGCAGGCGGAGTTGATGAATCCAGATGATGAGCATCGATGAGGATATTCACCTTTTCTTCAGCGAGCGGTTCAGCGACTCAGTTCTCTCTGAGATCTGAAATACAAAGAAGAAGAAAAGGTACGTTTTCCTCACGCTGCCTCGTTTCAGTTTCGGACTCAACCAGCAAAGGGTGGTGGGAATCTCTTAAGAATTTATCCATTGTTGCATTCGGTTTTCCCTACGAGTTTATTTTATTTTTTAACTTTTTATCTCAAAACTTCAGAATCTGAAACCTAAAATATTCTAGAAATAAAAAACTAGTTAAACTACAAAAGATTAACAGCTCAATTTGATTTACAATTACCAAAGTACCTTTATTAAAACTATGTAGAGCTGATGATTTGTGTGAAGTTCTGCGTGAAAACGATCATTTTATCATGCACGTGAACAACGATTAACAAATCAAATGTCCAAATACAGAAAATATAAAGTTGTGTTCTCTCCCAAAATTTGCCTGTCCAAAACACAGCTGAATGTTGGGAGGTCCCTGTGCACAAATCCAACTCACCCACCAACATCAGTGAGTTTGGGACATGCTTTTCAAAACACACACACACACTCACATGCACACACACACACACACACACACACACACATGCACACACACAACTTACGAGGCGAGCCCATCATCTGTGAAGACAACATGCCGCCATGTTGTTTACAGGAGTGACATCATCATTCGTGTCCATCAGAGATCTGTTTTCACTCAATGAGATGGATTATCCCTCCTGGGTGTGAGGTCATCACAAAGAGCCACAGGCATGATGTCACTTCCTGTCCGGCCTCTTCTCTCCACTAGCTCCTGGAGCTTCTCAGGTAATATTTACCTTGTTGGTTGGAGTCTTGGGACTGAAGGGACTGAAGGCCTCGTCTCCGTCGACGCTGGACGTGCTCAGGCTCTTCATCCTCTCTGCCGCCTCCATCCTCCTCCTCTCCATGTCCTCCTTCATGCGCCTCCTTTCCTCCTGGGAGTCACAGACACTGGTTAGCGCCAAAGTCCTACATCCCCGGTGGAGTCTGGTTAGCTAATGACTTAGCTATTAGCTTTAATGCTTAATATTGATAATTAAATAAAGAGAGAAAAACTCTACATGAGCTAAAAGAACCACGGTATTGTCTTATATGTTAGTTAAGACTCAAGCAAGGTGCACATTGAGAAATCTCAGTTCAGTAACTAGGAAACAGCAACGATGAGACGTCACAAGTTATTTTCATTGGTTCAGAGCTGACGTGCCGTACGGAGCAACGCTGGGTGGTACGATAATGAGTTGTTGTGTTTGTCTTAAGAGTTACTTCAGAAGATGTGTTGAGTACTGTTGCCATTTATTTTAGCTACATTGTTACGTTGCATTGTTTGACTACATTGTTACTTTACATTGTTACGTTGCTACACTTTCCTACGTTGTTGTGTTTTTATGTTTTTGCATTGTTACATTGTAAACATATGGAGCTTCGTACAGATGTTTTCAGTATCAAACATCGGAGAAAGACCTGATACCAAATAAAAGAGTTTCTCATCTGTCCACTAGCTTATCAGGCATTAAGATTTATTACACAAAGAACATTATGATCGCAGAAGAGTCTTTCATCCTTTTAAATAGCCTTGAGCTATAGCTCCGCCCACCTCTTCCCTGGCCAGCCGCTGATGCTCCTCCTCCTCTCTCCGGTGCTGCTCCTCGGCCCGGGCCCGCCGCCTCTCCTCCCGCCTCCTCTTCAGCTGCTCCAGCTCCTGCTCGGCCTCAACCTGTCGGTGCCTCAGCTGTTCCAGCTCCTGGTTGCCCTTCTGCTGGAGGCCCTGCCGGATCTTCTCTAGCCGGCGCTCTGTCTCCAGGATGGTCTCCGCCTCCTCTGACTCCACGGCTCTGCCGCGAGGGTTCACAGGTATAAAGATCTGCTGTTATCGACAGCTGAGCGGAGGAACTGCCCTTTGAACACGGTGTAGACAACACGAGGAAGCCATGTGGCCGGCCCCGATGGTCCATCGGAATGTTCTAACCTGCTGTTAACACACTACACACCTGGAGGACCTTTGTGTCTTGATATTTTTGTGCGATGTCACTTCCTCCTCGGTGGCCTCTCCGTTGGCATTGTCGGGTTTTGGCTCATGGTGAAGAACAACCTTGGATGTGTAGGAGATCTGAACCTCTTTTCTTCTCTCCACCTGAAGAGTTCAACAGGATTCTCTGTTCAGGGACATTCTGCTTTAGACGAGCAGCCACAGAGAAGAAACACCTGGATGGGGACTTGACTTGTTCTTGTCTACAATAACTATTTTAAACCTGACCCCCTTGAGGCTTGACTTGTCTCAGATCACTTTGATTAGTTGTTACTTTGAGAAGTTATATTTCTTAACTTACTTGAGTCTAACCTTCTTTAACCTTTACTTTGACTTTGCTTAAATTATTTAAAATGTGATGCTTGAGTGCCATCGGAGTCAGAGACTTGTTCTTGGATGAAAGTGACTTCAGAGTAAATCTTCTAATAACCTTCAGGGGGTCAGACTCCACTGGAGACTTCTTCTTGAAAGAATTACATTACAGGTTATTTAGCTGACGCTTTTATCCAAAGAGACTTTCATTGCATTTGCAACCCACGGCTTTTCACATTTTTGCCCAGGGAGCAATTAGGGGTTAGGTGCCTTGGTCAGGGACACTTTTACATGGGATTTGGGGGCAGCCGGGTCTTGAACCACCAACCTTGCGGTTCCCAGCGCACCCTCTCTACCCCTGCAAGACTTTTCGTGAATAATTAAAATATGTTCTTCTCTTAAGTGACCCTCGACTCATTTGTCTCACTTTTCTTGGACATGTTTTGAGTTTGTTCACATCTGTCTCAAATAACTCACTTTTATAAAATTACTTGTAGTTAGACCTAATCTCATTTTGAATTGTTAGAGCCATGTTCAAAATCAACTAAGCTTCAGTTACTCGTGGTAGTTCTTACCTCTGTGTTCGGCTTTTGAATCTCATCCTTCCTCCCGTTCATCACCTCCTCTCCCTTTCTCCTGTCCTCCTCTTCCTCCCTCCTCACCCTCTCAGCTCGAACGGCTTTCTCCTCCTGCTCCTTCCTCCTCTCCAGCTCCCCCCCGGGCCCATCTCCTTTCAAGCGCTCCTGCCTCTGGAGTGGACCAGAGACCTTGACGGCGTTCTCCGGAACGGCTCGATTTATGGCGTCCTCCTCTTCGTCCTCGTCCTCCTCGCCTCCCTGGCTGAGCTCCTGCAGACGCTGCTGCCTCCGTCTCTCTCGGCGCTGCGTCCAGTCGCTGAAGCCTTCGTCCTCGTCCAGAGCCAGAGAGCGGCTGGGCTTTGGGTCGCCGTCATACCTGAGGATGGGCGAGGAGCAGGGGTCAAGAATTCAACACAACAACAAACCAGCTGATCCAGACTCAACGAGGAACCAGGAGGCAGCAACATCCGGTTCTTCAGAGTGAGATCAGGGCTTCATTTGTTAAAGCTTACTTATCGCCTCAGGGTGGAGACAACAAAGTGATTGTGTTGTTGGAGAAGCGCAGCACAAAGTGAGCTAATGCTGTTGTGTTTACAGCACACACAAACATTAATGCACCAATAACATAAGCTGCAACCTAAAGCTGCATTCTCTGTAGTAACCAGCAGGGGGTGGCTCCTCTCGTCACATAGTCTATGAGCAAATGGCTCTGCTTCTCTCTTGATTTGTTCCCTCAGTAAACATAGTAAACATGAGTTTATGGTCTCAATCTCAAGTCTTCTTCAACACAGCATGAGGTCCATTTAGTCAATGATGGTCTGCCATTGTAATGAAAGTGAGTTTTATGTTTCCAGGAACCGGCAGAGAGGAATTCCTCTGCATTCCCCAGATGATTAAGACCCCCCGCTCTCCACCTCTCCGCTTTACCTTATTACTTTCTTCTTTCTGGGGGGTTCTTGTCAGCCAGCTCAAAGTCACAATATAATGTGCTTCACTTCTGTATGAAGCTAACGGAAATGTAGCATGTAGTGTTATATTTGATATTTTAGCTCAAAACATTCAAGCATTAGTGTATTTTTTAGAGCATTTTTTGTGAATCAATTTAGCATCTTAACCAGGAACTGTGATTTTCACATTTCGGTTTGTGTGCAAGTTAAACAAACCTAACAAACCAAAAAAGGAGGATTTCAACCCGGCATTGCATCACCGCTGCTCTCAGTACGGAGAAGCTTCCAATTAGAGGCAGCCGAGGTACCGCGGCCTGAAAGCGTCCGGGCCCTCTGATGTGATGGTGGAGGCACTGTCATTAAAATGAAAGTCGGCTGCAAGCTTTCACACGCCAGGAGTTGCTTGATAGTAAACATTCCTCCGCGTTGGCGTCATGAGAAGGCAGCTGTGGATTCATCTTCGGAGCGGTAGGAGGGAAGAGAGTTTGTTTGCAGCTTCTCCCAGTGGAAACATTTGTTTTTAGGGGGGGGGGGGGGGATGTGAATTCACCGGGCTGTGTTGAAAAAAATCTGAAACTAGAGATCGAGACCATAAACTCATGTTTACAATAGAAGAGTCATTTTCTCATAGCCTTCTATGGCCGTGGTCCCCAACCTTTTTTACCTAACGGACCGGTTTCATGTCAGACAATATTTCGCGGACGAGAAGGTCCGCCGTGGGGGGGGGGTAGTAGTAGTCATTACGTATGGGGAATCTGTCAGAGGGACGTACGCACATTATTAGGAGAAAATCCGGTCAATTTTCAAAATAAAACATTTTTCTGAAAAAAAATATATATAAGCTTTCTGTGGTGCGGCCCGGTACCAAACGGCCCACGAACCGGTCCGCGGCCCGGTGGTTGGGGACCACTGTTCTATGGGACCAGAGGAGCCGCCCCCTGCTGGTCACTACATTACAGTACAGTACATTACAGGTCATTTAGCTGACGCTTATATCCAAAGCGACTTACATTGCAATTTTAACCTGTGGCAATTAGGAGTTAGGTGTCTTGCTCAGGGACACTTTGACATGGGACATGGAGCAGCCGGAACTCGAAACCACCAACCCCCTTCCCGGTGCACCCTCTCTACCCCTGCACCACGACGACCCCACTACAGAGAATGCAGCTTCAACAGAAAGCTTTGACTTCACTCTTGAGAACCGGAGGCTGCCTGGCTCGTCTGTACGTACATGCCGTCCTCTGCTGGCATCCTGTCCTCCGGGAACGACTTCCCGGGCCGCAATGTCTCCCGAGCTCTGCGCCGCTGCTCCCGCTCCACCTCCTCGGCATCCTCGACGCTCCTCTGAGCCGTCAGCCTGCAGACGGAACACCGTGCGGTTAGAAATCAGTCCAGCTAAAATGAAACTCAAACCTTTTGATCTGGTCCAAACGTAATTGTTTCCTGTAAAGAAAGAAGCTTATTTCGAAAATACATGTTTAAAATATTCCGTTTTCAAAGCAACAGTAATCACATTTAGAAAGCTGGAAATAATGTAGTTTGTTGAAGCTTAACAAATTATTTATTGCAAAATAATGCAGTTTGTGCGTTGTTGTTTTTCTGGAAAATTGTGCTGGAAAGTTGTTTCTCAGCTCAATGATACAATCCCCCCAAAATTCCCCCCAAATCCCCCAGAATGCCCCAGATTGACTGGCTTGAAACCTCCACAGGATTATGGATGTGATGAGTAATATTCACATAAAGGAGGAGAACGTAAAGTGTCTTTAAGCTCAAGCGGACATCTTATGAATTAATGATTTTATTTTTAGCCGTACATGAAGGCAGACCTTTCAAAATAAACAGTGAGTTTGCTTGTGTTGACGTCCTGTCTCGCCTCAGTGGACGCCTTCAGGACTAACGGGATCCATCTGGAGCATAGGGATCCGGTTACTGCACTCACATTCGGCTTCTGGGTCACCAACAGACCCCCAAGGTTCCATCTGCTCCTCCACTTTCTCTAAGGGGGGGGACACTGTGACCCCTGACCCTCTCAGCGCCTTTCCCATCTGCAGATTCATAAGCGACAAAACTCATCATCTCCTGAGCCTCCTCGCTGTTATTTTTCATTTCAAAGTAAAAGTTCTGAACTAAACAAGTTGCAGGTTAGAGACTAATCTAAGCGTTAAAGTTATGAGACCATTGTTCAACCGTCTGAAGAAGCACAGAGGTCTTTCGTGAATGGTCACCATCACTTCCTCCGTCCTTCCTGTAGACGGACGGAGGGACGAGCAGAGAGGAACAGGGGTGACGGAAGCGGAGAGGAGGGCCACAGCCTCTCGGGTGAAGGAGGATGGGAGCAGCAGGGTGAGTCCCCACCTCGACGGCTTGGGCAGTTACGATTTTCAAAATAAGAGCTTGTTCCCTGGCTGCTTTAAGCTCCGCCTCCTCCTCATCTCATCGACAGCCTTCTCGCTCTCGCTTGTCTCATCGAATCATCGGAAAGAAAATGATAAACGAGGTGCACACAGAAAACTTTCCCCTCCCCAGGAAGTGGAGCCGGGTAAACTAACACCAGAGGCCAGACCCAACACGTCCTCCGCTTAAAGGCTGACAAAGAGCCCTTGAGCCCCTCAGGTCACAGCGAGTGACACAAAGGTTCTGAGTTGAAGTCTTTTGTTTGGTTTAACGGGATCTTTAGAAAGAGCTCATGTGCCTCGTTTCTATTTGCACATTTTTATGAAGTACCGCTTTAAAAAGATACGTTGAAACTTCCTCAACGGTGTAACAAAACACTTTTACACTCAAGGTGGATGAAGAGTCGATACTGAAAAAACTGAAAATGGATTAAAGAAGATAAAACTAAAATAAGGGATATACCAAAATAAAAAAGAAGAGAAGGATGAGCTTGTGGGTAAAACATTGCCTTCATCACGAAGGTCTGTCCCCTTTAATTCAACCTCGTCATCAATTAGTCCGACCATTTCTAATTTCCAACCCCCCCGATCTCTATACTAAGCTAAGCTAGCAATTTCCTTCTGCTTTCCCTCTTCTAACCATGTATTCTCAGTCATTCTGGGACCAGCGACGTGAGATGCAACAACCAGGAACTCGACACACCGCCCACCCACCTTCAGGGGGGGTAAAAGAATTAGCGTGTGCCGTCAGCGGAGGAGATGATTCGGTTGAATGACACGATAATAACACGGCTCGCTTTTCACCTGGGCGGGGGCGTGGGGGACTATTGCCAGATGAAGTCACCTCTGTGTTGGGACAAGTCGAGGCGGCGAGTCGTTCTCACGCAATGAATGACAAAAAGGCCGACCAGAAAAAAAGTGAGCAGATCTGTGGAGTTGTTAATTAATACGACTCCATCTGCTCTATCAGGCAGACGTTGATGGTCCCCAGAGGACAAACCTCAGGAATCGGACATCTTCTGACGTCTTCTAGCGTCACCAGGAGCCTTGCACTTAACTAATTGATTGATGCAACCAAGATTCGTGGTTCCCAGATGACGAATCCCTCTGACAAATCCCTCTGACTTATTTTCTAGTGTCACCAGAAGATAACATTTTTGTTTTGAAGTAAAACATCTCAACAATCTGTGACGGCTCACGTGTAACTCTAGTTCCAACTTCCATGAAGTAGGTTCATTTTTAAATGTAGTAAATTGTGTAATTTAGAACTTTAATTTTGGACAAAATAAGTGCTAATTGGCTCTTCGTATTGACACGCTGTGATTGGCCAGTCTGCAATCAAGGGGCGTGGCAAAGAGACCGGACATCTCCGACATCTTTAAAAGTTAAGCTTTAGTTTTTTAAGTTTCACAGAAATGTTTGTCACACCTTTTTATTTTCAACGACAGCAGGATGAACTAATCATGAGTTTAACAATGAATGCAAAGATGATCGATCCGTTAGCATAATGCTACATCACAGCAGCAACCACCACAACTCCAACAAACCCTTGGAGACTTCTGGCAGACGGAAACCACCCTGTTATGGCTGCCTGTCTGGGTAACCCCCCCCCCCCGAAGTCTGGGAGCCCCGCAGGTCTGTTTCACGTTAACTTTGAAGGACAGGAAGAGACGTGCAGTTATTTTCCAACACGTCAGAATGACAAACATGAATGACCTCATCCCAAAAAGGAAGGCAAACAAATCTGTGCTTCAACTCGAGTTTCGGGGAAGACGACACCTCAACCCCCCCTGCACACACACACTCTATGAAATGCCACCTGGGTTCCTTTGTCTGTGAAGTCCAAAAAGAAAACAGACTTTGTTTCACATTGAACATGAAGATTTGTTTTCCTTTGACGCATCAAAAAAAGAGAAGCAGCACGAACAAGAGAATTCTGGTTGACGTGAATTGTGTTAAATAAACACAGGAGCTAAATGTAAAGTGAAACTCCACAAGATGAATTTAAGAACACTGTTCAGCAACAGTGAATGCGCTGTGATGTAAATCTGTAGTAAATTGTGGTAAATTGTTCGAGGAATATGTTGAAATTGGATTTGTCTTCATTCATTGTGAAAATCATTCAAATATATTCAGTATACCAACACTAGTTAGCCGCTTGCTAACATTAGCTACACTGGTTTTTAGCTGGAGGTGTAACGGATCTTTTGAACCTCTCTGGCTAACGAGTGTCACTACAATTTAATTTGAATTAATTAAGAAATCCATTAGTGACCAGAACCAGAGGGTCCTGGCGTTGATCCCACTCAAACTTTACTTTCCCTCCCTCTAAAGCAGACATCCAGGGGGGGTTCAGCCTCCCATCACTCATCAGCTAACTACACCCCCCACCGCCCAAACATTCCTCAGGCCCTTATCTCCCCCGTATCGTAAACACAGAGGCCATGTGTGTGTGGGGGAGTTGGGGTCAGAGGTCGTGGGTTGGCTTGGAGCAGGTATGCCTCTTGGATGACATCACCCACAGAGAGCTGATTAAAAACAGCCTGATAACACGTTCCTGATACTCCTCTGCTGCAGGTAAAGTACGAATAAAGTAGTGAAGAGAAGATGTACTGCACGCTAAACTTCAAAGTATATTAACAAAAGGAAAAGTAAAATGTATGAACATATTTACACGCTGAAGAGAAGTAAAAAGTGTGTAAATACTCAAGCACGAGGACAGTATTTTAGTTTTATTCAACCACCAAGAGCAACATGGCAGGGGCTGTTTTTAATGATCCACAAACAGAAAAACAGGTCATGTGACTCAGCCACAGCCCCGCAGCGCTTTCAAACAACAGCCTGCGGAGCAACGAGAGAAGCAGCTCTTAAATAGAAAACCTGTCGTTGAACGTCGGAATAATGCTCTAATGACAATAATTTGCCAAATGATGTGTCATTAAGACAGAAACCTTCTGCAGGGGGTCAAACCAAACTCTAAAAGCTTGAAAACGCAGAATGAATCACGGCATGCGAGGACGAAGACGGATGTTCATACGCGTCACGTTGAGAGTGATGTCATGGACGCCATCTGTTGAGTTCCCTGACTTACGCCTCCGGCTGTGACTCAGATCTCAAAAAGTCAAAAAAGTCTTTGCAGACTTAGACGACCAGATCTGATGTTTGGCGGTGAATTTTGAGAATAAAAGAGGAAATATGAATGAAACTTCCCATTGTCTTCCCATATCAGCGGAGAGGAAACTTATATTAGATTTTGAATAGGAACCCCTCCACTATCTGAACTTAACAAAAGGAAATATTCACTTCCTGAGAAGCTTAAATAAAAAGTTATTAAGATTCATCTTCAGAGCGGAACATATTTATTATAGTCAAATGATTACACTTGGGTATCCAGTCACACAGTAAGGAATTCAAGCCTAAAGATGGTCATGTGACCCCAACCTAACGATAAAAGACACAACCATCATACGACGCTGGATTCATATCTATTCCTACCACAATATATGAAACACAAAGACAAGTTTGAAATAATTCTGTTTGTTATCCTGGTACTCACGAGAGAGTGGAGGTCAATGGATGCAAACCAAGCTCTTGTCCTGAAACTAACCTCAACCCAACCAGCTTTATTTTGAAAGGACTGCATTGCCGTTAGAGCCGACCGCTGTCATCCCCTCGTTGCCGTCTTGTCTCATCACAAACCGCTGGAGCCCGACAACAGGATGGGCAAAAAATGAAACAAAAAGACGGGACGGGATGTGGTGACCTTTCACCTCTGACTCGGCACCAACACCACTTCACAAATATGAACCGTTAAGACATTAAGAAAATATTTAGAAATGGATTATATTTCTTTTGTTTTCGATTGCTTCATGTGAGCGGAGGTAAGTCGATTCAAACCACCCCCACCCCCAAAACCCTGCGTGACCCAAAACTCTCCCAGTAATCCCACTGTTCCCATTGAGAGCAGCCTCATACACACATGGTAACACTTGTCTTCATCCTGCTGCGGACATCTCAGGAGAAGATCCTTTATCTTCTCTCACAGAAACCTCATGAAGCAAAAGGTTGTTGAGCTGAGGATTAAATGTTAACTTTTCTCTTTGTGTGGCTCGATCATCTACCTCATCAGGGTCTGAAGACCCTGTTTGTTGGAGTTCCTCCTCTGCAGAGCGTGGGACATCGTTCCTTCTTCTTCTTTGTCTTCTTCTTCTTCTTCTTTGTCCACTTCTTCTTCTATTGCGTTCTTCCAAGTCAACACTTAAGGCAGATTTCTGTCCTCAGCCGCACCGAAGCTCAAACTGAGGAGAGAGAGAGTGTGTTTCCCTGTTTAAAGACTGCTGTGCTGGATTAACACACACACACACTCACTCACTCACTCACACACACTCATATACTACCCTGCAATGCTGGAGGGAATGTCAGCGACTCCCTCCTCTTTTCGGGGTTGGGTTTTTAGTCATTACATCCCCCCCCCCCCTTCTCCCACACACCCACACACACACACACCCCTCTGTCCTACTGTGGTTTTCATTGAGGGGCTCAGGGGCCCAACATCTCTCTCTGTTCTTCCAGGTCATGTGGTCTTCTTCCCTGAGGTGGAGTGAAACAGGACAACCACCCCACACACACACACACACACACACACACTGAAGTGTTTTTGTTTTTTTAACCGTCTCCTATAAACCTAAGATGCGGCAAACAAATGAATGTTTGTTTCCATAAAACTGTTTAGAAGAGAATAAACTCTAAACTCAGCGACGTCTTCTAATTGGTCAGAAGACATCGCTGTGGCAACAAACGCCTCATTTACCCTCTATATGCTTCTTTTGGGCGATCTTATCAGGAAACACCGCATAAACTTCCATTCTACACATTGTTATGCAGACGATACTCAACTGTATCTGTAGATCAGACCAGAAGAGACCAACCAGCTAGTTAGACTTCAAGAATGTCTTGGAGACATCCAAACTTGGATGACCGGCAACTTCGTGATGCTAAACTCGCTAAACTTGATAGGCCCAGAGCGCCTTCGAAGCCAGCTGTCACGTGATACAGTTTTTATGGATGGAATTGCTCTGGTACCCAGCCGCACCGTCAGGAATCTGGGAGTTCTCTTCGACCAGGATTTGACCTTCAACTCGCATATAAAGAAGACTTCAAGGACTGCCTATTTTCATCTACGTAATATATAAAATATCAGGAACTTCCTGTCTCAAAGTGATGCAGAAAAATTAGTTCATGCGTTGTTTACTTCTAGACTGGATTACTGTAATTCTTTGTTATCGGGCTGCTCTTGTAAATCTCTTAAGCCTCTCCAGTTGATTCAGAATGCTGCAGCACGTGTATTAACAAGAACTAAGAAAAGGGATCATATCACTCCTGTATTAACTTCTCTGCACTGGCTCCCTGTTAAATCAAGAATAGATTTTAAGGTACTTCTCCTCACCTACAAGGCACTTGCTGGTGAGGCACCGTCGTATCTTAAAGAGCTTGTTATTGCCCTACAAGGCAGCTGCGCTCCATAGATGCTGGGTTACTTGTTGTTCCTATGGTTTTAAAAAGTAGGCTGGGGGCCAGAGCCTTCAGTTATCAAGCTCCTCTTTTGTGGAACCAGGTTCCACTTTCAGTCCGGGGGGCAGATTCGGTTAGCTCTTTTAAGGTAAAACTTGAAACTTTCCTCTTTGATTCTGCCTATAGTTAGGGCTGGCTCAGGTTAGTCCGGACCAGCCCTTAGTTAAGCTGCTATGGGCTTAGAATGCCAGGGGAATTCTTTGGACACACCGAGCTCCTCTCTCACGCTCTCGTTCTACAATAATTCACGTTTTATTAATGCACATGACTAATTCAGCTTCTTTCCGGAAGTTTTTTTGTGCTTTCTCCCCTAGCAGGTCTCCGTAGATCGTAGTTCCTTCTGGACCCTGGTCCTGACACCTGCCGTGGCCCTGCTGCCACCTGCTGCTGCCATCATCATCATTATTATTTTAAATATTAATCATATTACTGTACTCGTAAACCAACATTACCCTCTCCTAAAGTCTTTGTGCTCTCCCTCCCCACAGGCTTCTGTAGATGGTGGTTCTATCTGATGGTGGTTCTATCTGATGGTGGTTGCCCCTGCAGTGGTCCTGCTGTGCGCCTGGTTTGCTACTCACAATTATTTTAATCATTTCTGTCATAGGAATTGAATGTATTATACATTGTTCATTCTGTACACATGGCATCCATCGTAGTCGGCCCATCCCGGGAGTGGGATCCTCCTCTGACGTTCTCACTAAGGTTTATTCCCTTTTTCCCGATGGAAGGGTTTTCATTTCTTGGGGAGTTTTTCCTGTGCCGATGGTGGGTTTCGGGACAGAGGATGTTGCATGTGTACAGACTGTAAAGCCCTCTGAGGCTAATTTGTAATTTGCGATTTTGGTCTATACAAAATAAAATTAATTGAATAAAAAAATAAATTAATTTAACCATCTCGGTTGAAATAATGAGGAAAATATTATTCATTTTTCATCTTTCAGTCCGCAATACACAAATTCAGCTTCCCACAGGCGCTCTCTCAAGCTGGGCACCGGTTCACACACAGCACCTTTCATGCAAATACGACAGCACAGGCACCAGCCAATCAGATCGCGTTTATGCTCACGTCTAAAGATGGCGGACCAAACTCCGTAGAATAGGGGGTCCCTACTCCATCTCGCCATCGGTTTGGGGGACAATGGCCTGACAAACGTTGAAGAACCCTGGGTTACAGAACGTTATTTTTTAAATTGTAGTGAGGTTGTTAAAGTTTCCAAATTGTTCTATAAAAGAGTTCAGAAAATATCCTGATTATTTTACAATTGAAGCGATTAAAACACAGCGTTATTCTTCCTTTTTTTGCATCAGAATTTTTGTTTTGATATGTAGAAAAGGACAGATTTTTTCCTCTCACACAAACCAAACAAACGCTGTTACCACGGCAACCCACTCATCGGGATTCCCCCCTGGCGCGTCAGTGGGTCTCGCTCGGCGGCGCGTCGAACTAAAGGGCATTCTGGCCAATGCCCTTTAGTTCGACTAAAGAGGTTTGTGTCCGGGAAACACCACCATCACGGGTAAGACGCGTTTCAGTGCGAGGGGAACTTTCCTCACAGCTCTACAAACTGTTGCCTTGCCAAAGTGCTCTGCATCCCTGATGTTGTAAAGAAAACTACCATTTGCAAAAAAACGTATCGCCATGCATAAGATTTGCTCCGATGTGAGTGCACGTCCGCGGTGAGTGCGGTTGGTGATATACGGCCGGAGAATGTTACTGAGATAAATGACACCTTGTGAGGAAAAGCGGTAGCGTTCTAACAGAAATTCCTCTGGAAATGACAAAACATCTAATCTGGGTCGGAAGACTCTCTCGCTACGTAAAGCATTTCGAGTCACGACGGCTTCGATGTCAATTGGATTTGGTAGGAATGGCCAATCCATGTCTACCAGCTTTCTTCATGTGGGAGGAGACGGTAGAAACTCTGGGTTTCTTATAGTAAACCTGCCAGCGAGCAGGTTACGTTCACAGAGTCTGTTACCGTGGTGATTGACTCAGAGTTTCAGTTACCTCTCTATCTGGAACGGATAACTCAGAGTTTCCCTGATCTCAGGGTTAACTTACTCTGAGTTTTCACATAACCCGCTTTCTGGAATACCCCCCTGAACACAACGCACAAACAAACAACAACAACAAACAATTCAATTCATTTTATTTCGTATAGGCCCAAAATCGCAAATTACAAATTTGCCTCAGAGGGCTTTACAGTCTGTACACATGCAACATCCTCTGTCCAGGAACCCTCACATCGGCACAGGAACTCCCCCCAAAAAATAAAAAACCCTTCCATCGGGAAAAAGGGAATAAACTTTAGTGAGAACGTCAGAGGAGGGATCCCACTCCCGGGATGGACAGATTACAATGGATGTCGTGTGTACAGAATGAACAATGTAAAATATGTACAACACATTCCATTCCTATGACAGAAATGATTAAAATAATTGCGAGTAGTAAGCAGGTCCACTGCAGGGACAACCACCATCAGATTTATTGCCATAATATGTCAGACATACAAGGAATTTGACTTGGCGGTTGGTGCATAGCAGCAGACAGTACGACAATGGACGACAAGACAACGGTGCAAGAGGAATAAAATAAAATATAATGCTATGGGTTAGTAATATAAGGCTATTGGGTTAGTTTAAAAATAAAGGAATAAAAGTTAAAGTTAAAAAGTTTAAAATATTTTACAAATTTTTTAAAAGTGCACCAGCAAACAGAAAGTGACAAGTGTAAGTGACGTGTGCAGTGTGAAAGAAAGTGACCGGAGGGATGACAGAGTCAGTCAGTGGGGGACCGGCTCTGTTGATGAGCCCGACTGCCGACGGGAAGAAACTGTTCGTGTGGCGGGAGGTCTTAGTCCTGATGGACCTCAGCCTCCTGCCAGATGGAAGGGGCACAAATAGTTTTAGTCCGGGGTGAGAGGGGTCGGCTACGATCTTTTTAGCTCGCTCCAGGGTCGTGGACGCGAACAAGTCCTGAAGAGACGGCAGATTGCAGCCGATCACCCTCTGCAGAGCGGATGACACGCTGCAGCCTGCCCTTGTCCTTGGATCTCCACAATATCCATTCACGTGGATATTGTGGACACGCCGGGTTTTTGTTTGGCTAAAAAAGGATTAAACGCTGCAGGTCAACTGAAACAAAGGAGCAGCTTATTGCTGCAGATCTCCTCCTCCTCATCATCCTTTTCCTCCTCCTCTTCCTCCTCCATGCTGGGAGGGTTTAACCTGTAACCCAGAAAGTGTTCGATGCCAGAACGCCTCTTTTGACAGCCAGGGGTTGTGTGGAGGGGTCACAAGGTTCACTGTGACATCTTACAATGACCACCAACACGTGTCCATTTCCTTCCCTTTTCACGCAACGTAACCACGGCAACCCACACTGTCACTACATCCCAAAGAAGGTGATCTCAGAGAGAAACAAACAAAGAGTAAGACGTGAACTTTGACATGAAACTATGACAGCTTCAATCTAGCATTGGATCCTCTGAGAGAAAAAACACGCCCTCTAGTGGTGTCAGAGTTGGACATGGCAACCTTTGACCCCCAAGAGCCCTCCTGACTGAGCCATGTACAAGCAGTATTCTGCTCTTCTTGAGCACTAAAAGTACATATACACACACTCACACACACACACACACGCACACACACACACACACACCGACGCACACACACACACACACTCCTTGTACGGTGCTCTGAGCTCTGTCTTCGCCCTCGGAGGCTCTACGATTTCCTCAGGTTGTGACTTCAGCCTGTTGGGGGTGATGGAAGGGGGGAGGGGTGAGGGGGAGGAGACGCCTTAGAGTTAAATTAGGATTACATGACTTCACCCAGTAGCTGCACCCTCTCCGTCAGTCTGCAGGCTGCTAATTAAATTTAGAATTAAACGTCATCTGGACGCCTTATGGCATTAATAAGTATATAATAACCATACATATTATAACTACAATAAAAGAAGTATTAATTTAAATGTATATATGTATTTATTTATTATTTTTATATCATATGTATGTATATACATTTAACTAGAACACAACAGAATATAAATGACTCCATTATTTCTAATTGATTAATGATTAATGGAATAATATATATATATATATATAACAGTATATTCTTATATGTATGCATAACATATTTACCGCTGCTTAACAATTTCCATCAGGGTAAATTAAGTTTTAACTCATCAGATTTTATGGGGAGATCTTTATTATTTCATCATAATCATCATTAATTTTATCTTTTATTCCTAAAATATTTATCCAGTGTTTGTTGGTAGTTTTCATTCTGAGATTAATAGAAACTATTTTATCTCCTAACTGCCATTTTCTTTGTGTCAGGTCATGTTTCTCTTTTTATTACAGTTTGGAATACTTTAAAGGAATACTTTCTCCAACTTTTTACTGCAACTCTATTAAAAATTGGTTTATTTTTCACAAATACACTCAATTAAATGATACAAATAAAGAATTATAACGTGTTATCACTATTCACATAGACAAACCACGTTGATTTAATGACGACAATCAATAGTCACATTTAATAAATCCAGTAATTCATGTTAAGAGAAATCATCTTTTCTCAAAATAAACGACAACGACGAGTCTATCCTTCAACATCCAGTGACTTTATTGATTCTTCGACACGCTTCATGCATGTGAATGTTTCCCTGAACGTGTGACTGAGACGCCTGCTGCTGCTGCTGTTGTTGTTGTGTGACCCACCCCCCTCCAGACAAACAAAGAGTGAAACAAACTGAAGTCCTCTAAGGCAGAGTGACTCCTACGTAAACGTAAACAGGAAGTAGGCGGTTCCTAGGAGGTCTCGAACATCTTCTTCCTGTCAGCCTTGTCCTCGATGTTTTTCCTCCAGTCCCCAGCGGCTTCTGTCGGCTGGAAGAAAACGAATGTTTCAAAGTGTCGCCCTGCCCCATGGAGATAGCGCAACTCAACCAACATACCAATGATAAGAATACGATGAATATGAGATATGTGTTCAGATGGAGAGGACTCACCTCCTCCTTGACCTCCTTCTTGACCTGCTTCAGGTTGGCCCTCAGGTCCATGTTGACCGTGTGCTTGGAGCCCAGCAGGGCCTTCAGCATGGTGTCAGCTGACATGCGCACCTTCTTCAGGGCCGGCTTCTTTACCCCCCTCAGGTCCACCACCTTGATGTTCAGGTCCTGGATCTGAGAGAGGAACAGACCAGCTATTAGCAGAAGGACCTCCTGGGGACAGCACCTGAGAAGATATGTGACAACATCTGGGGGAAGGGTTGAAGGTCAAAAATAAGGTCTCCAGGAGGAGGACTACAGATCATCAGAGATCTGGGGGTGTCCAGCTCTGCAGGGTTTCTGGGTACGTAGGAGCAGGAGATTGAGAAGAGGGGAATCACCACAAAAAGTCTTCCACCGATCAATAAACAAGTACAAATGACATCAGCAGAAAATAAATCTCAAAATATAAATGATCATCATGTATATTCATTTGTAATCATATTTGAAATATCCCTTGTTTAAAGACAGTGTGTACACGTGTGTGTTACCTCTTTGTCTGCTTTCTGCACTTTGGACTCGATGTCGTACCGCTCCTCGTCGATCTTATCAATCATGGCGTGAAGCTTCTTGCAGTATTCCTGAAACAACACTTCTCCTGTTACACACATGTACACACACACATAACACCCCCCCCCCCTCTCTCTCTCTCTCACCATCAGAGTGTTCTGGTCTCCACTCATCGGGGGAGGGGGGCAGTTTTCGGCCATGTAGGCCTCTTTGGCCGCCACGTCTTCGGCCTTCTCCTGATCCAGCCACTTCTGAGCAATCTGCAGGATCAGACTCTGCAGGGCAAAGATATTATTTACATACATATATATTATATATATAATATATATAAATAATTGTCTCAACGAGAAACTCATCAATCGCAGGAAATACAGGAATATTACATGTGTATTTACTTAATGAATGCAAAAAATAGAAACATTTAAATAATTTGTCAAATCAAAAGTATGTTTTGTCAAATTAGAGTATTTGTAAGCACTTTTTGAACAACTATTTTGTTATTATAAAAGACACGCTGGTATAGTCCTCATGAAAAGCTCTTCTAATGAAACTATTTATCCATCAGTCACCTTCAGGTGATGCCTGCGGCTGGAATTCATCTTCTTCCTGTTTGGTAGAAAGTCAGATCGTCATCACCACCATCATTACCATCATCCTCATTATCATCATCACCGTCATCACCACAATCATCACCATTATCGTCATCACCATTATCATCATCACCGTCATCACCACCAGCATCACCATCATCCTGATTATCGTCATCACCGTCATCACCACAATCATCACCATTATCATCATCACCATTATCATCATCACCGTCATCACCACCATCATCACCATCATCCTCATTATCGTCATCACCGTCATCACCACAATCATCACAATCATCCTCATTATCATCATCATCATCCTCATTATCACCATCATCATCATCATCATCATCACCACCATCATCCTCATTATCATCATCATCATCACCATCCTCATCCTCATCATAGTAGAGATGTGAGACTTCACACACAGAGTGTTATGGTTAATTATTCAAATGAGGCATGAGGTAATTGGGTAAGCAATCTCCAAACATACAACAAAAGTGGTTAAAAAAACATTTTTTTCTGTAGTTTAAGGGAAAGATTATTTGTGGAGGAAAAATAGAACAAGATATCAACATTCAACATTCAAGTTTCACTTTGATGAAGTTCTGGATTAAATTGTAAAAATAAAGCATGAACCTAATGGGGTCTTTTATCCATTATTTACAGAAAACAAACATCAGCCTTCAGAAGAGGACTTACTCAGACATCTTTGCGTTTCTTCTGGTTCACGACCTGCAGGAGACAGCACAGTGAGTGTAGGAAACATCTGGACCCTCTTGCCACCCCCCCCAAACCCCTCCTCTCCTGATCATGATATCCAGTGCACGCTTTCCCCGACATCAGCACTTTTTGCCTTCGACGGGATATTTGCGCCGCAACGTGATCTGGAGCCACAGCTGAGGAGCGGGCCGCGCTTACCCGGGGGGTCGGGTCCGGTGTCTCTAGGGGGGGCTCACTAGTAGAGATTCTCCTAAAGAGTCTTAAAGTGCTGTCTCCAGATCAGAGTGAATGAAGCTTTGGAATTGTCTTCACATCTCAGAACTTGCCACATTTAAAAGATGAAATATCAATAAGTTTCTTCTCTTTGTTTTTACACGAACGATGAAACAAATAAAAGAAATACGGTTCAAGAAATGAGTGAATGAATTGAAAATGAACGAGCAGTTTTTGTCATGAAATAAAATCAACGAGCTTTAAAGCAACAAGCTCACGTCCCGAATGGAATAAAAGGTACAAATCGGAAAGATTCCATCGATTCAACGTGGTATTTGGACCACAAAACACAACACACGGCGCCATAAATTCAGCTCTGTCAAATAATGGTTGAACGCGTAAAAAGCGAATTTGGGGCATCGGTAAGAGGTCAAAAGGTGGAGAAAAGGAACATCCCCAACCTGTCTAACGAGGGGCTTCTTTAGGAACGAGTCAGTCAGAAAAAAGAAACAGAAAAAGATGCTGCTCTCAGAGAAGCTCCAAGAAACACACAACAAGCATCTCACCTATTGAGAGGAGGAGGAAGAAGACGACTTGCGGGTGAAAAGGAGACACTGTCAAAGCCACTCGGGGGAAAAAGGAAATAGGGTTTATAAGGCGGGTTGCGATGCCTCAGCAGAACGCCGGGATCCTCTTTAAGGAGATGGATTCTGGGGGGGACCAATAGGCCGGCGAGCTCCTGAAATACACCAGCGCCAAACCCCCCCCCCCCCCTCCCCTTCAGGTGGGGGGGTCTGAAAACTAACAGCAGACAAACATCTTTCTGAATATTCAACCTGGAAATACCCCCTAAAGGGCCAGCGTGTGCACTCAAGAAGATCTACTGGAAGAAACAAAATAAAATAATGGAGTATGTGTCACGAACAAGGAAGAGGACGCCGCCGTGTTTATGGCTCAATGACGTTGTGTTGAGTGTTGGTGGACCTGCTACACAGTTAGCATATCCACATCCACACTTCATTCAGAAAACAAGGTATTAAGTTACTTTTTAAACATTGGCATCATGATGTTGATATTTCAGCTTCCTTTTTATCGGTTCATTGGAATTAAATTACAAATAATAAAAGGAGAAGTTTCTGAAACTTCCTAAAACTAATTATGTTTTATACAAACCAAATACAAGATGTTAGTTTGTAAGCTTTCTCACTGCTCCCAGTCTTCATGCTAAGCTAAGCTACGCCAATCTAAGTTAAGCATCCTCTCATCTCTCTTAGAAAAAAAAGCAAACAAACGTAATTCCCAAACCATTTCTTTTTGAAGAGAAACTGACTATGCAACATTATGTTTAAAAATAATTGTTTTGTGAAAATCAACATTAAAGACCTTTAAAGATGGAGATATTATATATTCATAGGTAAACCGGATACACTTAATAAACATAATAAACGTGATAAACGTAATACAGGTAAACGTAATAAATGTGATACACTTAATAAACATAATACACAGAGGATTCCATTTCCAAACTTTTATTTCTAACCAAACATTCTGAAATGATGTTTTTTAATTGTCTCAGCTCAGTCTCTTTGTATCACAAAAACTAAAATCTAAAAACAACAACAACAAAGCGTCTTAGCTGTCATCCCCGTGCTGGAGCAGATAGACACTTCAGAGGGGGACAACTGGGTGGCGGCGGTTCTTAGGAGGTCTCGAACATCTTCTTCCTGTCGGCCTTGTCCTCGATGTTCTTCCTCCAGTCGCCGGCCTCCGTCGACTAGACAACAAGAATGATGTCATCAGGAGATTGTTGTTCTGTGTTTTAAACTCGTCACTTTTATTTACTTTAAACCTGACCTTCTGTAATTTAATGTTGTATTTCTTTTATGCAATAGATGGACTTTTATGGATTTTCTATTCCGAAATCTACATTTTAGTACTTTTAGGTACAGAGTAAAACAAATGTCTTTTACTCACAGAGGCAAACAGTGTTCTTTATATGCAAAGAACAGTCTGATATTCACCCAATTAAATTAAATTAATTTGTTTGGAAAACCATCAAGTTCACAGTCTCAGAAGTACAATAAACAGCATTTTCGTACTTCCATTCTGCCAACACATTATATATAAAGACATGTAGATTCCGTGGGATATGTACGAATGACACATTGACCCCTCCTTTGGTTCCTCACCTCCTCCTTGACCTCCTTCTTGACCTGCTTCAGGTTGGCCCTCAGGTCCATGGTCACCTTGTGCTTCCCTCCCAGCAGGGCCTGCAGCATGGCGTCAGCCGACATACGGACCTTCTTCAGGGCCGGCTTCTTCACCCCGGCCAGCTCCACCACCTTCATCTTTAAGTCGTCGATCTGGAGGCAGAAGGAAGGAGGCGTGATAGCTGACTTCTGAAAGCTAAATGTACAACGTGTGCAGAAGATGGAAGACCTCTGGAGCAGCTTTTTATGTTGACTGAAGACCACCTGTCACCAGGACCAAAGTGAAACTACAAGTTCAACAACATTAAAACCAACCAGGACCCGGAGGGCGAGAATTCATCTTCAGACTAAACAAAGAGACCCAACGATGGTAAAAAAGAGAAATACTCTGAATGCAGGATGCAAAACAAAGAGCAGCAATGCACATCGTTGACTTTCGTCCTTGTTTATGATTCTTTCCTGCTATATAATTTGGATTTTTTGCAACCGGTTCTCACAACAAGTGCAGCTCGGAATCTCCATGTCCAACGCCATCTTGGTTTTTGCCACACGCCATCTTGGTTTTGTTTGACGCCACTTTCATTGCAGTACATTTTAAAAAGGATCCGGCTCCTTTTCTCACCTCGGAGTCGCTCTTGCGGACCTTGGACTCGGCGTCGTACCTCGCCTCGTCGATCTTGTCGATGGCCTGGTAGATCTTCTTGCAGAGTTCCTGTTCGTATACAAAACCAACACACCCAACTTTACTTTACAGTAGTTTTACCACATTTCTTCTGATTGTTTGTGAAGGTGAAGTTTTTGGATGGGAAAAGGTTATCTTCAAATAAGACTTCAGTAAACAAGCTAAAAATCTCTCAGGTTAAAGAATATTTAACAGATCCTGCAAAAACACAATGAATATTTTTGCTCACATTATTGCGCGATGCTCTTACAGTAACAGTATCTTTACAAAATAACAAAGTTATGTATACTTTGACTCAGTATTCACACAGAGGAATTACTAGTCTTACTATGGTATTCATAGTACTCGTACAGTGAGTACTCACCGTGAGGGCGGCCATGTCTCCACTCAGGTCGGGGGTGGGGCATGATTCAGACATGTGCGCCTCCTTCGCCGCCACCAGCTCCTTCTTCTCCTGCTCAATCCACCCGGCGGCGATCTGCAGCATCAAACTCTGAGGGAAGCGAGGACAAGAAGGCACACGTTAGAAGTTCAGACAGAAGCTTCCACAAGACGAGGCGGCAGACCTCAGTGGATTCGTCCTCACCTTCAGCTGGTGCCGACGGCTCGACGTCATTTTCTTCACCCTGAGACATGAGAGACAAAAAACATCAGACAGACAGCTGCTAGTTAGCGTTAGCTTAGCATGAACAGGTTCTGTGCCAAGTCTTACTGAAGTCGTGGTCAGGACCCTCAGATTTCATTTGATAATATATTAGAATAAAACAATAACAAATTATCAGAATTTCTCCTTACGTCTTTAGTTAATAGTTTGTATGCTCAGTTCCCTTTTTGGCCACACGAGTGAGCCAGAGCACACACATTGTCCCGATTATTTTATTTAGAGCTTTGAATCAACAAAAGAATAAGATAGCAGGTTGACTACCTGAATCAGTGTTCATTTCGTCGACGAAAACTATGACGAAAATTTTTCGTTAACTAACCTTTTTTCCATGACTAAGACGTGACGAAAACGATCTTAAAAAATAAAAACTATGACTAAATCTTTTCTAACTTTCGTTAACGAGACGAGACGAACATGTTGGTGGTTGACGAAGTCACAATACTTTTCCCCCTAAATTCGCACGCAGCTGACAGACAACAGAGCGGCAAAGTACGGCGGATATTTACGCGTCATGATGACGTCATCCACGAACGCGCGTATCGGTGCAGCGGTGGTTCTTTTGCACCGACTACGGACCGCGACGACTATTTTACGCTTCGGCGAGTTTGAATGTGGCTTCGTTAGTTTCGCTCAGCTGTCTCGGTTTAGCTGCCTGTTAGCAGGCTGAAGCCGCGCTGCTTCACAGAAACATGAAGACCCGTTTAAAGACTGTCGGACCTTTCTGCTCTGTTCTCTGGCGACGGCAGGCAGCGTTTCCTCGCTGGATGAGACGCTCCGTTACAAACACGTCTAACGTAATAAACTCATTGCAGGTTCTGAAGCCAAGAAAATAATGTATTGCAACGATTGTAGGACGTTAAGGTCTCTTTTGTTGGGACAGTGGAAACAATAAAGGAGCATGAAGTTTCCGGTGGCCACATCAAAAGCATTGCAGTAAACAGACAAAGACAAGTGTTGCGTTTAGATCCCTGGTCCTCATGAAGTTGTTACACCTTTGCCAATTTGTTAAATTGCCTTGCAAATAAATGCTTTGCTATTTGTTAAAATCCAAATCCTTTCATGTAATGATTTTTCACGTGTCATTTATATTCGCTCACACAAACACTTCAACCATTTGTTCTTGGCCCGGCTCCTCCGTCACATTTTACAACCCATTGTGGCCCGCGAGTCAGAAAGTTTGCCGATCGCTGCTATAGACCTGTCCTAGGAGGGACATCTAATGGACAACCAAGTACTGCAAGCTAGACTATTATGCAGCTGTAGAGACAACACAGCGGGTCCCTGGGCCTGAGAAGGGAAGAAAAGGAGTTTAATATGGCTATTAAATGTGACTAAAACTAATTACATTTTAGTCTAGTTTTCGTCGACGAAAACTAGACTAAAACTAAAAAGGGTTAAAATGACTAAATGTGACTAAAACTAATATGCATTTTTCGTCTAAAGACTAAGACTAAGACTAAATCAAAAATAGCTGCCAAAATTAATACTGACCTGAATGCATTTATGAAGTATGTGTGTATATGTTTCAACAAGACATGCATAAAACAACGTTTTTTATTTCTCTAAAAAGAGGATATAAGGTTATGATGAAATGGCAGAAAGTGGGTCCCCTGAAACTGACAATTGGGAAACACTGATCTAATTGATCTCCCTACACATTATACTAAAAACATAATAAGATACATTTAATACAACAAAAATAAGGTTGTTATGTTAATGGTGCGATGTGTTGGACTGGCTACATGTAAAGTTTTGATTAAACAAAAACAAGATACACATATAATCCTTCCAACAGTGAGCAGGAGCCGAGCTAGCTGTTTGCCCCGCTTCCACACTTTATGCTAAGCTAAGCTAGCTGGCAGTGATATACATGTTTATCGACCTTCTGGAACTCTTCGCCAGAAATGAAAGAATAACAAAATGTGTCTGTAAAATAAGCAAAATGATTAAATAAACACAGGGAAATAATCTTAGGAAAAGATCAGTTCACATATTTAATTTGTTTTGTCCTCAAATAACAAATAAAGTCATAAAATCCAGAATCCTCACATTAAGGTTTAAGATTTAAGGTCTAAGGTTTTAATCTCCCCGGAGGAGCAGAAACGAACTGTAACCATTCGAAAGGTCGAAACCTGTTTTAAAATGTATTTATAAATGTTCTTCCAGAATTCAGCTGCTGTCATCTGAAGCCGGCTCAGACATTCTTAAAGCCAGTCTGCAGGAATGTGGCCCATGTGTTTATGTCCTTTTATGAACCCGTCGCTACATTAATAATAAAAATACATTTTATTTATAGAGACCCATTCAGACATTTACAGTCACCATTAAACACATATTGAGTCTCATAACGCCTTGTTATATACGATATGAGCATTCAGTAAAATAACTATTTATACCAGTCTGGTTCTAATGTGTTTGATTGTGCACATATGGGACAAACGTTAATTTCGAAAAATTATGAATTAACATTTATTTTCTCTCGAGAAAGCTTCTAAGAAAAGAAACTTCTGATGAGGAGAAGATGAGGAGGCGAAAGTGGGGAGAGAGAAAAGAGAAAACGAAGAAGAGGAGGAGAAGAAAGAGAAGAGGGAGGGAGGAAAAGAAGGAGGAGAGAAAGGAGGAGAGGAGAAGGAGGAGCAGCAGGATGAAAAGAAGGGAGGAGAGAGGAGGAGGAGGAGAAAAAGGGAGGAGAGATGAGGAGAAGCAGGATGAAAAGAAGGGAGGAGAGAGGAGGAGCAGGATGAGAAGAAGGGAGGAGAGAGGAGGAGCAGGATGATGAGAAAAAGCGAGAAGAGAGGAGGAGGAGCAGGATGAGAAGAAGGGAGGAGGAGGAGCAGGATGAGAAGAAGGGAGGAGAGAGGAGGAGGATGAGAAAGTAGGAGAGAGGAGGATGAGAAGAAGGGAGACGAGAGGAGGAGGAGAAGAGGGGAGGAGAGAGAACGACGATGCGAAGAACGGCGGAGAGTGAATGAGGAGACGAGGGGAGGAGAGAGGAGGACGATTTGAAGAAGGGAGGAGAGAGGAGGAGGATGAGAGGAAGGGAGGAGGGAGGAGGAGAAGAAGGGAGGTGTACTCACTCAGCCATGCTGCTAGTTCTCTTCGGCCTGTTCACAGAGGAGTAAATGATGAGCGGACATGTTTCACCAAGTCAAACACATTATTGATTGATTGCTTTGACCTCTGGCAGGGCTCCGCCCATCAAGGGGGCTAATTCTGGCCCCCGAGAGGTCGCAACCCCCCCGGACATTTCTACCTGGAATCTAACTTCCAAATGCCACCGAGAGCAGAGGAACCTAAGAAGGAACCCAAGGAGGTGGCGAGCCGTTAACATCGGAGACGCTAATTCGAACATCCAGCCGGGAGGGAAGGGGGGGGGCCAGGAGGGGTCATTCTTACATCAAATAAAGATTCATTCGAATCACAAAGGACACATTTCATCTGATCTATAACAAACATAAAACCCATTAGATATCTTTAATTCATAAGAAGATTATATGTATTATTATTATTGATTAATGAAAAGAGGAATATCTATAGGAGTTTGAAACAAAGATGATTCCTTTAGTAGAGAACATGAACATCGTATCATCATTAAATATTATTCCTCACCAGTTCAAAAATATACAACAAACTTTACCCCGGACGGCCCGAGGTTGATCGGCCTCAGAGGTCAGAGGTCACACCTCTCTGGGAGCCGGTTAAAGTTCCACCCGTGGAGGAGAGGAGCCGGAGTGAGTCTGTTAGTGCCCGAGCAGGGAGCTTCTCACCTGGCAGGACGCAGTGGAAGAAGAAGAAGAAGGAGAAGAAGGGGGGGAGACGCTATCAAGTCCTGGACCCCTCACATCAAACGGGTATATACGGCGTGAGGCGCTGACTCAGCAGCAACGCCGCCCTCTTTATGGTAGCACAGTCCTCAGAACCAATGGGCCAGCAGGCTCCAGAAATACCTCCAGGAACCTCGTAAAGTTCTCCCTCTCCGGGGTGGATGGGCTCTCGGGTTTCCTCCCACACAGGGAGGTGGGGGGGACAAGAGTAGGCATTGTTAGGAGACTGAGACTGAGCTGATAGACAATGAGTGGCATCAAGACCATGAATGCAAACACATCTCAGGAATCAGGAAACATTTATTGCCAAAATATGTCAAACATACAAGGAATTCGTCTTGGCAGTTGGTGCGTGACAGTAGACAGTGTAACAATAGACCACAAGACAGCAGTGCACAAGTAATAAAATAAAGTAAAATGAAATGCTAATGCAATGGGTTAGTAGAATAAGGCTATGGGTTAGTTAGAGTTAAACATTTAAAATACTAAAAAAGTTAAAAAATATTAAGCATGAAGTGCACTAGCGTAACAAAGTGACGAGTGACGACAAAGTGAAAAATTGCAGTTAAAGTGGCATGTGCAGTGTGAAGGGGAGTGACCGGTGGAATGTTATAGTCAGTCAGTGGGGGACCGGGCTCTGTTGATGAGCCCGACTGCCGACGGGAAGAAACTGTTTGTGTGGCGGGAGGTCTTAGTCCTGATGGACCTCAGCCTCCTGCCAGATGGAAGGGGCACAAACAGTTTTTGTCCGGGGTGGGAGGGGTCGGCCGCGATCTTTTTAGCTCGCTTCAGAGACCTGGAAGCGAACAAGTCCTGCAGGGACGGCAGATTGCGGCCGATCACCCTCTCTGCAGAGCGGATGACACGCTGCAGCCTGCCCTTGTCCTTGGCTGTGGCTGCAGCGTACCAGACGGTGATGGAGGAGCAGAGGATGGACTCGATGATGGCCGTGTAGAAGTGGACCATCATCGTCTTTGGCAGGTTGAATTTCTTCAGCTGCCTCAGGAAGAACAACCTCTGCTGAGCCTTCTTGGTGATGGAGCTGATGTTCAGCACCCACTTGAGGTCCTGGGTGATGATGGAGCCCAGGAAACGGAAGGAGTCCACAATAGTGACGGGGAAGTCACACAGGGTGATGGGGGAGGGTGGGGCTCTGTTCCTCCTGAAATCCACAACCATCTCCACTGTCTTCAGAGCGTTGAGCTCCAGGTTGTTCTGGCTGCACCAGGACACCAGATGGTCGGACTCCCACCTGTAGGCGGACTCGTCCCCACCAGAGATCAGTCCAATGAGGGTGGTGTCATCCACAAACTTCAGGATCTTGACGGACTGGTGGCTGGAGGTGCAGCTGTTGGTGTACAGGGAGAAGAGCAGAGGGGAGAGAACGCAGCCGTGGGGGGAACCGGTGCTGATGGTCCGAGAGGCGGAGACATGTTTCCCCAGCTTCACATGCTGTTTCCTGTCAGACAGGAAGTCTGTGATCCACTTGCAGGTGGAGTCGGGCACGTGCAGCTGGGAGAGTTTGTCCTGCAGCAGAGACGGGATGATGGTGTTAAAGGCAGAGCTGAAGTCCACAAACAGGATCCTGGCGTAGGTACCTGGGGAGTCCAGATGCTGGAGGATGTAGTGGAGGGCCATGTTGACAGCATCGTCCACAGACCTGTTGGCTCTGTAGGCGAACTGCAGGGGGTCCAGGAGGGAGTCGGTGAGGGACTTCAGGTGGGTCAGGACTAGCCGTTCGAAAGACTTCATGACTACAGAGGTCAGGGCTACGGCCTGTAGTCATTGGGTCCTGTGATCCTGGGCTTCTTGGGATCAGGGATGATGGTGGAGGCCTTGAAGCAGGCTGGTACGTGGCCTGTCTCCAGGGAGGTGTTGAAGATGTCAGTGAGCACTGGAGACAGCTGATCAGCACAATGCTTCAGGGTGTGAGGGGAGACGGAGTCCGGACCGGCTGCCTTACGGGGATTTTGTCTTTTAAAGAGCCGGTTAACGTCTCTCTCCAGAATAGAGAGGGTCGTTGCTGGTGGGGGAGGGGAAGGTGATATAGATGAAGAGGCGTGAGCACCTGATGGGCTGGGGGAGGGAGGGGAGGGGGACGGGGGCAGGTTGGTGGAGCTGTGGGGGATGGGATCAGGACATTGTCTTTCAAATCTGCAGTAGAACTCATTCAGCTCGTCTGCCAGGCGGAGGTCATTCATGGAGTGGGGGGTTTTTGGCTTGTAGTTGGTGAGGTGTTTGAGGCCTCTCCAGACCGAAGCAGAGTCACTTGCTGAGAACTGTTGTTGGAGTTACTCAGAGTACAGTCGTTTAGCATCTCTCACCGCCTTGCTAAACTTGTATTTTGACTCTGTGTACAAGTCTTTGTCCCCGCTCCTAATTGCCTGATCCTTCTGCAGGCGTAGTGTTCTGAGTTCTGCTGTGAACCAGGGTTTGCGTTGTTGTAACTCACCCTGGTGCATGATGGTACACAGCTGTCCTCACAGAAGCCGGTGTAGCAAGTTACAGCCTCTGTGAACTCGTTCAGACTGTCAGTAGCAGTCCTGAAACCATCCCAGTCTGTGCAGTCAAAGCACGCCCGAAGAACCTCCAGCGCCTCACTGGTCCACTTCTTGAATTCCCCAAAAACGAAGCGCACCGAAGCACCGTGGCAGCCACCAACGGCGCCATCTTGGATCATCAAATACCTATATGTATCTACACAATGTAAATGTGAAGATGGGATGAAGACAGGCTCAGAATTCATGTTTCATGTTGTTGGCATACTGGAGTCGAAGGTTTCTACTCAAGGAATGTCAGATATGTATTTGTAAAACTCCATGAATCAGAAATAAACAAATAATCCATTTCCTCCATGTTGTTAGCAACAACCTTAGTATAACAGAGTCTCTGAATGATGACCAAACCCCTCTGTAGCACATCCAGAATGTAGGGAGGAACCTCCAGAATCTAGAGATCAAACTTTCCCCCAGACTGCCCGAGGTTGATCAACCTCAGAGGTCAGAGGTCACACCTCTCTGGGAGCCGGTTAAAGTTCCACCCATGGATACCTCCAGAATCCTGGCAGGAACCTCAATAATCTAGAGGGAAATATCCAAAACCCAGAGACTAACAACCATTCACACTCACTTTCACACACCTACAGGCAATTTAGCAATACCAATTAACCTGATCCTCAGAGCATGTCTTTGGACTGTGGGAGGAAGCTGGAGAGAACCCACGCCATACAGAAACCACACCACCGTGCCGGCCTCTCTGCAGACATCGACAAACGTAAATAAACAAAGTAATAAAATAAACGTTTTATTTTCTGTAGTCTGAAAGAAGATTACTTCTAGAAGTAAAGAGGCGTCATTAAGAAGATGGATGCGAGTTTGTGTCTAAATTAAAAGAAGCTGGAGATTAATATGAGGATATGGAGGTGGGGACCAAAGATGAAGAGGAAGGAGTACCGTACTCACCCGTGGAACACTCGTTGTTTAGTCGCCGAGGAAAAGAGGGATTCACACTGAAAATGTTTAACGAGCCGTTCTTCTAGGGAGAGAAGAAGAAGAGAGACGCTCTCTGCCAACCCCTGGTGGTTCCTCCCCAACATGACACGCATTGAGCAGATGAAATGAAGAGGTCCAACCACTGCTTCTGTTTAACGCTTTAATCATCAGGCTTAGCCTTCGGCCTGAAATAAAAGACACCCTCCGTGGTGTTAAAGCTGTCAGCTGTATTATTAAAAAAGAAACAATTTAATGGTGCAAGTTTTTCCAATTCCATGAAGAACCGGGCAGCAGGTGGAGGCGGAGTCTCTAGGAGGTCTCGAACATCTTCTTCCTGTCGACTTTGTCCTCGATGTTCTTCCTCCAGTCGCCTACCGCCTCGCCGGCCTGAGGGACACACAGAGCTTAGAGGGTCTCCCACATCGGGTCCACATGCCTTCACCACCAGACTCACCTCCTCCTTGACCTCCTTCTTGACCTGCTTCAGGTTGGACCTCAGGTCCATGGTCACCTTGTGCTTCCCCCCCAGCAGGGCCTGCAGCATGCTGTCAGCTGACATGCGGACCTTCTTCAGGGCCGGCTTCTTCACCCCGGACATTTCCAGTACCTTCATCTTCAGGTCCTCAATCTGAGGGACAGAGTACACACCGATAGTACTACATTACTACTCGGTACAATGGAGAACACACAACCCGTGTACCAATGAGAGCAGCTAAAAGGGTTCAGAACAGTTAGGTCCCAAAAATCATTGATCATGATGTTTGATAGTGTGCTTTGAGCTTGTGTTGGGAAGTTAAACACATCATGATTCATCGCTAATATCTATTTTATATGTGAAATAAACAAGTTTCTTACTAAAACTGCATTTTACAGATTACACATGAACACATCACAGTAAGTTATAACATAAAAAACATAAAAATGTTTATTAAATCATTTCATTTGATGTGTGTGAACGTGTATTTGTATTTTTACTGTGTATTCTTAGCCGTTATATATGCAATATGTGTGTTATTCCAATTGTTTAGACGTTATGCATAATCAAATACACGGCAGAATAAGCAGTTCTTTTACCATCTATTCATTGCGGACGACAAGGAAAAAAAACGCGTTGCGCATGCAAAATCCTGTATTCTACTACAACTTGTGCGTCAAAAAGCACAACTCTGCTGGGCCTTTGCACCTAAATGGGTCATGCCAGTAATCATCTACGTTACGTATCAATCATGGACCAATTAAAATTGAGATATTACTGGACATTTGCGCAGCTGACGTCACTACACCAGCTACGTTGTAAGCGTAATTCTGCAAAATTCAAAATGACGGCGGTGTGCGCCGATACCACAGATTTTAGACGAGGTTTAGAACAGTGATTGACGTGTTCATGGGGAAAGAGCGGTGGGTGGATTTTATGTACAAATCTACAGATTGGTGAGTGAGAAACTATTTCGGGCTAAATATTGAATTGAAAGCGTGGTTAAATGGATGCCGACTACAAGCCATTTGCCTTCATATTCAGAAGTGTGTGTTTTCATTGATGCTGACTGACAAAGATAATTGCCCGCTGTGCAATAATTAAGCAATACGAAGGAAAGCAAAAAGAGTACTTTGTCATCAATACTGTTACATCGGTTGTGAAAGCTAGCACTGCCACAAACGGACGCTTTTTCCTGTCTTTTTTTTTCGGTGATCGCCACTGAGACCTAGGTAATAACTACTGTGTGTGTTCGTGTGTGTGTGTGTGTGTGTGTGTGTGTGTGTGTGTGTGTGTGTGTGTGTGTGTGTGTGTGTGTGTGTGTGTGTGCGCGCGTGCGCGCCCCGAGCGAGAGAGTAGTAGTATATATATGAGACGCTTCTCGACCTCCTTGTTGGACTTTTCCACTTTGGCGTAAGCGTCGTATCTTTCTTCGTCCAACTTGTCGAGGCCCTGGTGCAGCTTTTTGCAGAATTCCTGTCAACATAGAAGAAAAAGAAAGAATAAACTCCACCTCTGCATGTGTTCGGCCCTTGGAGGGAAGCTGGGGGGCTTTTTTCTCACCATCAGGGCCACCTCTCCACTCAGGTCGGGGGGGGGACACTTCTCCGCCATGTACGCCTCTTTAGCGGCCACAATCTCCCCAGCCTCCTGCGCCAGCCAGGTAGCGGCGATCTGTAGGATCAAACTCTGTGGGCCCAGAAGAGAGTAGTCAGAGGGGGCCCGGAAAGTCAGAAGGTGCATGTGTATTTGTGGGAGGAGTCGTGTGTCTTTGTAGGAGGAGTATTGTGTCTTTGTGGGAGGGGTCCTGTGTCTTTGTAGGAGGAGTTGTGTGTCTTTGTTGGAGGAGTATTGTGTGGTTGTAGGAGGGGTCCTGTTTCTTTGTGGGAGGAATATTGTGTCTTTGTGGGAGGGGTCCTGTGTCTTTGTAGGAGGAGTATTGTGTCTTTGTGGGAGGAGTCGTGTGTCTTTGTAGGAGGAGTATTGTGTCTTTGTGGCAGGTGTCCCGTGTCTTTGTAGGAGGAGTTGTGTGTCTTTGTGGGAGGAGTATTGTGTAGTTGTAGGAGGGGGCCTGTGTCTTTGTAGGAGGGGGTCTTGTGTCTCTGTGAGAGGAGCTCTTGTGTCTTTGTGGGAGGGGTCCTGTGTCTTTGTAGGAGGAGTATTGTGTATTTGTGGGAGGAGTCGTGTGTCTTTGTAGGAGGAGTATTGTGTCTTTGTGGCAGGTGTCCCCTGTCTTTGTGGGAGGAGTCTTGTGTAGTTGTAGGAGGGGGCCTGTGTCTTTGTAGGAGGGGTCCTGTTTATTTGTGGGAGGAGTCTTATGTATTTGTGGGAGGGATCATGTGTCTTCGTAGGAGGGCTCCTGTGTCTTTGTGGGAGGAGTCCCATGTCTTTGTGGGAGGAGTCCCGTGTCTTTCTGGGAGCGGTCCTGTGTCTTTGTGGGAGGAGTCTTGTGTCTTTCTATGTATTGTTGTATTGTATATTTATGTATTGTTACAGTAAAGCATAAATACTTCTTCACACACCAGACAATGAGCTATTAGCATGTGATTAACATTAAAGCTGATGTGATCTTCATTTATTCATTATTGCCTCCTGGTTATTAAAAACAAGTTGAATCCTACCTTGAGATGATGCCTGCGGCTTGACGACATTTTCTTTCCCCTTTGAACAAAGAAGTGAAAGTATTAATAACAGTAGAATATAGGACATTACTAAAGAAGAGTCTATAGATAATAGATAATAAACAATACACTTGTACTCACTCGGACATCTTGACTTCTTTTTAGTGTCAGACTCTGATAGTTCAGAAAAACAGAAAAACAAAGTGAAAGAACTAGTTATGTTCTGGAGAATGAACTTCTTAATAAAAACAATATTAGTATTTTATACAATTTAGCTTTTAGATTTGAAAAAAAACTTGTATATAAAGTAAAGTAAATATAATCTAACACGTATTGTCATTTAAAACGATAATCTGTCATACGAACAAAATGAATAATCTGTCTCGAAATGTATTATTTCACACAAGTTTTTCTTGAAATTCTTTAAACTAAAAACATTTGTAAAATCTTTCTATTAATAATTATAATTGTAATTGTAATAATAACACAACTTTCTTGTAATTAATTCAATCAATCAATAAACTGCTTCATATCAATAAATTCAGTGTACAGGAGGAGGAGGGGGGGGGGCGCACACGTGGAGGCCGTGCTGCCCTCTACAAAGACGGGTCACAGCTAATCCTGGCTGGGGGGGGGGGTCAGAGGTCACCGCTGACATTCACTGTGATTTCTCCATGAGCGGAGCATAAAACAAATGACCTAAAAAAATGTAATTCATCATTTTATCAGCTGATTTAAAAAGTTTCAGAATTTAAGATCTGCGTGACACACTGGTTGAATATGAACAGACTATATATACACAGTTCCTCAAACTATCAAAAATAATAATAATACTTTTGTATTTTATAGCGCTTTTCTGGGTACCCAAAACAGACTATTCATCATCCAAGTCCTTCTCCTCCAAGCTTCTCCGAGAGGAGAAGAGTTTCTCACCTTCTCAGCGACGATGACGGGGAGACCTGGGACCAACTGGGTGGACCGAGTCGAGTGAAATCTGCAGGAGTATTTATGCTCTCGGACTTCTCTTTTATGGCTACGAGGAACTGGGGAGCTCCTGAAATACCTTCATACCCGGACACCTCGTAAATCCACCGGGAGGAGAGAGCCCTTCAAACCTGGACTCTGTAAACCTGGACCCTTTTAACCTAAACCCTTTTAACATGGATCCTTTAGTACTATTATAAATGGTTAATTATAATCCTAGTTAAGACAAATGTTGATGTACATTGACAAAGATAAAACCAGTTTTTATTTTACACGTTTGTTTTTTTCTTTGAGGATTATCTTGATGAACTAAACTTAATTATTATAATCAATTATTGGTCAGACAGATCATTTTATGAATCTGTTTTTTTTTGTTACAAAACTTGGGTTTCATACACAAGTGAAGTAAATTATCTGAGTTAATCTCCCGTGCAAAAGTCCTGTTTGTTTGATCAAGTAAACAGTAGAAGTGTGAATGAAATGGAAATGTTTTTTGTAAATTTTAACAGGTATTTTAGATGTGACAAAGTTTAGGATAATACATTTAAGATAATATTCAACCACAATAACAAAAAGGGATTTCTTGTCATAAAATATGAATAAAAGATAAAAACGTTCTACCTTCTACACTGCTGCTGATTTTCAGATCCACACTCTGAAAACACAAAGAGACAAATAACACAACAGTTAATACAAAGACCAATAATGGTACTTTCAAACCGTATAACACAGCATTTACTGGTGAAATATGTTAAAAGGAGACCAAAATCACACAAATACTGAATAAAATGAGACTTCACCCACCTTCTGTTGGTTGAGACCATCTCTGTCCATTAGCAAATAATAATATAATAATGATAATACAGTAATTTTAAAGACCTCCTGTAGCACAAAATGTTGTCTAATGTTTTGTTCAATGTACATTTGTAATTTAAAGAAGGAAAGGTCTCCTTCCTTCCTGAGGAAGACACTAAAGAAGAAAAGGTGTGGAACCGGAAGTCCTCTACGAAGGACACTTTAAAACAATGTTCTGGGATATAATCATGATTATTAAATGTTTATTAATGTTAATGAACTAACGTAGATGAGGAGAATATTAATAAACAGCTTTAACGGAATGAAATGTTTCCATATGAGACGTTCTACTTGCTGACAGAATAAAAAAGTAATTACTTTGTTCATTATTATGTTTATCTGTGCTTATTAATGCAAACACAAATTATTGCAGAATATTTTGTCATTGTATTAACATGGAAAAGTATTATTAAGTATAATAATAAATTACATTTTGTAATTACATGTCAAAAGTAATTGAAGATGAAAACAAATAATAGGAAGTGATATTACATGGGATGTTATCGCTTTATATTTGTGGTTAAATACTAAATTAAAATCTTAAATAAAAACTTTTTTTTCAAAAGAAAGAGTTTATCAAGAGTATCTTATGTTTATTCAAAATGGGAAATTTTATATGTTTTAAATCTGCTGAAAATAAAGAAAGAGTGAAAGTAATTTGAAAACGTAAATATTGGAGAGTCACATTCATATTAATCTGTCAGAGTTTAATCTCAGGGGCAGTTAATAAATTGCTTTTAGAATAAAGAGGTAATTTTAGAATACAGCTAATATGAATTTACTGTAATCTCAAAAAAAGTATTTTGTCGCTTTAAGAAAGAATTCAGGTAATTCTCGTTTTGATCGGATGAATGTGAGTTTGAATTCTTCACCACGACGAGCAGACGTTGAGGAGAAAACAAGCACATTTATTACCAAAGACAATATGAAGCAGGAAGTCAAAAGTGAACCTCAGCAGCAAAGGAGGAAACAGGAAGTCTCATTTCAGAATAAAAGTTAACGAGAAGTAAGAGAAGCTAAAGGGACCTTTTCTCGCTTTACAAAATTTACAAAAACAGGCCGAGTTGAGACTCATAGTTTGAATGAAACAAAAAAGAGAAGCTTCTTTCAATTCAATTATAAATCCAATAAAGTGTGCTAACGGCCGGCGGCGGCGGTTGGAGTCTTTAGGAAGTCTCAAACATCTTCTTTCTGTCTGCCTTGTCCTCGATGTTCTTACGCCAGTCGCCGGCCTCCACAGACTACGAGACACAAACAGTCCAAAGTCAAAGATGGACACCGAGTAGTTTTAAGGATAAAAATAATCTGAGATACTGATGATTTTTCCCAAAATAACTCCAAATGTTCTATTTTGATAGTAGTCATCCATAGTATTTATTTGTATAAAAACACACAATTCAATTAATGTGTTTTATTTAATTATTTACCATTTTTTAGGGATGCACCCTTAAAATAAAGATTAAGATGTTTAGAGATAAAGTTCTTAACAGATCCTTTTAATTTCTGATAATAATGTAGTGTTTTTCTTTTCATAAAAACAAAATTTAAAAAATTAAGTTGCACCATAATATCTCTGGTGCAGGACTGTACTCCTGTTAACGGTGCTGATAACAGTCAACGGTGTCGACTACCATTCAATGCCCACAGCTAATGTTAACTAGCTCCCAACAGCTAAGATTAACTACCGTTTCCCAGGTCTCTCCCTGTAGAGACTCGATGAATATGAGATATGTGTTCAGATGGAGAGGACTCACCTCCTCCTTGACCTCCTTCTTGACCTGCTTCAGGTTGGCCCTCAGGTCCATGTTGACCGTGTGCTTGGAGCCCAGCAGGGCCTTCAGCATGGCGTCGGCAGACATGCGCACTCTTTTCAGGGCGGGTTTCTTCACTCCGGCCAGTTCGACCACTTTGATCTTCAGGTCTTCGATCTTGGAGAGCAACCAAGGACCAGACCAATGAGAGAAAAGAGATTTACGGCTTAGACCATATGTGAGAAGTGGACGCAATCATCACGTCAACTGCTAGTTAGATGACTGTTGTTTCAAAGCTGCTAGCTTGCCATTGGCATCTTGTTTTTTGCAACCAGTGAACAGGAAGGACTGAGGAGGATGTAGTAACGCCGTTAATGCCTCTGGTAGAGACCTGTCAATCAGCGTGTAGCTCCGTCCTAAAGCATCCCCTGCTTTATGGTCTGTTTGACTAAATGGACCACAATTCACTAAATTAACATTATGCTGTGTTGAAGAAGACTTTAAACTAGAGATTGAGACCATAAACATAAAATGTTTACAATGTTTACTGAGGGAATAAATCAAGAGAGAAGCAGAGTCATTTTCTCATAGACTTCTATGGGACCAGAGGAGTCGCCTCCTGTAGGTCAATAGAGAGAATACAGCTCTAAAAAAATAAAGCTTACGGGCAGCTCGAACTGTACCTCTTTATCAGCTTTTCCCACTTTGGCATGCAGGTCGTATCGTTCTTCGTCCACTCTGTCGATGAGAGCGGCCAATTTTCTGCAGGTTTCCTTAAAAACGCAAACAAGCATAACGTTAACTTATTGATCATAAACCTTCCCTGACGTTAGGGAAAGGTTTGCCACTAGTTTGAATTTGCTTGGGCTCCGGACTGAGCTCATTATTTTCATGGTGAGTGGCGAAGCGTATGTGACCTGAAGTGTGTCTCACCATGAGGGCGGCCTGGTCCCCGCTCTTATTGGGCGAAGGACAAGACTCAGCCATGTAGGCCTTCTTGACAGCTTCATTCTCTTTCTGCTCCTCCTGAATCCATTTTGCCGCGATCTGAAGCATCAAACTCTGCAAGAAATGATCATGCAAAAGTCAATGGAAAGTCAGCGGGGGTCAACAGGAAAGTGGAGGAAGAAAGCTTATCTTTTGTGATTACATTTTTTATTTGAGTCCAAATGCTAAGAGATCACCCCATGATTCTCTTCCATATGTAAACATTGAAAATATAAAAACGTTAACATTTTTAACCAAGAAGAAAAAAGTAATTGTACAATATGAAAATGCTTATTTATTAGCTTTTATTTGGGAAATTGTTTAATTGTAAGTCTGTAACTCTCAGCTCATCCATTCATGAATTAAACTATATTTTACTCCAGTTAATTAAAATCAACTTGGAACTTAACAACAAATATTGGTATGAACCAGTAGAGGTTAAAATACCTTATTATAAACAATTAATAAAAAGTATTCCATAAGAAGGTGATATGTTGTCCTGTAAATCTCAGTCAAAGCTTCCAGTTAGACGTAGACATGGCTTTTATATTTTATATATTTTCATGTCCTTTAACCCCCCTCCTTTAGGTGGGAGAGAAAGTGAAGACTAACGGGAGTGTTTTTATGTTTCCACCTACAGGGGGCGCCCCAGTATAATATATCTCATATTTATTAATACCTTTATATGTTCATATACTGCTGGTAATTAAACACACAATAATATGTTAACGTGTATAACTTGCTAAATCCATAATAATAGTAATACAGGGCTCTCAAGTGTCACACATTGAGCAGAGTGACAGTCACTCATTTCGGTCTCTAGTCACTCCCTTGAGAGCCCTGGTAGTAATAGTAATTTAAGCTAAAAGGCAGTGAAATAAGAAGACTGACATTTACCACTGAGATATTAATACCCATCCAACGATTCAATTTAATATAGCAGAGATTAACGTGTGTAAGTAATTTATATCAGCTTCATCTTCAGGAATCAGGAATCGGGAAACATTTATTGCCAAAATATGTCAAACATACAAGGAATTTATCTTGGCGGTTGGAGCGTGACAGTAGACAGTGTAACAATAGACAACAAGACAGCAGTGCACACGTAATAAAATGAAATGCTAATGCAATGCGTTAGTAGAATAAGGCTATGGGTTAGTATAAAACAAGAGAATGAAGTTAGAGTTAAAAATGTAAAATATTAAAAAAGTTAAAAAATATTAAGCATAAAGTGCACTAGAGAACAAGTAACAGAGTGACGAGTGACGACAAAGTGATAAATTACAGTTAAAGTGGCATGTGCAGTGTGAAGGGGAGTGACCGGTGGAATGTCAGAGTCAGACAGTGGGCGACCGGCTCTGTTGATGAGCCCGACTGCCGACGGGAAGAAACTGTTTGTGTGGCGGGAGGTCTTAGTCCTGATGGACCTCAGCCTCCTGCCACATGGAAGGGGCACAAACAGTTTTTGTCCGGGGTGGGAGGGGTCGGCAACGATCTTTTTAGCTCGCTTTGACTAGCTGCAACGTTACCGAACACACTAATAATTACAGCAAAATGAAATAATCCTCTCAATGGAGACGCTGGACGAGAGTATTTCTACTCTATGGAATTACTACTTTCAAGTAAAGAAATACTTTTCCCACAGGTGGCAGAAAACTCCGCCCCCCCAGGTAAGCTTATTGATCAATAAGCTTTCTATTAACTAACGGATATCTTCCAGAAGATATCAGATGATAAAGGATTAAAACAATAACTTTTCTCAAATAAAACCCGTTTGACAATACTTTATTTATTCTACTTCTACTTTCTACTTCTCCTGAAGTGAATCAGGTGATCAAAAACCTTCTGATTAGCTGCTATCAGAGGTTGATCGATGGATCGACAGACAGGAAGTGAGCGTACCTTCAGGTGATGCCTGCGGCTGGAAGTCATCTTCTTACTGTGAGGATCAAACAGAAATCACTTTCAACTCTCCATAAATCCACTCAATTATCACTTAAGGGTAATAAAAAGGTTTTATCAGTGTTTGTTGCTGTAATACCGAAGTCAGCCACACGAGGCAGCAGTGCCCCTCTAAAGATGTTATAAAACTTAACATATGTTGTATGTAATAAAGTTATATATATTATATTGAGGACACGGAATAGAAGCTTAGTAAAGCCTCTTGTGGCAGAAATCAGTATTACCACAGACACTTTCATTTAATACTATTTAGTTTCTCTTCTGAACCGGTGAGTTTTATAAAATAGCTTTTTATTTCACTTCCATCCCTTCCATCCTTCTCTCATATCTTTCCTCTCTGCATCCGTCTTCCTTCCCTCCTCTCGTTAAGTTGGTTATTAATACCATTCAGTATCACAACAGATCGGCCCGTTAATAATCTGCACACATTCTAATCTCTTTCCCTCCTTCTTTGCGTCCGTCTCTCTTTTTACAGCCTTTCTTTGACTCAGACTTTCCTCATTTCCTTTCCTCCCCATCTTTCTCTTTCTCCCCTGTTTCTTTCCTTCTCCCCTGATTCCTCTGTTCTATATTCTGTCCTCTCCGTCCTCCCTGCTTTCTCTCCTTCTACTTCCCTGCTCTTCTTCTTTCCTTTTCTCAGTACTTTATTCTGCTTCTGAATTTCAAACATTTGAACATTTCTATGAAACATAATCAGATATCAATAATCAATAACTGGAGGGGACACTTACTCGGACATGACGGCGGGTTTTGTCTTCGCGACCTGTTGGACAAAGACAGCGGAGAGCTGAGAAGAAGAAGAGGAGGTGAGAATAAAGGATGTTTCATCTGTTGCTCCTCTTAAATATCAGCGCCCCCCCCTCCTGATGAAAAGCGATCCAATAAAGCCGTTGATAAGCGGGGGGCGCTAAGTTTGGCCCCGGAGTCGAGTGACGCCATGACGCCCTCCGTGAGCTGCTCTACAGGTGGTGGACACCCCAGACCCCCCGGGGAGTCAACACTTCAACTCCTTTCAGGGAGGGGGGAATGTGCCGAGGCAGCACAGACTGCTCAGGGTCGTCAGTCAACACACATACACACACAGACACACGCACACACACACAAAAACACACAAGCACGAACACACATCTGCACAAGCTTCAGATTCAGGTTCTTAATCTTTTGACTATACATAAATACATAAAATAATTAGGTTTTAGTTTTCTTATCACATTAAAGAATAAAGAAGCTGAAATCATCACACCTTATTTTAAGAATAATAATATAATATAAACTTTTCAGATAAAAGCAATCCAGGTTTTCCAGATCGAAGCTCCAGAATCTTTAGACAAAGACAACCCCCCCCTAAAAACTAGAAATGTAAATTAATTAAAAAAACAATAAAAGTAATACAACCTTTATTCAAACAAATCCTTTTATTTTCAGCCCCGAGGAAAATGAAGTAATTGTAACTTTGAATTCTTTCCACGACGAACTGTAATTATTTCACACATATATTATAAAGACGGTATTGAATCAGATCAGATTTAGTTCAGAAGGTAGAGTGACATCATCATCTTCACTCAAACCCAGGAGAGCAGAGTACAAGTCCTTCAACTTTCCCCTCAGAGGTCACGACCACCCCAAAAGAAAGCCTTTGTATCCGTGAGGGAGGAAGAGGAGCAGGAGGGAGGAAGAGCTGGACTCACCTGAGAAGAGGAGGAGGAGGAGGAGGAGGAAGGCAGCAGTGGGAGGAAGTCCTGCAGCAGCTGGTTTTATACCCAAGTCCTGAAATATGACCACCATCATCATCATCTTCATCATCTTCTTCTTTGCCTGGCACCGGGGAAATCAACAAGGCCTGAGATCCTTTTAGGACTCCACCCCATGCCTCCGGGCACTAAAGAAGGAGGAAAGGAGGAAAGGGCTATAAAAGGGAGGGAAAGGGGCAATAAAATGGAGGAAAGGAGGCCATGATAGAGGAAAATGGACTTTAAAATAGAGGGAAACTATTTTGATATTTAGAAGAAAAAATTCTTTTATTTCAAACCACTTCAAAACAACCAGTGATCTGTATCACTTTTAGGTATTGCTCTAAATAAAAAGTGCAGAGCTAGCTCTCATTTTCACGCTCTATAATTACCAAGCACTAGCGTTTCATGTTGGGGGAAGCTTCGTGGGCCTCTCATATTAACACTGGATGAAGATATGTGGGCACCGAGTCAGGGAGGAAGACTTTCCATGTGGGTAACTTTATCCCCACGGCTATCTCATAAAAAGCATTCTTTCTTAATGGCAAAAAATTCCCGTCAGTAGAGGCGGTGGCAGGTGGGGGGGGTACGTCAAAGTACACGTAGAGCACAGGGAGGGTTTAAAGATGCCGCTTTATTGTAAATGAATATAATCAGTTACAATTGCTGTTGTTTTGATTTTAGTCCTCCGGACTGTAATACCTCACCAACGAGTATTCGTGTTTCCCAGAGGATAACTTCTTCTAACAGGTGATCCCCTGATTCGTCCTCGAGCTCCAACAGCTCGTCAATAAACTTTGGTTTATGACCAAATACTCTGCGTTTAGTACCAATTAGCAACAGCATGCTGCGACGTAGCCGCTAAGCAGCAAAGGTCCACCGCAGTGTCGGACCTTCAGTCAGAGCTCTGGAGGGAGGAGGAGGAAGGCTCAGCTCCCGGCAGCAGCTGCTCCTCCCCCTCCTCCAGGAGCAGAGCTTCTCCACTCTGGAGATCCAGGATGTAGTGCTGGACCTTCTGGCGGGAATTGAGGCCTGGAGAACCAGAACCAGGTCTGAGGGCCACCCTTTGAGACCCTGCAGTAGAAAGAAATGTTCTATAAAGGGACGCTGGGGAAGGAGACACTACCACTGTAGACCACAGGGGGCGCCATAACCAACACGCAAAAGTTCCTTGTAATAACTTAAAGTAACGCCACCTCCGTAGCGATTTTAACTCAAATCACAATGTATGAAGATAGGATAGGTAGGAAGATATCATCCAATCCTTTGTATGACGATCCGCTCCCGATTTTCATTCAACACAAAATGCTGTTTTCATGCAGCTGACACGTTCTCTTTCTCTACTGATTTAGAGTAGAAGAATCACTGAGGATCACTCGGAGTGGAAAGAGGTGTCACGAGCCAAATCAGATCGCAGTAACAGATCAAACCAGACACTTACAGCAGGTCAGACTATAGGAGTGAGAGCCGGGGGGGGGATGACAGATCTGAGTGAGGTGCAGACAGCGGGAATGATGGAGCCATGCTGGTGTGTGTGTGTGGGGGGGGGGTGTTTTCTATTCGAGCCTCAGGAACGTTCGGGAACGGCCGGGTGTCCTTTCCTCACTATGTAGTGACGCTTATAACTATATGTTTATGTTTACATGTGATTTGATTCAAAATTCCATGGTGCTAGTAATGGTAGTATGTTTATTGTTGGAATGCCGCCTCAGTACAAGTATTGTTCTTCGAATATTTATTCCAACATCTTCTATTTCTTCGGTGACACCTTTCAACTCCTTCACACTTTCAGCTATTAAAACTGTTCCTTCAGGACATTTCTGCTATGATCTTTCAACTTTCTAGCTCTTATAATTGAATTTAAACTTTTTTTAACATAGTTTTCCAGTGGAGTTCATTTTTAAATCCTTCTTCAACTTTAAGATGTTGCAAACAGTCTAAACTATTTTATTAAAAAAACAGCTTGTTAATATCTACTTTACTTTTTCATAATCATTGATTATGTTTCATTATGTTTTTGTCTCTCTCTGCCCTCTGAGCAGCTCCTTAATGAGCGCAGGTGCGCTGTTACCATGGTAACTGAGATGCACTGCACTGCTCTCTCTGCCACGCAGCTGTTCCGTTTTAGCTGACAGGACCTAGTCTGTGGCTCCAGTATATTCTGGCTCTTGTGTGTAGCGTATCACAGAGTCTCACTACTATAACAAAAAGTACTATGCTGCTATTAACACTACTACCACTAATTTTACTACACATACTACTATGACTAAAAGTATCATGTCTGTATTTTCAGCAATTTTTTAAAATTAATTTCAGATTTAATCTTTCAGCATTTTCTAGTTTCTAATTCGGCTTGCTTGTGTCTGAGAGACTGCAGCTGTTTCCTAAGGGTTCCATCCAGCTGTCAGCGGGGGGGTTAAAATATAACCGGGCCCCCCCCCCCCACCAGACGTCGCTGAGGCCTTCCAGTGTTTCTTCTTGTGACACTAGGGAAACAAACGATACAGATTGTTTACCCCGCATGCCCATGAGACACGGGCCTATTATTTACATGAAATTCTTTTTACCTTTTAATGCAGATTTCGGAACCACCAAGGGACTATTGGCTTAGTGGTATTTTCACAGGTTGGAGATTACAGAGCCTAGAAATGAAGGAGGCACCTCATTATTAACTTAAATTCATATTTAACTGCATTTCGTTGTCTCAGTACCTGTACTGAGTCTGATATAATTAAAGTGTTTTGTGTAATTTTATCACATGTCATTATAGAGCAAGTAATAATACAACAAAGGAGCCACTGAAACTATAAATGAGCGTACATGCATACATGAATGATGCAATAAATAAAGTTAATCTGATTTTATCCAGCAGCAACATTAAAATGAACTGACCGTCCTCTGCAGAAAACCACACCAGATCACTGTTAAGCTTATCTGCAACCACAAAAAACAAGAGTCAGGTAATTACCATTTCTTTGGAGACCAAATGACTTGCATCTACAAATAATGAGACTAGGTTGAATGACTCACCTCATCTGGTCCAACTGGAAGGACATTCCAGAAGGTTTGAAAGATTTTTAAAATAGACTGCATCACCTTTTCAGGTGGGTTTTGTTGTTGACGTTAATATTTACAGTAGACTATTTTTTATAGGTTAAGATGAAATAAGGAACCATCTTAAAAATCCAGGTATTAATTCTAATTCTGAGACTTAATTTGCAGATTGAGGGAAAAGAAGACATTGATGTCAGATAACGTCTTTCAGCTTCTACAAGTTCTCATCATGGAGCTAATTGCACAGTATGTACCAGTAGTAGTTATTTTTGAATATGGCTAAGTAACTTCTCAGTGCTTCTAGATATATGTGAAATGTCCCTTTTATAACCAGTCAGCAAAGCTTTCAAGTGTTTGATGATTTCCTTTCTCATTTTCATTTCTCCCAATAACCGAACGTCTAGACCTCGCCACGTGTAATCAGACAGAGACGGAACATCGCACTCAACTGCAAAAGTTTACGGGCTGCAATATTGTCAAAATCTATTCGACCGTAAAGACGATACAAATTCAACGACACTACGAACAAGATGAACATCAAAGTTTCTTATTTAATGTGACAGCAACAAGAAGGAACGTACATCACACTTCTGTTGGGACAGTTTAGAAAAGATGACTTGTAGTCAGTGCAGACGGAAGGCTGAATTATACTTCTGCTTCGTAGGATCCATGCTAACGTTGGCTAACGTCACACGCTGTTACCATCAGACACCAAGGACAGAAAATTGGTTAATGGATTTTGAAACTGGAAAACTTTGGAGAACCAAGCGGCCTGATTATGACCAAAGTCTGGTGGAGGTTCTCTTATTTTAAATTAGAAGCTTACATGATTGGCTGTAAATGTGATACTAGTTATTTTTTTTAAATTTGAATGCAGAATAAATATTGTCAGGGTGCACAGCAAACTCATTTAAGTAAATAAAGTATTATATTATTTTGTAAGTGTTATATTGCAGGTATGACCATGTTTGGGCGCAGAAGCTCTACTGTGCTGTACTGTAGAAAGGCAGGTTGGATTCATCACTCTAGTTTTAATACTGACATCAGTACACACAGTTCAAATACATCAAAGAGCTTTGTTCCAAAAAATATCCAGAAACTACCCGAAACCTGCCAATCTACTGCAAAGTTATGGTTAAGTAAAAACTGTAACTCAAATTTAGATTTACTTTACTTTTAACTTCCTCAATTTAAAGGTCCAGGGTTAAAATGATGATTTGTTTGCACAGTCATCACTTCTAAAAACCTGAAAAACCAACCGAGGAGATCATCACTTACTGTGGTAGAGAAACACTATCATCTTTCTTCTGTACCTTCAGTTGACAAATCATCCGAGATATTCACAACCTCTACCTGTAAAAGCCTTACGTCTCTTCTCTTCAATAAAAGCAAAGGAAATGGTGTATATGCAGCATGTTGTTCCGTTACAAAGACATTGGACCTGAATTCTGTCCTTGAGCCCAGCGGTCACATTTAACTATCAAACATCTTCTTCCTATCAGACTTGTCTTCAATGTTCTTACGCCAGTCTCCCACGTCACGCAGCTGCTTGTCCTGCGAACACACGTGACATTTGTACATTAAGTAATGACCAGTAAAAAGATTGATACGGAAATAATAAAGATATTTAACACAAAATTACAAAGGTTGATATTTGCACGCTTTGAATAATAATTTAACTTATGTTTTTATTTCACAACAGGTTTTTTTTCAAATTCAATTCAAACACAAACATGTTATGTTGACAATATAACACAAAACTATTTTAATATGGAGTTCTACAGGGATGACAAATTTAAAGCTTCGATAAACCGGAAGCAGCTCACCTCCTCCTTGACCTCCTTCTTGACCTGCTTCAGGTTGGCCCTCAGGTCCATGTTGACCGTGTGCTTGGAGCCCAGCAGGGCTTTCAGCATGGCGTCGGCAGACATGCGAACCTTCTTCAGACGGGGTCTCTTGAACTTTCCCCTCATGTCCACAATCTTTATGTTGAGGTCTCTGACCTTCAGGGGGAATCAGCACGGAAGGATAGACTTTAATATGCAAAAGGTGTACAATAAACAAGCATTCAAACAAACAAGGCTGCTGCACATGGAAACTGTATGAGAATGAATTGACCCACAACTAAATATACATATCTTTATGGTTTTTATTTGTTTTACAATGACAGAAACTTGAGTCCCACAGCTTCTCATAAGTCTACAATACATGTGATTTCTCAATTACCCTCCTTCATTCCACAAATACATTTTGAATTTAGTCCGTGTTACAAGAGGAAGTGGCTTGTGGAAACTGAAGTGTCTCACCTCAGTCATGACCAGGTTGAGTTTGAACTCTATGCTGTATCGCTCCTCCTCGCTGATGTTAATCTGGTCGTGGAGTTTCTTGCAGAGCTCCTGAGGAGAAAACAGCATTTTAGTCTTTAGTTTTATTTTAGTTTTCTTGCTGATTGCAAAGCAAACTGAGTTAACCCAATTCTGGCTCAAATATTCTAACCCAACCAACAGAATAGCGACACAATCTGGCAACAACAAAAAAAACTAACTTTGACTATCCAATAAAAATGAAGATTGGACCTAAATACAATGTATACAAATGAATATGTTGGAATGGTGCTTTTATTTTGTAGACTGTCTCTTTACCAGCAGATCAACACATAAAGCGAGTCCTGGTCCTGTCTCACCTCAAGCTCGTCCTTGGAGTACGGCAGCTCCAGAGGAGGACATTTATCAGACAGGAAGTTCTCCCTGTCCCCGACCTTCACCCCCGCCTCGGCCTCCAGCATGTTGGTGGCCACCAGCAGCATGCATCCCTGAGGATGACAGCGGAGCGGCATCTTTATCATATTTACAGTACGGGTGCTCTTCTTCATCAGGAATAAACACACAGCCACGTCTTACTTTCAGAGTGTGCTTTCGCCTCGCAGACAGTCTCTTCCTGCAGGTGGGAACACATATTCAGGCTGTTAGATATAAATATACACATCTGGTTGTATAAGTCTGTCACCAAAAACAGTTTAAAAAAAAACAGTTAAAACAGTTAATGAGAAAAAAGACCACAAACAAATTGATATACATATAAATATATATTTTATGTATCAAACTGTTTACTTACTCGCAGGCCATCTTAGCGGCCGGAAGTTATCTGATGAACAAAAACACACATTAAAATGACATTCCTACCCTGTGCTATGTGAGCAAAAACTCAAGGCATAAAACATACAAATATGTCTTAACATGTTATGAAAACAAACGTCTGCAACACCCTGTGGAGGAAGAAATCTAAAAGGTCAAGTTTCTTGTATGAAACCAAACATCCTCTGATTTGTTTGGTCTAAATCACAACCTCATCACAAAGATGGCCAATACCAAAACCCAGACTTCAGAACGTCGGCCCACCGACCGATGGGTGATGTCATGGTGACAAGGTCCACTTAAGCCCAGTCTGAACAGCAGCTGGCGAGTCCGGGGACATGATGACCTATGTTACAAAGAATACCTTGCCCCTTCGATGAAGGCGTCTCCTGGCAGCAGAAACATATTTCTCAGTGAATCTTGTTTTATTCATCGGTCGCCCTGGTTTCATGTGTCCTCCTGCAATGTGCTGCCACTGAATCAATAACCGTATCCATGAACAAATGAAGTAGTTTGCGTATGGAGTTGCGTCTTCTCCGTCCTTCTGTGGTGACTCACCTGTCTCCCGTTTCACGCTTGGATCGTGTTGATTCTATCTTAGGCCTCCAAAGTTAAATCCAGGACATTTAGTGGAACTGAACTTTGTAACCAAGGCCACGTTAATTCCTTAACAACCGAACCGCTATTTTTAGCCTCTTTCTAAGTCCAGACACTTGTGGCACGTAGAAAAATATCTCCACAGTAGTAGTAGGTTTAAGGACAAACACGTCCTGCGACCGAGTCAACCAATCGGGTCTCAGACGTCCCAAAACGCAGAGACACAAACCCCCATCGCCAGGGTTTATTTAAACTTTTTATTAGACTGAGGAAAAACCTGTCTGAACCAGGGGTCCCCCACCACCGGGCCGTAGACCGGTACTGATCCGTGGGCCATTTTTTTTGTCATTTGACTTTTTGAAAATTGACCGGATTCTCTCCTAATTACGTGCGCTCGTCCCTGTCGACATATTTCCCAAGCATTGCCAAGTGTTTTTTTTTCACCATATACAATTGCCAACTCCTCGCTGCGCACGGCAATTCTGGACACCACCACCGGACAGAGAGTGCGCGACTAGAATTGTTGACCCCTCGTCTAAACAACTAAATTGTCCAAATACAACGAAAAAGTATTCAGTTACAAAGTAAGGCAGTAAAACAAATGGTCATTGTGATATGATATTAATACTAAAGCTGCATGTTACTGTTAAAGTGGAGGTACTCTTAAATACGTAATGTACAGTTGGTCCAGTGGTTAATTGAAGACTGGCCCCTAACAAAGCCAGGCTATTTCGTTTTTTTGCCGTTGAGAACATATTTCATATTGTGTATATTATTAGTATTTTATTTCCAGTGTATTCTTATTATTACAGAACTCTTTCTCTCTGCAGTATTTTTCTATTGTTGAGATCGTCTCGGAGATCGAAGCCACTCTGAACAGGAAGTGGGTTTTGTTGAAGAATAGCCGCTTTCTGAGCTAATTTAGTAATGAATTTATATAATTCCAAATACTTCTTTCAAAATAAAAGTCCATTTCTATATTTACTGCTCTCTCTGTAGTATTAAGTCACTTCCTTTGATGGAAAATTGCCGCTTACAACGGAACAATAATTAATTGGTTAACAAATTTGACCATGAATCTTCAAAATAAAATTCCCGGTACGTGTTATCATAAAGGCTTTTAATTTGAAAGGCAGCCACAGTTTTTCTCTCCTCTTCCCTTTGAGGCACTCCTCATGCTGTGAGGAGGATGATGGAGCCCTATGTTAGATAAACGTTCTGGAGGGGGTCCACATGCTGTCCTCGCCCTAGCGGAGGCCCCCCCTCCTCAGTGGGAACCGGACCACCTCGGCATGCGGGGGTCATCGAATCCCTGGGGAAGCCGAGTGTGAAGTGCTGCCACGGTGACTGCCTTCAACCAGACACCGGCTTTGAGGGCTGGTATTTTATGAATGTGTCCTTTGTCTCTTTTGAATTTAAGATCTAAGTTACTGCCAGAAGACGTAGTGAAGTAAAAGTGCTCTTGTACCTTGTACCTTCCAGCACCTCTATGTGCATTCACATGCACAATTATCTGGCTGAACCGACGTCTTTTGGTGAGGGGAAGCACTGTGAGGCCTCTGATCGGGGGTCCTGGGGGCCGGGCAGCGTTTGTGGCGGAGCGGTGGATTAAGGACGACTATTCCTGGAGCCTCAGCTGCCCCCAACCGCTTCATTCGGAGGGAAGAATAATAATAAATCCCAGCAGGCTTATCTTAAAAGAGAATGTGGAGGAATCCCAAAACACAGCTGGCCCGGGAACAGAGTGTGTGTGTATGAGTATGCCTAGGGTTTTCTGTGGAGGGGGGGCGGTAACCCGATGCCGCGGAACATCCCTCGGACGGACAAGACGTCAGAGCGCGCTGCTAAAATAACCCCGTTGTCGGGCCGAGCTCGGGCGCACAAAGAGTTTCACGCGGACACAAATACAGACGATGGCCTTCACGCCGGGAAGGAGAGGAGGACGAGATGAAGACGAAGAAACCTGGAACGGAATCCAAAATTTCAACTTGAGGAACCCTGATATTAAAAGACACTAAAATAAAACTTGCGTCAATACACAACTTGAGTCTAAAGAAACTAAGACTGTCGTGTAGTTTCAATTCATAAAAGTTTATATATATATATATATATATATATAAATATATAGTGTCTAACAACAGATGTTGTGTTTCCTATTGTTTTTATCTTTTTTTAAGATCATTAAGTAGAAAGTTAGTAACTAATTAAGTAGAACCCTGTCCCTGAGGTGTAGATGATCTTATTCCACATAAAGGGACGAAGGACCCTGATCGAGTGGGCTCTAACGTTGGCTTTGAGGTCGAAACCGGCTCGATGCTTCGAGGGGACGGGAGACTGAAGCGGGCAGCCGGGCGGATTAGAGCGGCTCTTCCCTTTAACCCGGCGCCGATGACAGGAGGATGAACGGCGAGGCTCTCGGGGGCCTCGTGGTAAGGTCGCCTTTGATCCGCAATAAACAAACGAGTCCTGGGAAATAAGAAGAAGCTACGGGAAGAAAAGACGGCAAAAACCCTCTACGTCTCTCCAACCCGTGTCCAAACGAGTCGCCCAACGCCAACTGAATGTCAAAAATTGATACAAATTGCTAAAAAGCGTACTGTAAAAAATGAATTTCCCAAAGCAACAAACAAACTGGGTTTTACCGACGCCATTTGGATAAAAGAACAGATTCACATACACAACAAAATCAAAACATTTTTTACAGATTCTGGACCAACAAAATCTGAATTCCAAAGAACCCCACGAAGCATCTACGTCCCGCGAGAAGAACGTTCCTTCAGACGTACTCGGACACACAGAGAGAGAGAAGAGTCTTACTGTCACCGGCGTGTTCGGACCGAGTCCCCACCGCGCACGCCTCTAACAAGGTATATATATTGCAATCTGTGACAGGCCTCTAAATCCTCCACTTTCTCGTTATGGAAGCGGATTACCGGTGAAACCAATGGGCTGGCAAGGTCATGAAATACAGTCCAGTGTCATCTGCCCCCTTGTGCTCTGCCTCATTATAAATAACCCGCCCTTTAGGATTGTTATCCGCATTATCTGCTTCCATCCAGCAGGAAAGTGATTAAACCACAGAGGCATTTGTAATCAACGGCTCTGAGTCAAGTGTCTGAGTGATGCTTTTATTTTTTAGAAAGTCTCTTTACTCATGGATGTTATTTAGTTCAGTAGATGGAGAACAAAAGATGGTTCAACTGAAGGAGACAACAATCCTCTTAAAAAGTTGAATCAGAACAAAAGTAATCAGCAGCTTAAAAACTTCCTGTCTCAGAGTCAAGAGTTTCACAATAAAAGCAGTATTGAAACAAACTGGAATTAACAATCGCAGTTTAAACCTCTTCAATCAATTATCAATGGTTATAAATATAATATGGTTCATTAAAAGAAATTTGAACTCACAGATTTCTGATTCTGCAGCCCGGCGGCTCTGGAAGACAAAAAACACACAGCATCTATGAAGGTCAAAAGCCAACGTGGAAGAAATGATTACAATCATTTAGCACTCCACAACCACGTAATAAGCATGTCATATTACAAAATTACATTGAATTAAAGTACTTTAATAAATGCTTACATTTGCTAATGTCTAAAGTTTGCTATAAACTATCCAATAAATGTCTACACTTATTATTAATGCTTAAAAAGGGGGGTTGAAAATCAACTAAAACAAAATTAATCAAAGATTTACTTACCTCAGATCTGTTTCTGTTCTTGTGATCCGATTTATGCTCCACGAAAGGTTCCCGTCATGAATGTAGATGTAACTCACAGTTGCTTTTGGGGGACAAATGCTTTTACGGGATATTATTTGGAGTCATATTTCTCACATCAACGATGTGTTGAAGAGGAGACCATTAGAAGCTTTACACGTCATAAACAGCAACAACCGAGAAGTTTTTAACTCAGAGTCGGATTATGTTTACTGCTCTTTAAACCGGACCCACTCATTTACATCCGATCTCCATCTGCAACTCTCAGCCTTCTGTTAGCGATGGGGCGGCTTGTACTACGACATTTAAACATTCCCTTTATCTTTGTATATAGACTAATTATATTCATATTGCATTTTTCAATTTAAACACAAATAATAATGAAGATAGATCCATCCAGCATTATCCATGAAATCTGCACCCATCCATTGATATTACGTCAAACATTTAACAATTCTTCTAGAAAGTAATCATCATGATACTTAAAAGTTATTGTCAAGTTATGGTGAAAAAAACAACTTTCAATTCCAACTTCCGCCTCCAATTGAGCTAGCTAATGTAATACTAATGCAATATTTTTCAAATGTAACTTGGAGATTCCCAGTGAAATAGCAATAATGCTTTATTTAATAATAATTGTGTTAACATATAACGGACTGAGAAGTCACCCTTATCTGTTAGCGTATGAAGGTCCAGCTAGCTAGTTTCCTTAAAATGTACAAAATCCGGAGCATTCTTATTGACTCATGTGGCTCTCAACATGGCGACAGCTCAGCCAGCAGTTTAGAGTGCATACTTCTGGTATGGTCTTCTTATTCCAGTTGTCAGATTTTGAGTTTAAAATAAGTATGAATAAAACGGCTCCTCCAGTTTGTTTATTGAGTCAGACAGTTTATTATTATTTAACGTATTTGTGCGATGTTAACGGAGACTTAAGATGCTGAGGCTTTGTTATGAGCGGACAGGTCGCTGATTTAGGCCTCGCCCTCAAACATCTTCTTCCTGCCGTCCATGCCGGCTTTGTCTTCAATGTTTTTACGCCAGTCGCCGACGTCTCGCAGCTCTTTATCCTGAAAGACCAAAGAGGACCAGAAATCAGAGGATGGTCGCACAGAATAACAGTCCAGTAGTCCTACGTCCCACTATCCAGAATCCAAAGCTTTAGCTTCACTTAGCTACTGTTAGTTTACAATTCCATGCATGGAGTTAAAGGTCCAGGACGGAAGTACAACATTAAACTAGTCTTGAAAGCATGAAGACACGTCGTCATCACGTCTACAGCATGTAGCTCCTTCTCTGGAGATGTGTCTGAGGTAAAAGTGTTAAATGCCGACAATGACTTTTCAAATAATCTCACATCATTGGAAGACGATAAAATATTAGATTAAAAAAAAAGAATGTGGAATAAACTCTGCCTCTATTAGAACACAGGTTTCCACAGAAAAGAGCTTCCATCCAAATGTAGAGCATTTTTAACACAATTTTTGGAAAATCTTCAAAAGAAAAGGTAAAGAGAGTTAAACCAGTTAAAGCTCAGACTATGAAAAAAAACAACCTAACATGATGGAAATATATTTCTGTTTCATGGGTTAACGTGAGGATCAAGATCTCCTCACATCTCAGGTCTCATGCTTCATGTTCGTTTATTAATTTATTCACTGTCCGTTTTCTTTTCATTGCTATACCAACTCCTCCGTAGCAGTCGAGCTAAAATACGAAATTTTGAATTTGTAATTTTAAAATACTAATCGTCCGCCTCTGCTAAAACCTCACCTCCTCCTTGACCTCCTTCTTGACCTGCTTCAGGTTGGCCCTCAGGTCCATGTTGACTGTGTGCTTGGAGCCCAGCAGGGCTTTCAGCATGGCGTCTGCAGACATGCGCACCTTCCTCAAAACGGGCTTCTTAAATTTACCCATCAGGTCCTGGACTTTGATTTTCAGGTCGTCGATCTGGAAGGTGGATGAAAGTTGAGAATGGATTTACAACTACATTTATAACCGAGTACAGCCGAGAAAAAACATAAACCCTGAATGCTATCATCCTTCATTGGGCCATGATTTTCTTTAGCGGATTCCAAAATTAGATTTTTTTTGTCTTGTCATACCATAAAAATTTGGGGTCATTAAAATCCAAAAGGCTGTCCTAATGTTTTCTAAACATTTATGCAAAATCTCCCTTTCAAGATATAGTTAAGTGAGTTAGAACAACAATCTTAGGTTCTGCAGGTGTTAAATCTTAATCTGTATGATTATACCTCTTTGTTGGACTTATTAACTTTCATATCCAGGTCGTAACGCTCCTCGTCCATCACGTCGATCTTGTGGTGGATCTCCCGGCAAAGCTCCTGAACACAAGCAGCAGAAACATTGTCACGGTAACACGAGCCGCTGTGAACCCCAAACATGGTTTAAACATTTAATCTAAACTACTAACTGCAAGTATGGCTTTCGAAACCTAACTGTTGGTTTAGTTATTTAAACTTAACCGATGGTTTAGTTGTTACATACCTGCAGCTCCTGCATGCTTCGGGGCATCGACACAGGAGGGCAGTTCTCCTTCATGTACCTTTCCCTCTCTTTTTCTCGCTCCCTCTCCTCCTCCTCCAGTAGATCTTTGGCGATGGACAGCATCAAACTCTGACACACAACATCACATATTATTAAAGTTAATTTTCTATTTTTTGTCATTTAGAATTTGTTTCATTCAACAATGTCAAATAAAAACATTTTACCTTAAGATGATGCTTGCGACTCGATGACATTTTCTTCCTAAAAGGTTTAAGAAAACATTTTTCATAGTGACAACAGTTCTACTGCACGAAATTACGTACATATACATGGGGGAAATATTCACATAAAAAACTACAATTTCCAATGTTTAAGTTGTAAATTCATGTGAAAAACACCTGAATATTCTCTTCTAAAGACTAAAGTCCCATATTTACATATGACTTCATTCATTAAACCTCCTGTCTGTTCATGATTCCATTTTTTGTAATTTTCGAGAAATCTGAGGAAAATGTTTCAGTTACATTTCTACTATCGTGTTTTAAATACAATACAAGGATATTCTGATTAGATACAGTTCAACTTCAGCATTATTGTTCCAAAATAAAAAATAAACAGGAAAAATGAGACCCAGAAATACTCACTCAGACATCTTGGCGTTTCTGTACTCAAAGTCTGCAGAAAAACACAATATTTCCATTTTAAATGGTTTATTAGTATGAAAGAAAAGTCATTAAGTATGAGGTCGGACAAACAGATGGGAGAAGGAATTAAGGTGATGATGGTTCAGGCTCAGAAATAATAACTCCAATTAGAGGAAACAGGACACCAGCCCAAAAGGAACCTGGAGTCTAAATCCAGACCAGGGTCTGAGGTCCAGTTGTCCCATAGTCCTCCTGGGCATCGTGGTCATGAAACGTCTTTCTTCTGTAAGATTATCAGGAAACATTCGATACCTCCTCCGTTCACACAAACATCTTTAAATGCGAGTTCTGAAATAGAGACCGAGGAGAACAATCCGGAGTGCCAAAGAGAGCATCCCAATGGAGACTAAAGATCCTCCAGCTTCGCCTCTGTGTCTAAAATACATTTCTGGTTCCTTCACTAAGGCTGACAGATTCAGAAGGACAGATCCTTTTTAGATAGCTCAGAAAATACAAAATACACATCAAGATAATGTTGCTATGGTAAAGTTGTGTCATTTACAGGCGGCAATCCCAAATCTTCATTAAAGCTGCATTCTCCATAGTGACCAGCAGGGGCCAACTCCTCTGGTTCCATAGAAGTCTATGAGAAAATGACTACTACTCTCTTGATTTATTCAGCCCTAATGTCGCACATAATGAAATGTTTTCAAAGGGTTGTCCGGGTACACCTGAGTAGACAGGTCTCAGTGTCCCAAGATGCCTTGCAGTTTGCATAAAGGAAGGTTATAGGAGTAGATGATGAACAGCTTTCTTCCCTCCACAGTACTCAGGGTGATCTTGAAACAAGTTGAATGTTGAAAAAAAAAAACAAGGAGGAGGAAGAAAGAAGGAGGTTGTCTCCCCAGTGAAATTTCCAGGTGAGCAGATCGGGGTCTACAAAAATGAACTGGAACAAGAAGACAGCTTTGATTCTTTGACATCAGCGGAACACTTGTTTTCTATCATGGGATCTTGGGGTTCTTTCTTATGCTATGCTCTGCGGTGTGGTTAGGGTGGGGGTTACTGTTGATGATGGAAACACGACCAAGAGAATGATCAAAAGGCTGGATCAGTGATTGGCTTCACCCCAGAAGCACTAGAAGGTGCGTCAAAGGCCTCCAGAGCTCCATCAGAGAGACTCCACCACTGAGAAGCTTTGACCCTGCAGCAGCTCCATTCTTTAATGAACACATTTAGAAGGTTTTTTATTTCTCTGATGTCAATCATGCTTCATATGCCATTGTGTTTTGATTTCTTCATTGTAGTGTGTGTGGTCGTCTGTTGTGGACTGTGTTGTCTGGGTGACTTCCCCGACTCTATTTGATTTTAAATTCAAACAGACCATGAAGCAGGGGATGCTTTAGGGTGGGGCTACCCGCTGATTGACAGGTGTACTGCAAAACGCTGAATTTGAGGCTTCCAAGGCAGATGGTTGTTTATAGAGTAAGTCTTTGCAGTCTATTTAAATAGTTCCATTGGTACCGTGACCTTTCAGTGATGTTCACTCCTCACCTTCTCCCAATTGTTTTTTTAATACACACGTTTATTTGTAGCACACTGCAAATGTACCAATAAATGAGTTTACTAAAATACTTACTGATACTTGATTATCAGATAACGTTGGACCAAAGTCAGATACCAGAGCAAAGAAAGACTCCATGATGTTAACAAGCATCTTCTAAACATGAGCTGTGATCTGCTGGCCCTCAGTAAACCGGCGATACATCAACTACTTTGTAGATACATTCAGAAGTGAACTCCTCCCTCTGACGCTAAATAGAATTACATGTTTTAGTGCACGGTAAGAAGCCTTTTGTCCAAGTTTATATTGAGTTTACATTAATAACCATGTGTGTAAGAATGTTAGTTGACAAACTGTCTACTCAGAGAATATTTCACATTTTCTAGGACAGATTTCTGATCAGTGAATGAGACCAATTAGATCCAATAGAAGAATAACTGTCATTTATGTTAAATGAGTCATTTTGAGCTCAGGAATATTAGATATGAACACTCATAACCCCAGAGTCCATTTTCACAAATACACCTCAGACCTTCACACCTGCAGCATCGACCTCTCAAAAATGAACCAAATGATTAAAATAAATAACTAAAAGCTCGCAGTGGACCATTTGAATAAAAGAATAAATATATATTCCTCCTCCCTACACTAACCAGCTGCTACAGTCAGTCTCTACATCCAGAAACACCAACAGCTCAAAGAAACCCCGCAGGAAGCCAGTCAGCGAGCTCGGGTAGCAGCCCCCTTCGTGGTGGACCCCCCAGCAGAGAAGGAGAAGGTTCCTCACCTGGTCAGGACGCAGTCGGAGCCTCTCGTTGGTTTCAGCACTAGAACTGGCTTTATATCGCATTTGCCCAAAGAGGAACCGCTTGTTTCTGTTTAAGGAAGTGGATCTTCTCTCAGGCCAATGGGCTCCCCGACCCCCCCGACCCCCCGACTTGACCATTATAAACAACTGATGCTTCATTGCTCCCGACCACAAGCAGAGCTCATTATTGTGTAGTAACCCTGATGAGAGGCGCAGGGCAGCAGGTGGAGGAAAGGCTCAAGACGGGTGGAGGCGGAGTGGAAACCGATGACAGGTCTTTGTGGAGGAAACCAGATGAGAATAAAAAGATGACAACATCCTCGTTGAGGATTGAGTCGATTTATTGGCTGAATTTACTCGCCGATGGATGGATGGATGCAAATATTGCAGACTACTAACGGAGTACTAGTAATAGTGTACTACTAGTAACAGAGGAGCATGTATGAAGACAGATACATACATCACAAGGTCTAATGTTCCCGTTCGCTCCGTCATGTGACAGGTGGAGGCTTCACGGCTGCTGACGGACAAACAGCAGCATGTGAGACCCTGAAACCAACACCACTCAGAGGGGAGGGTGGGTTTGGGGGGGGGTGGCAGTTAGCTGTGAGGTCACCACGGCTGGTAGCGATGTTGTCTTAAGGCTTCTGGGGGGGTTGTGGATATGGAGCCCCCCCCCACATTGTCCTGTCTCGGAATAGAAAGAACGCGACGCCACCTCACGAAGAGACGAGGGACTGATGCAGCGGATCTGAGCTCTGATGCGACTGGGAGGAAACCGCTGCTTCTCGTGGTCACAGGAAACGCCTCCTCTAGACCAATCGAACGGGTCATAAATCAGCTCCTAAACCGGGTCTGTAACGTGCGTTAGTCTCAGATTCACGGAAATACGCGAGTTCTGCAGATCAGTTAAAGTGGCTTTCATTGAGCACCAAAACAACCGTTAAATACATATTCTTTTAATATTTTAACAGTACAAATTATATCAGACTTTTAGAAACATGACATGAGAAATACATCGCTTCACATTTCTGAATATCATAATTCATTAAGAACATTCCGGGCCACTGAGAAATCACCTGAGAGAACGAGTTAGGAAACCTTTTCAGATCGATTAAGGACTTTACAACGAACCGAAGGTATGAAATACCTCCTCTGCCGCACACACCGGTACAAACGATTACAACAAAGACCCTTTGTCGGTCAGCTTCATACCTTCTTTTTTTAGCTCAAAAATAAAAAAACATCGAAAAAATATTCAACATTTCACAACATATTGAGGAGTTGGTCATACAAAGTGTGCAAAATGTCACCGACTTCCAGCTTCCACATGACCGTGGCACTGGGGGTCAAAGGTCACGGATGTCAGACAGGTCCTGTACAACCAACATCACTGATGCTAAAACAATATCGAAATTAAATCAGAGCGGTTTGAATGTATCAAAAATCAACAATGTTGCATGATCAACAGCGGATTTGCATGAAGAAGTTTTTCACACTTTAACATTTGGATCCTAAAATTGTTAGAGGGAAAAAAACTATGTTGCTAAAGAATACATTACAAATAAATACTGAGTCAAAACAGTTTTTACGGTTTACTTCAGATTTATTAAATGAGACACAAACCGTTAAATCGCAATTAAAGTGAAACTACTAAACTGAAGTTAACTGGAGTTTCATCGCTGACGTCAGCGGAGTAAAGATTCTGGATCGTGCTTTAAATCAAAAGTTAGCAGCGGTCGCCTGTCTGGCATTAGAACTCGGCTCGCGTGACGCATGGGTAGGGATGGTGCACTGGGAACCGCAAGGTTGGTGGTTAACCCCGAATTGCTCCCCGGGCAACAATGTAAAACGCCATGGGTTAAAAAATGCAATGCAAGTCGCTTTGGATAAAAGCGTCAGCTAAATGACCTGTAATGTAAAAAAACAAATAGTTCAACTTTTAAAAGGGGGCGCGAGGTTTCAATCAGAATACAGTTGGACCTGAACCCCCCCCCGCCCCCAGGTGACGTGGAATGTGTGCACCGCTAGCTCACAAGCTAGTTAGCTGTGTGGCTATAGGGGTCGTGCAGTGGGTCGGTATCAGTGCGATTAAAACGATTTATCAGATTATAAACTTGGCTGAGAAGTAAGAAAGCTAATTGGATAAAGAGAGAATATTAAGCCAGATTAGTTTCCTCCCTGTGCAGTTGTGTTCAGATTCAGCATTTGGTCAATAAAGTGTATAAATTCATCTATAAAGTCATTTATGAAAGCAGTCTGCTGATGTCCCGATTTACACACAATGTTAAATTGATGATTCGGGCTTATCAAATGTCACCGTGAAGTATGAATAAAAACTTTAGACATTTTAAGAACATGATGTAAACTCGACCACGTAAAAACACATTACCTCTGGCTGTGTGAGCTTGTCCCTCAGTCGGGGGTCAAAACGCTCTTAAACTAAATGACGGCAGCAGTTTCGGACGAACCCGGGGAGGAGTGCAAAGATCCTCGCAGGGTCAAGTCTCCGGTCGGTGCCGCCGACGTCAGAACACTGATGATCCAGAGAAGTTCAGCCTCACAGAGCACCACCGGATGCACCGCAGCTGTAACCATGGCGACCGCAATCCTCACAGAGGACAGCTCGGCCTCAGATCAACGACACCGACGGGAAAACGTCACAGCAGAGCAGGTGGGGGGGGGGGGGGGGTTGGGTCAATCAACCGATGATGTAATCCAGTCGGTGTTATCGATCCAACAATACGACAGCTCTTTGAGGTACACACTTTAAGAAGGTACTAATGTCCCAACTGAGGGATTTTGTTGAGGATATCCATGTTATCCAATCGGATGAATGCGCTTCATATCAGCAACAAGGCCATTTCCTTAATTATTCGTCCCCCAAAAAGGTGCTAAATTCCAAATTCTGAGCATATAGATATTAATAACGACCGCCGCTGTCATGGTAAACAACCCTACCGGGATGCATGTGGGTGCCCAGCGAGTAACGCCCCCCCCCCTCCCCAAGAACCTCCTGAGATATAAAAACACCACAGGACGGGACTGAAGCAGAACGACATCAACTCAACAGCCAACACGACGACACCTTTACACCGAGGAGCTGTGTGTATATTACAGCAAGTCTATTGCGTCTCTGTTCCGAGGGCGGGGGGTTGGGGGGGTGTGGGGGGTCACAGCCAGGCGACATTTACACGGTCTGAAGAGGAAACACGTCAAATTCAGAACTTTTACAACCACTGAACTCTCAAGTGGGGAAAATAATATTTTGGTTGATATACCAGTCTGCAGCGCCCCCTCGTTGTCTTTAGGAAAATATTGAACACCACGAAGGGGGGTCGGTGGGGGTGTCGGGGCTGGGTCAGGTCCACGCCACTTTGCGTGAAATGGCCTGTTTGAAGCACTCGGGCTCGGTGTTGCCTCCGGGCCGCAGCGCCCTCTCCAGGCTCACCAGCATGTCCTGGTGGCCCTCCCTGATGTTGATCGGGTACTTGGCCCTCAGCAGCTCGTACGCGGCGATCAGCCTCATGTTCTGTTTCACCATCAGGTACTGGATGATGCACGTGGGTGCCAGAGAGAAGCCGTCTCGGCAGTGCACCAGGACGCGCTTCCTCTTCTCGGTGGAGGCGTCGATGCACCCGTTGATATCCTCGAAGCAGCGCTGCTTCAGGGACGGGCCGTCGCCCAGGGCGTCCGGCACGTCCCCGATGTCCACCTTAAGGCGGGACCAGCTGTGGCGTGCGCCGCGGGAGCAGGTGCACGGTATGAGGCTGAGGCTGGGGCCCGGTTCTCCCGGCACGCTGCTCATGTCGATGATGCTGTCGATGTTGTTGCGGCACAGAGTGCGCCCGTTGTAGGCCGCGTTCAGGTTGCCGACATAGATGTAGTCCGTCACCCTGGAGATGACTGGTTCGGAGTACTGGAAATGCTCGTGGCCGCTGGGTTTGGGCTCCGGTGTGTCCGGGCCCCTGGCGCCCGCCGGCCCCGTGGCCGCTCTCCGGCTGTAGTTACGCAGCTTCTTGGAGCCTGAGCGGGACGGCGGGTTGGAGTCCGACTCGGAGCTGCTGTTCCACGGCGGGGAGAAGAGCGAGAAGCGGCTGGAGGACTTGGTCTTGTTGAGGATCTCCACCGGGCTGGGCAGGCTGGAGCTGGACGCCGTTGTGGAGGCTGAGGCGCAGAACAGAGACGCTCGCTCCAGAGACCCGGTGCTGCTGGCGGCGCCTACACTGTGGGCCTGCTCCATCTGAGAGAGGGACACACACACACACACACACACACATGCACGTTCAGTCCGGATGTCCAGTTAATTTCAATGTGGCACTTACTGATATAACCCTGTGACACAGTATGTCAGTATGGAACAACAACATGTAAAGTTTTCTAATCACATTTTGAATCCTCTTTAACAAACGATAGTGTGGTTGTTTCTGTGTGGTGGTACACCACATGCCTCCCTTTGTGTGTCTGCATTCAAAATGGTCTCAAACACAATGATTGATCGAGCAGGAGCAGCTTTGGACGTACCTGAGCTTTGAGGTTGTTCTTCCACTCCTGCGTCTCCAGAGCTCTGAAGCGCCCACTGCTGTCGGAGGAGACCGACATGCAGAGGGGCCGGTGTGCTCGGGGGAGGAGCTGGGGGGTGAGGGCCACGGGGATGGGCCTGGCATCGTGTGCGTGCTCGCTCCTACTCATCATCAGGTTTGGACAGGAGCCTGGGACACACAGGACGGACATTGGAGATCAAAAGCCAGAAGAAAAACAATAAATAATTGTGTTTTTGTTGAACTAGTTATTTCTTGATAGTCAACGAATTTAAGAAAAACAGAAACAAATGAAAAAAAAAAAAACAGTACCTTTTGCACCAGAAATAATAACCTATATTATTCTTCAGTTATTTTGTCATCCTGTCAAATTCCCTTTGTATCCATGGCAACCGTCAGACCGGAACAACCAATACAGTTGAAGACATTTAACAGCAGAGTACAAGCGTAAAGAACGGCATGCCCCCGTATCACTCAGACATACTTAAATATATAATAAACTTACTCTTGTAATTTAAAATCTCAAATGTATGAAACTTCTTCATTGGGTGGGAAATCAAACACTAGCTTGACAGCAGGAATTTTAACTCGAGAAGAAAAATGTCTTCATCCAAATGATGAGAACAGTCGTTTAAGATGTTGGAAATACCTTCAGCTTTTTGTTAAAAAGTCATCTATAAATGTTTATGCATTCAAGCATCACTTGGCAAACATTTCACTCCGTTATCACAGGCGATTTGCCCTACCAGCACATAGTGAGAAGGACTGAATCTGCAGAGCGTTGTGGGGCCTCAGCGGGCTGTGGAAGCTTCTCACTGCACCTGCGGACAGAGAGGTCACCTTGCATGGCGGGTAACGGTGTGCAGCATTTACGGTCTGCAGGAGGCACGACGAGCAGCAGCCTTACCGATCCTCCCGTTCCGCCTGCAGAGCACCTTTCTATCCAGCAGTTCGTGTGCACTCGGGTCTTTGTTTCGCGCTTCCTCGGCTTCCATGTCCCGCCTCCTGCTGACAGAGGCACAGAAACCCGGCTCAGGCCGCCCGTCATCTTCGGCATGCGGAGCGGCACTTCAGCTCCGTCGGACGGGCATCGCTCCGGCGGCCCGCGGGCGTGGACGTACTCTGCTACTAGCATAGGTTAGCATATGCTAACTTAGCTACTAGCATAGGGTATCCGCTAGCCTACAATCATAGGTTAGCTTATGCTAACTTAGCTACTAGCATAGGGTATCCGCTAGCCTACAATCATAGGTTAGCTTATGCTAACTTAGCTACTAGCATAGGTTAGCCGCTAACCGCCGGTTACTTCCGCCCCGGGGAAGAAGCGAGCAAACTGAAGCATCCGGACCGGGGCACGATCAAACATGACGTGGTTAGCACAAACCATAAAATGTAGCTAACTCGCTACCCGCCGTCCGCTGCCTCTCTGTGGGTAACCGCGGCGTATTGCGCGCAAACACGGACTACCTCTGCATCATAAAGCGGCCACTCTACACCGGCTACTGTCGGTGGCTAACACCGGACACGGGACCGATTTGGCTCCGGTGACTAGGTGCCGAGCACCGGCAACGGCTTCACCAGCACAGCGACGTCACCACCGCGCATGTGAGCCCGACCCCCTGCCGCGCGGGCTCACGCGCGTTGGTACTCGTGTTCCCTGGCTTCTGCCTTCCACTGTGTGTTGAAACGTCCTTTCAGCCTGTTTCCATCGAAGGCTTTCGGTGTGACGTAATTTAACCCGCGGAGGACATGTTGCGGGTCGCGTGAATTCCGCAGGTTATTCGCATCTTGAGGCGGAAACTACCTGTAATAACTCGGCGTTATGCGGACTTCATCTAGGGGTGCTCGATACATATACGGGTGTCTCTCAGAGGGGCGGGATTAGTCAGCTTCTCGATAACTTCCCCTGCAGCCGAGCCGGTTGTGTTGATACAGTACACTAAATCCAACAACGCAACGCTTCAATATGGTAAGAACAATGTTTAGCAAATTACATTTTTATGAATACAGTAATAATATAAAGCTTCACAGGTGGAACTACACATAGTTTGAGGTTTGTTTCATTTTATTGTATTTCTCTATTGAAGGTTGTTTCTTGACTTTCGCAGATGTTTTAATGTCGTTGTTTGCTCCTAATATGGATGTTTAACAAAACATTTGTTTCATGCACCTGTGACTTGTTACCTGTTTCATCAGAGACATTTCCTCCTCTAAACTTCATAAATATTCTAATTTAAAAACGTATACAGGCCCAAATAATTGAAACTTTGGAGCAGCTTCAATGTTAACATGCTGCTTCAGTATTAATAATTAAACATGTTTTACTTCAGTGGGAAGATGCCCTGAAGAGTGAGGACTCAAAGTACTACACGTAATGGAGTATTTTTACTCCATTCCACCACATTGACATCAAGTCTTATCCAAGAAACGCGGATCCCATAAAATAAATATATTAAGTCAAACAGCAACTCCTCACTCAAATGTTCAGCATTTTTAACTCAATGAATTAGTTAATAAAAATAAAGAAAATTGTCAGATCAAATTCCTTAAAAGGCAAAACAATGTTAGAATGAAAGTTAACAACTACAAGCATAAATATGAATTGAAAATGAAGATATTAAATATTTCGGATGAAACCCTTTGAAAACATCCATTCAAACAAACATTTAGCTTTAAATCCGTTTGAAGCAGAATAAAAATGAAGACTCACCGTGTGTGTGTCTGTGTAGCAGATGTTTCTCTCTGTGTGTGTGTGTGTGTGTGTGCGTGTGTGACCGACTGAAGCAGCTCGAAGCCCAAACAATTACTCTCCTCCTCCTCTTCCTCGTTTAATTGGACGTCTCCTGATGTCGTGCTCTCCATAGTGAAATGTGAGTACGTCTCGCTGCCGTCGGTCAACAACATTTATCAGGTTATATCTACACTTAAACACCTCATTTCTTCATCTCCAAAACCCCAAAAGGTTTCCACAAACACGACTCTCAAATTAAACAATTCAAGTTAAATACATGAAAAAAAAAAGAGTTCTGACAATTGTCTTTGCTTCATTTCTTTTTGGATCGTCCCATAGAGCCATACGGAGGGACTTTGAATGGATGTCCTGGAAACCGTCACAAGATTGCTTTGTATTGAAGGTACAAGTGCCAAGTGGATTCCTTCTGAATGGTGGGAAAGCATAAATACTCAAGTAGTGTACTCAAGGAATATCTGTAATTAAACTTCTGCTCCACCACGTAGAGGTACATGTAGTACTTTTTACTTCAATGCATCTTAGAGGTACATGTACTTTTAAACTCACTACATCAATACTGTAATTATCTTGTATTGTTGTATTTTAACAAAGTTACTGTTCCAAAACTAGCCGGTAGAATATGAAGCTGCAACATGAAAAACACGAACCAATCAATAATTACTGTACAATAATATAATAAATGTTACTCTGCACAAAGACTACATCTTTTGGACCTTTGAATATATTTGTTGTACTTCTCAGCCCTTTTCTTTAAAACCGTTGAGTTTTTTTTCCTGCCTACCAATGTTGGTACACAAATAATGGACGTATCTTGCACAGGCCCATAACTGTTTGGTACTTTGTTGTTTGTCCTCTGGGGACTCCAGATGTGTCTCAGGCGTGTTTCCTGCAGGTAAACGGAGATCAGGTGCAGTGAGAAACTCGCAAACTCAGCGGTGATTAACGAGCCGGATCTCTTGAGGCCGGAACTCAAACCTGCTGAGCTCCGCTTGATTGTCCTCTGGTTTCCGGGGCAACAGACTCACAACCTCCGCTTAACAACGCTGCGCTTGCTGCCTTGCTAAAGGGAGGCTGGCGGCAGGGGTAAAAGTTTAAAGCGAAGCAATTACAAGTGTTTAATTTGATATAAAAGTAATGAAGCGTAATGGAGTCACACAACTGAGTAAATCCCTAGAATAACGGAGATAAATTTAAGACAAATAATGAAATATAAATTCAATAATTATAAGCATTTTCCAAATTTCTTAATTGTTTTAGGTGAATATTTATATTACATTTCTAATAGGTTTATTTACTCCTACCGAATGAATGACCCAGAAGCCCCTTGCAAAGCCAGATGATTGACAGGTTGCTGTCAAGGGATGAAAATGATCATTTGTATTTGTATTTTTATATATATATATATATATATAATTATTCAATTTACATTTTGTTCACGTTAAACTGACTCAATTCGGTCATCATGTTCCTAAAGAGGTTTTGCATTACATTTTGTGCAGTGAAATACACGTAAAAAGACAGAGGTTATTTCATTTGAAATAAGGTGAGGCGTCGCGCAAAGAGAAAGTCTCTCATTTTACTAAAATCCCAGGCGACTCTTGAGGATCTTCCCTCAGAAGGGTAGTTTATTGTGGAGGGGCAGCTTCCTCTTGAGGCTCAGCGTGGCGTTGACCTGCTGGGCTGACAGCAGGCTGTGCCACTGGGCCACGGGGCGCCTCGGGTTGGCCAGCATGTCGGCCCAGTGCCTCAGCTGGTTCCCCGAGGCGTCGCCCCCCAGGAAGAGCTTTCCTATGGGGTCGTTCCGTGACACCGTGTCGTGGTCCCACACGGAGATCACCAGGTTCACCCTCTGGGGACCGGGAAGGCAGACTGTTCTTATTCATCTTTGATCAGTAGGAGTCTCGATTTAAAATTCAATGATGCTGAGAATGTGAATTATGTTATTTATAGATATCTATCTCTTAAATGTCCCACTTGGTAAATTTCTGGTTCTCTTTGCTAAATAGACCCTTATTATAAAAAGGTGGCCTGTGTAATGTGTATGTTCAGGTGTTTAAAACTAATATCAGGTTGTGTTTATCGCCCCCCCTTACCTGGATTTGGTCAAAAGACACGTCGAAGGTGAAGGACTCGTTGTAATAAGGGTTCAGCGTCTTCTTCTTGATGGACGTCTTCCTCTTCTTCCACTTCCTCTTGTCCAGAGCCAGCTGCACCTTCACGTACGGATCTGTGAGCATATTAGCACATTAGCTTGTTAGCGTCACGCAAACAGGAAATTAACTGATCCTTGTTCAAAAAGATTTACTTGTCTGAGATGTTAAAGAGCCTGTAGCTAAAACAAAAAACCTACATTTTAATTAATTAATGAAATAATCAATCTGTGGATGTCTGTGTGGAGAAATGATTTGATCTAATTGAGGAAGTATTTCGCTCAAGATGATAAAACACTGAAGCGTTAAAAAATGTAAACTTTATAACCGTGAAACACACAAACTTTCAAACTTAAATAATAATACACTGAAACATTCGGTCCTAACTACCTATGTCCTGCCTTCACCTACGTACCTACGTCTACAAGCTACACCTTTCTTTAGGTCTGTCTATGGGTCACCTTTGTGACGATTATGATGCAGTATTCCTCCGTTCAAAGTGAAATAAAATGCTTAACCCAATCCTGTTGCTCATTTAAACCAGTGAATAAAATTAAGCTCGCCAGAGTTCTCTCTGGTTTGAGAAGCTCTCAGTCTGACCTGAGGATCCCCCGGTGTCCATGCTCTTCAGGTCTTTGGCCTCCAGCACCACCACCGTCAGCTTGGAGGTGGTGGGAACGTAACGCAGCGAGAAGCAGATCTCCCCCAGATTCTCCTCCTGAAGCACCAAGAAGTCACAAAACAGAGAACCAGATCTGAAACTGATCCAAACTACAAAAACAACACCTATGTTGTAAATAAAAACTAAAAAGAACTATAACGCCAATCCAGAGAAAACTAAACCTCAAACTTGGCGGGCTCGGCGAGGTCCTGCCACTCCTCGATGACCCGGTTCCAGTCGACGCTGCAGAGGTCCACTCGGATCTCCCCCATGATTTCGTGTTTGGTGAATCTATTGAAGTCGAAAATCTGCATCACCGCTGTCGACTTCAGCAGCGACGACTTTGATATCTGTTAAAATAGTAATCACAGAGCAACAACTTTATATCTCAGGTTATTGATCACTTTGGTTTTCTTAGGGGACGTCACCAGCGGTTTACTTTTGTATCTTAAATTTAGTTATGTGTTGATATTGCTACAC